ATTGATGCAATTAAACATAGTCTTACTATGGATTGTACCTATCTGTGACATGATAATAATCATAGGTTACTAAGATTGAAGGAAATATGATTATTAAAAGGTAGTTTTTGTTTAATTATACAGGGTCCTGGGAAGTGTTCCACAAAGATTTTAAGTCGGACTTAAGAACTATGGAGAGCCATTTGTAGCCTTAAAATAAAATATATTCAAAAGCAAAAATTCAAGTATTTTAGACTTTTCATAAATTCCACATCAAGAACATGAAATCTCCCATGATAATAGCAAATGTGCATGATTTGAATCAACAATTTATGCCTTTTAAAATAGCTTTTACAAAATATTTTCAAAGATGCTAGCAGCTTTCCATAATTGTTAAGTCCAACTTAGAGATAAGTTCAACTTAGGATCTTTGTGAAACACCCCCCTGGTCCAATACCCTATACACCTCCCTTGCCCACACAGACATACATACAGTCCCTTCCAACTGTTCAAACAACGCCTCTGCACATGATTATACCTGGAATAAATGCTTGAATTCAGTATGATGTTTACTTTAATATTTGATATCATAACCATTTATCACCAATGCCTTGTGAGACATGATCAGAGTCTATAGTGCACTGTAAAACAATGATAGTCGAAATAACTCAATAAAATTGAGGAAAAGAATTGCCTTATTTTTATTAAGTAAATATTACCTACGGCATCTTAAGTAGAATTTACTTATTTTGCTGAATAAATTTTTACTCAGTTAAATCGAGTTACATTAACGTAAATAATTTAAGTATTGTAATCATTTTAGATAATTAAAAAAAAGCTATGATAGGATTACATATTGCACGATTTGGTACCCATCTAATCTAACAAGTAACATCCACTAATCATTCACTACTTCTATTTAAGATTAATCACTAATCACTAACACTACTTCTATTTAAGATTTAACCGTATATAATATATATATATCTACCACCATCACAAACTATTACATACGCTTCAATTCGACACATATTGAAAGGCTCCAAATTATATATATACTTGATCGCAGCATCTTAAAAGGAAAATTGGTTGACAATTTCCTGAAATATCAAGTTTTTGAACTGGGTAACAATTAAAATTGTCTTGTCTTTGCTTAGCCATGTTAAATGAATTAGTAAATGTTTTAAAGTCCTTAAATTTTCATTCAACCACAAAAAAAAAAAAAAAAAAAATTAAAAAAGAGTTTAATTTGGTCTTAATGAATATTCATAAATTATGTAAATATTTCTGTTACGCACTGCATCGGTCCTTACTTTAAAAAGATAAGAATAATCAACATAAATTGTTTGAGTAATACGTATAATTTCTGATTTTGAGTTAAAATTACTAAATTAATACAAGCTGAAATTACTTAAAGTTCTTATCTATTTGATTTTACTTAAATATTCCACGTATGTTCTACTAAATTGAAAGTTTGAGTTAGCAAGACTTAAATTTAGTGCGTAAGTGGCAAAACTAATGTTTTCAAGTAAATTCTACATGGAAAAAATACGTAAAAATTACCAATGAACAAATTCTTTTTTACAGTGTGTGAGTCATTGGCGTATCTAAGGGGTGGGGCACGACCCCTCCCCCTATCGAATGGCAAACAAATACTAATAAAGAGGTGAGAGCGAGGGGAGAGATGAGGGAAAATAAAAAAAGAACGTGAGACTATTAGATGGACTGCTCGAAAACGTCCTCAAAGATTATAATATTATATGACTCAGTTAAGTGGGGACAACAGGATAAATCTTAAATGAAATCTGTTCAAAAGAGGTCCATTAAACGATTATCAAAAAATGTTTGGGATGATCCGATCTGCGCCCTTGATGTAGCGTACAGCAGGGAACAAAAAGAAATTGTGATGAGAAAAAAATGTAGAAGTCAAATGGGTAAAGAGACTGGAAGAGATTATATTTGTGTGTCTTTTTCACTTTAACATTTAAAATATTCCTCCGGCCTAGTCAATCGCGGTAACCTCGCTAGTCATAAGGACCGTTATTCATAACGTGAAACCTCCCATACCTGAAGGACCGCTGTTCATAAAACGGAAAGGGGTTCACTATTCATAAAGGCGTATGGAACCGTTATTCGTAAGGACCGCTATTCATAACGTGAGATGAGGGTCGCTATCCACGATTCACATCGAAGGTCATTACTCTTAAGGACCGCTATTCATAATGCGAAATCGGGGTTGATATTCGTAGGCATGCTATCCTTCTTCATGCCTACGAATATCAAACCCGATTATTTGGGGGTCACTTCTCATAAGGACAGCTATTCATAATAAAAAATGGGGTCGATAGTCATAAAACGTATAGAATGACTAGCGTCCCTCTTTTCGTATGATTAGGGACCACTATGACTAACGACCCCGGTTTTGTATTATGAATAGCGACCCTCTTCTTCGATTATGAACAGCGGTCCTTAAGAATATGACCCTTTTCTCAAATTATAAATAGCGGTCCTTATGAAGAGCATTTTGAAGAGCATTTTTTGATTGATTATTTTGATTGATTGATAGCCCCCCCCCCCCCGCCCCCCGTGCCTCCCCCTTAAGCAACGCCACTGATTTTTGATATTACGGTATTATGGTATTTTTCCCCTCCATTTCAAACATGTCACGAGGAAGGTGAGGGTCGATGGAGCAAACCCTGAACAGTCAAACAATATGCTTATAGGGGGAGGGGTGCGATTTTTCAGATTTTCGAGGACCCCCAAAAAAAATTGGTGCTCACTACCCCGACTTATCGGCCGGCTGTTTAACCGCTAAATACTTTCTCACGAATTGGCCCCCCCCCCCCCTCCCCTGCCGCCGGCATGATCCGCCCCTGATGTACAATATGAATCATCACCGTTTATCTTTCATAATTGATTTACAAATAAGTCTAGAGTTCAGATATTATAAACGAAGGCACAAAGATATTGGTCGTTGATCTACACGATTTATAAGGGACAAATGGACTCAGTGGCTGGCGCAGGATTTTTTCAAGGGGGATGTTTTAAAATGTGAAAATTGCGCCGAAAATTTCGCAACGACTCAGCCAGCCTCTGAATAGGGGGGGGGCGTGTAAGAGCACATTTTTGTTGTTATTAGGGGGGGGGGGGGTCGAGTTTCCTATACTGCATTAAGAGCCGAGGCATATAGGAGACGCAGTCGCATATATTTGTCTAGTTTAATTGAAACTACAAAAGCCGGAGAATGGCTTTGACCAAAGGCAAAGTAAAACTTTCGTCTTAAACTTATCAGAAGAATTGAAAGCTAGATCTGTTATATGTGGCACAACCATCTTTATATCAATATACACAAAGCCTTTGATTATTTGAAATTGCTAGAATATTTGATCACCTTGATGTCATTAGAGTGAATTGATCAACACAAATTTGATTAAAAAATTATTCCGAAATGGAATGATCAAATTACACCAGCTGCAATGGAATGATCAAATTACACCAACTGCGCGTATTAGGAATATTTATCATTAAAAAGGAAAATTCAATTGAACATTTTTACAGAACTTTGAACGCACACCCACACATATGACCCGCTCTCTCTCTCTCTCTCCAGCCTCCTTCTCCCTCACTTTCCTCCTTTTTTACCTTCTCTGTTTCCGCACTCACATAAAAAGTGTTTCACAGCATATTATTTGGTCTGAAAAATGGAAGAAAACAATACCATCACCATGCAAGTCAAGTTATATTTTATTTGTACACGTATTACTTAAATGAAATTTTGAATTGTATATCTTTTTAAAATCCATGCTTCGGAGTTTTAATTCAAGTTATCAAGTAAAATAAAGTTCCAAAAATGATATGTTTTAAAATTTCAAATTATTTAACGCAAATTGATAATTAATTGTTAAGTCAAGTATTGATTAAAAGCAAATTTGTTATATTTCTTTTATTTTCCACTCTTGAATATTCCATGCGCGTTCCAGTTGATTATGTATTCATAATTTTTCAAAACAAATGCGGAGAAGAATAACTTCTCTAGATGGCCTTATTATAATAATATGATTTTAAATCCCGCCGACCCTCTCATCGTCTCTCTGCTGGATAGGGGGGGGGGGGGGGGAGATCATTAGACCATTTCGGCATGATTTTTCTTAACTGGAATGTGATTTGAATTCAGTATTTTTTTCCAGACATAACCAAAAGAATTAGCTCCAATCCGTAAGTTAGCACATTTTAACTCGGCGTATACGATGTTCATTTTCATAATATTGGGGCCACTAGCCCTCTGATCCCCTGGAACCGCCTATGAAATGGGAAAATTTTGAAGTGCACGCACGTAAATCGTTTTATAGCAGGAATGTCGCTAGAAAAAAAGAGGGGGTGGGGTGAGTTTCATGTCAGTAAATCCAAAGTCCCCCCCCCCCCTTTTTTTTCTTTTTCAAAAGCGTGTCGTCAATGTCTGTAGTAATTGACGCAACTGTACATTTCCTTTGGGCAATTTTCTTCTCAATTTCTTCTTGACAAACCACTTGCAAATCCTTCCCATTTCACATGTTTTAGCGGCTTCCCCATTTTGAGAACAAAAAATAAGTCCACTGCTTGTAAATCATGAATACCAATAAATCAAAGGAAAGAGTTAAAATGGAGATTAACTGTAAAAAACAGGGGCGTCAATCCGCATTCAAAGTGGACCGGGAGGGGGGAGGGCGTGGTGAAATAACAGGAGCCTTTCAATTCATAAAGGATTCACAGATATTCCGACATTATAGGGCGCAGCTGCCGCGGAATAGACGCCCCCGATCCAATGATTAAGTATTCCAAGATTATGTATTCTCTTTATTTCGACTTAACCAAAGGCAATTTTGGACAAAGTGAATTACTACTTAACGTCATGGGTGTTTTTAAATGTCATACCATTTGCTGAAAGCGATATATATTCCTTTCGATTTCAAACGATGTGTTTATCATTAAACCACTGTTAAAAACAAATAAATATTTCTTCATGATTAATATGAATATAATTATAGGCCTATATTTATACGCATCATGGAGATAACAGGAAGTTGGAGATCACTTACAAACTTTTTAGAACCGCATGAGCCCCGAAAATTAAATCCCTTGAACTTGCCAAAATCAGTGCAGTTAGTTTTCCAGCTACTAATGATCATAGTCTACTTCGAATACATTTTATTTTCATGCGATTGAACACCATGATCCCATAGCGTACGAAGCCGTCTCTTCGTGCCTTCGACGACGATGCGAATCTCGATGACGTGGCTCACGACTGCGTTGTCGACGTGCCAGCTCGTCTCCGCCTTCATCTTTAGCTGGTCGAGTAGAGGACTGGCGACCGCGAGAACGACTACGATCTCTATCCGTGGTTTGGATTCCCTGGTCAATGACTACGGTATCATGTTGCTGACCACGAGCGTTGCCGACATCGTCATCCAAATCCAACTTTCGTCGTGGCGACCCGCTATCACGATTTCTTTTCCTTCTTCCCGTAAACTGCTCCTCGTCTTCTTTCCGAGATCGACGAGGATCTTGAACGGCGGGTTGACGAACCTGTTTAGCCCCGGACCTGTTTAGGACTACTGGCTCATTCCGTCCATCGTCTTCAATCCTCGATGGACCAGCGACATCTCGTCTTCTGGTTGGAGATTGACTTCGTCGTTCTCTTCTGCGTCTTGGTGTAGAAGACGCCAAGGGTCCATTTACCTCTCCTACGATGTGACAGAACCAAAGAATAGATAGTAAATATATTAAGACAATCATAACCGCGGGTCTTAACTGGGGTTGATCAAACATCCCCTCCGTTTGAATATTCTATCAACTCATCCGTTGTTAACTTTTAAAAGATGCGACCAGAATTTGCCCCATATCTTCGAATCATCAATTCTGTGAGGACCAACCATTATTTTGATGGCTCCTTGGGAAATTGTTTTTTACACCGTAAGCTAAGGATCCCCCTTCATTGAAGGTGTTCTAAAAACGTCCCTGATGTATCGTCTGTTAAATTACACTTTCACACATTTTGAGAAAGTCACAGCAAGAAACTCAATTAACATAGGCCTAGATCTAGACTAAACCATAAACGGCATAAAGCAAGATTTTTTAAATCCATATCAGTGACCCGATGCCCAAATTAAGCTCTGTTTCAAACGTAACAACGTGATTGCAAAATCATTTTTTTAAACCCACCTCTGTCAATCCGAAGTGGTGCCGCCCCCTCTTGCAACCAGTTCTCGATGTCAGATCGGGACAGACGTTCATTCGCCTTTGACTCGTTTCGTCTTCGTGATCGAGGTGCAGAACGCTTTCGACTTCCACTTCTAGATCTCGATATTCGGAGACTGCCTTTCTGCGGCGACGCAGATCGAGATACAGACCGAGACACAGTTCGAGTTCTAGATCTGGACCTTCTGCGATTGTCCCCGCTGCTATTCCAATTTTTCTGATCTTTTCGAGGACTTATCTTTTTCTGAGAAAGTCCTGGAAATTTCTTTGTCGTAAGCCTAGGAAGTTCCTCTGCGATTCCCGGTTCCTCAGAGAAATTTTCGGTCGCTCTCTTGGTTTCACGCATCACCATGTATTCCCTGACGTTCTCGTCGACAACGGATGACGCTCGGCTAAGACGTTCTGGAGAGGAAGATCGTTGTTGTTCGGTAATGGCTCGACCAGGAGCTGGTATTGATAAACCAATACTTGGACCAGGACCATCCAGTTCCTTGACGTTAATGGTCATGAGGTGACACAACTGCCCGTCGACAGCACCGTTATGCAGAGTCAGATTGCAGCCTTCTTTCGCAAGTTTGCCGATATCGATGCTGACATTTTGTGCGGAGTCCACGAAAACTGGCCCACTTCTATATCTAGATTTTGAATTCTTTTTGGTCGAACGATTTTGCTTACTAGCTTGGCGTTTTGGTGACGTATGGCGGGGAGAGCTCCGACGAGAAGGCGAGCTTTGTGACGATCTCCGGGAGAGAGTCGACCTTGATAAAACGCGCTCCGACCTCCGGATCGGTGGAGCAACTTCTTGCTTGGGCGACTTGCGGCGAATCGGGCTTGGAGAACTGCTGAACGACACCCGTGAAGCGTTTCTCCGAGATCGTCTACGTTGAGGCGAGTTGGCCCTTGACGATGCAAGACTTGAACGACGGGATCTCGGCGAAGAGGGAAGAATGTAGACGTGTTTAGAAATAATTGACAACGTGTGATCACCTACTCCTCGCACTTTGCCCAACTCGTTGATGTTGTTAAAGTATCCTGCTCGGCTTCTATAATCGGCGATCCGTTTTGCCAATGATCTCGTCACCCCGTCGACGGATTCCAGTTCGTCCACCGTACAGGTGTTCAGATCCAACTGTTTCCGTGTTTTTGGCATGTCGGCAGATTCGTTCGATGTGGAATAGACAACAAAGAGGAATGTAAATAAACGTTTCGCAGGAAATCGCAAGTTTGAGAAATAAAACCCTGCATCAAATTTGGCGCGTAATTGATAACAAACTTTTGGGTTGCCATGACGCGCTATGAAGTAGATGCGCGTCATTAAGGGGGCGCGGGTTATGACCTACATATATATATAGCATTTAGCTCAGTTTGATCAGATAAATTGTAAAAAAAAAATTCTTGTTCTGTACCGTAATTTCTTACTTTCTAATACTTACTTTATCAACTACAATGCGCTGGGATTGTCTTTTACCTAGAATAATGGAATTTGCTGACTTATTTATAATTATGTCAAAGAAGGCTTAAAAAAACTATAGGCCTAGAATAAAATTGAATGATTTATTTTGATACTTTTCACTGTCATCCTGTAACTTAGGGGTTCGCCGGCGGGGGTGGGTGGGGGTGGGGGGGGGTGCACAGCTAGGCTCAACTAGCAAAATATGTTATTCGGGTAACCCTCACCTCGTATTTGGGCAGCGATGTGTCTGAATGATCGTAAAATGATTGTTTCGGGCAGCGAGATGCCCGAATGTAATCTGACATGATTGTAAGGTCTGATCTATGATGACAAAATAACATTTTTATAGTTTTTTTCCTCGCTTGCTTCGCTCTCCAGCAAAATTAAAAAACAGTTTGGTTAGTTGGTTACGGCTCGGACATAACATGATATTTAGTATATTTTGATGACAAATGAAATTCATCTTGTAATAATGTTATCTTTATTTGTAGAAAGATGATGGTTGGTAATCGTGCAAACGACAACAGCTACCCTCGCCAAAAATGTGCCTAAAAAGGAAATCCATCAGGCCTAAATTGTCCTCGCCTTGCATCTACCACGCACCTACTGTGCATGCATCCCGCCCAAAGGCCAGAAAATAATTCAATCTCAGGGGTCATGACCAAGATAAATCTAACATATTTGTTTCTTCTGATTAAATATTATAATTATATGGGCAACTTTCAAAAAGAATTCCCCAGTTTTCAAGGTTCTAAAGCTCATAGTGCTACAACTAAAGATCTTGAATACCGTAAAGCCAAAGACGAATACTAACTGGTAACTCATTTTTGCTAAATGGAGGTTTGAAATAAAAAAACAAACTTTGTGGCCAGATGCATTCCTGCTGTATCATATGTTTCATTATCATTTTTGATTAACGTTCTGATATTTATTTGTCTTATTTTATGTATTGTGATACTCTCCGATTATTTGTAAATATTGTGATTCTGTTTTGACTCAATAAGACATAAAATTATATCACAAGGGGTTAAGATCCCTCGGAAGGCAATCCTACATTTGAGGAAATTAGACAAATTTTCATTGATTAAAAAAAAATTGTATCTCACCTCTTTAATAAACAAGTTTTCGAATTTGGAAACAAGCTTGTGCTCTCTCTCTCTCTCTCTCTTTCTCTCTCTCTGTATATCTATTTTCACTCTCTATCTCTCACTCCAAGTCTCTCTGTAGTCCTGTAGAAATTTTTCAGACCCGAAAAACTTGTTAAGTACAAGGTTTTTTTATTTATTTGTGTTCTAGATGGGTATTGGAGTAAATTCAGCTTGGTTGAGAGCTTGGCAACCTTGGGCAACTTTTTTAATAGCCATATTAGCATAATCATCAAATTAGCATATGTGCAATGTGCAATAATGTTGCTAATCTCAATCCAGGAAGCCTGAAAACATAGATAATACGACTTTTCAAGAGTTCTCTATGACAAGGAATTTATTTATGACACCAATATTTATTTTTAAGTAATACAATAGTCTTAAATATCATAATTGGCATATGTACGATATTATGGACTCCATTGTCATTGTTTATCTATAAAGCCTAAAAATGGTGCAATGCAACATTGTAAATCACTTTTGAAATAAGTGTTTAATAAATAGGGTTTTAGAATTTGGAAACAAGCTTGTTCTCTCTCTCTCTCTCTCTCTCTCTCCCTCTCTCACTCTCTCCCCCTCTCTCTGTCTCTCTCTCACTCTCTCTCTCTCTCTCTCTCTCTCTCACTCTGTATATCGATTTTCAAATTAAGTTTAGTATAATTTGGTCATAAGGAAAAGGAAAAGACAGGATTTCCAACAAAATATGTGTAAATGTGAATGCTCGGGAAGGGAGGGGGATTTGTTGAGCTTTGGAATGAAGGGGGGGGGATATGTAAGTTTGTATGTGTGTCTGAGTATGTGAGCGTGTGTGGTGTGTCTGTCTGTGCGTAAGGCTTTGATTTATAATATTAATTCAGTATAATTAATTTGAAAACATGTACTGTGTATTAAACTATCTTATGTATTTTTTGAGGGATGTACAATTTTCTTTATATTTTGAAATGTTATGTAAATCAATGAAGCTGTATGTTTTTTTCAATATATTTTGTACTGAATGAATAAATAAACAAATGCTACAAAACAAACAAACAAAATCTCTCACTTCAAGTCTCTCTTTCTGCCTTTACCCTATCTCTATTTTCTCTGTCTTTATATAATTATCGTTCATCAAGAGAAGTATTTTTGAAAAACAAATGCACATACAAATATTTTGTGTTTAATGATATGATTTATTTCAATGAAAGCTGCAATAAATTATTTTTCCAAAATGTTTTTATTTCCAGATCACTTTCGACGTAGATGCAGTTTCTTAGCAACCCATCGCTTGACACGTCTCCATCTACTGGGCCGATGGAGTTTGGTGATTTGACTTTGGATGGTTTCGAGACTAGGGCGACGGTCAGGATTATCAGCCATGCACTGAGCTCCTAGCTTGGACAGTTCTCGAACCGCGGGAGAACGGTGACCTGCAGAAAGAAAGAAATAGAAAATAGTAAAGAAAAGAGGCGTTACAGTATATTTTGCCACTGTTTCTATACTTCATATACTGCTTAATTATTAACATAATTTAGATATGAACATCAAAGCTGGATGTGCTTGCAGCCCTATATGACACAGCGCCATCTTGAAATTTTATAGAAAAAGAACTGTGAAGAAATGTATTCAGAATGATCAGCTTTCTTACAAAGGATTAGAATAATGCATATGAATTTTTTCGTAAACCTATCTCTTTTTATGAAAAAGATAAGTATAATTACGAACTTACAGTAAGTATGAAATTCGGTTTTACCTGCAAATATCTCTCCCATATCGGAGAGGATACGGCCGACTGAAAACACATCTGAAGCGATAGATGTTGGCTGCTCATCCAAAACAACCTCAGGTGCTATATAGTCTGCCTCTCCTCCATGTACATACGCCATTTTGAGTTCTTTGGTAACTCCGACCATTTTCAGTGGGGCGGTGATCGTACTTGCCATCCCGAAGTCGATGATGACGGCGTTGTATCGCTTGCCGCGTTTTTCCAGGAGCACGTTGTCATTCTTGAGGTCATTATGAAGAAGTCCGTGATCATGGAACTCCATCATGCCCTTGACGATGTCCTCTGCGATCTTGACAACGTTGCAAATCGACAGCGATGGCGGTTCGTGGAGAGGGTAGCCGGTACCCGTCTTCTTACACCCCACGAACTCGACGGCCTGGCAGAGTTCGTTACCGAGATCAAGGGTACCCCAGAACTTGGGAAAGTAAGGGCTGCCTGATATCAACTGTTGGATCATTGCCTCCTTTGTTGCTCTGGTCCTGGTTGCCTTGAGGTTTTCAACCATTTCACCAGGCGAGGCGAAGTCGTCAGACCATGACGGCTCTTTGATGGCAAGAGGAACGCCTGTGGAACGATGACGTGCTATCACAACGCGACCATAGCTGCCCCTTCCAATTTCTTTGAGCGTAATGATGCTCTGTGAAAAGAAAAAAGTGTATTGAAATTTAAAGCAAGCTTCTTATGATCAAAACTTTATATAATAGAGCAGTAAATTCCATGAGTTGGTCATCAGTTTTCCAACATCGCTGAGAAGGGATGAAAATTAATATTGTTTTCCAAAATCTTTTAGCTTGCACTCTAAAACTTCTGAGGGATTCTTTAATAAGGACTTAAAAACTATAAGTCCATCCAATGTTTCAGTGGATATATCGGTTCTTGCTAAGAAATCTCCCCCTCTATCTCTCTCTTTAGGCCATCACGGATCATGATGCAACTTTTCTATTACAAAAGAAGAAATTTGACTTTCATACCTTTACAGTCCATCCCAAGTCAAAGGTCACGAGCTCATCGAGTTTGAGAGCCTGACATGAGACCTTAGGTTGCAGCATGTGGATAACCTCCTTATCAACACTCTTGTTCTGATGGGCCGATATCTCTGGCTCAAGAGTATAACTGTTTTGAATAAAAGGGACAAGAAACTTTAAACTTAAAGGTTATAAATAAATGCCACCAAAATCAAAAGGTTTCACTTTTAAAATGAATATAAGTGTGTTAAGGGTGGATACTAAGGCACTTGAAGATCCTTAAGTGCATGATCATCGAATTCATTTCATGTAAAAATGTATTGAGATCTTTTTACTCATCAATATGCATGATGGCTTTCAAATATTGTGGGCATCATTATACTTAATTACAACACTTCTACTCGACGGTACTTCATTTATGTATCGTAAACAAATTGAATTCCAGATTTAATGTTTGGAGGGGGGGGGGGGGAAGAGAGAAATATTTGTTGCACCTCTGTTTTGGGATGAACGTTGAGATTGCAGAAGAGTCGGTTTGCTGGTCTTTCGACTCCTCGGGGAAATCTCCGCCGGGGTAAGCTTGGGCTTCTTGCTTAGCTTTGACCAGTACGGCTTTGACTATCTCAATGGCTTGAAGGATCTCATCCCCGTGGTCGGACACTGGTCCCAGGGCTAGTCTTTGACGGCGATTTGCCATGCGTTGAGCCCTCCGCTTTCTCTGAGCTGACATACCGATGTCTACCATTGTCAGAGACTTTACGATTTATCTACGAACAAATTAATATTTAGTTCTGGAATGAATGTTAATTCTTTTAAAGCAACGGTTCTCAAATATTCGATCACATTTATTTAATCCATATTTCTTCGATTTTTTTGTCCGTACATAATTTTTTCTTAATTTGGCTAAGGCCTACCAGTCATACTGGATTTAAACTTGAAGTAGGTATATCATTAAATTCGCGTAACATTGGCCTTTGGATAAAATACGTACAACACTTATGATATAAAATTTATGAGAATTTGAATTTTTGTGTAACTATATAGGCCTAATACTATTCAGTTTATTCCAATCCATTAGTGTGTAGAAAAGAGGGATTTTTAACTGAATTACCTGATAACAAAGTAGAAATCTCGGGAGAAATCTCTTTTGAAGAAAGTGATTGAATTCGCTGATTCAATGAAGAAAGTTTCGAAAGCACTTCAGAAGAAGCAACATGTGCACTCGGAAGCTAGATCAAAACTGAACACAAAGCGCAACGGTTTGTTGTCTAAAGAGACCATTCAACGCGCACCCATACCAACCATTATGTCGTCATCGAGGAAAACTTTAAGCCAATCAGAACGCAGTAAATCTCTACCAAGTGAAAGCTAGAGTGTGGATGTATGCCTAGCGTAGCATCATGAGGTCACAGTGGTAGCGCGACTTTTACGCATGCGCTTTGCACCTATCAGAGCTCGATTGGCATATTGAATGGAATTTCGGGTAGAAATACCCAGGGTAATTGATTATTGGAGGGTCGATAGGGTAATGTTCCCCCTTGATTTAAAACCAATTAAATCAAGGCAAATATCTCGATTGACAAATACAGTGCTTCTGATTATACATGTCTATAACTATGTGACAAACATATAGGGGTCATGACCAAGATAAATCTAACATATTTGTTTCTTCTGATTAAATATTATATTTATATGTGCAAATTTCAAAAAGAATTCCCCAGTTTTCAAGGTTCTAAAGCTTATAGAGCTAGAACTAAAGATCTTGAATACCGTAAAGCCAAAGAAGAATACTAACTGGTAACCCGTCTTTGCTGAATGGAGGTTTGAAATAAAATACCTTTAGTTGGCTGCCTGCATTCCGCTGTATTTATGTATCATTATCATATTACGATTAACGTTCTGATATTTATTTGTCTTATTTTATGTATTGTGTTACTCTCCAATTATAAGTAAATATTGTGATTCTAATTTTACTCAATAAGACATAAAATATATATCACAAGGAGGTGAAAATCCCTCGCTGGGCAATCCCACATTTGAGAAAATTAGACAAAATTTAATGTTTATTGATTTAAAAAAATTGTTTCTCACCTCTTTAATTAATAAGTTTTAGAATTTGGAAACAAGCTTGTTATCTCATTCTTTCTCTCTCTCTCTCTCTCTCTCTCTTTCTCTGTATATCTATTTTCACTCCCTATCTCAGACTCACAAATATTTTTTTGTAAAATGATATGATTTATTTCAATGAAAGCTACAATAAATTATTTGTCCGAAATTTTTTTTTTATTTCCAGATTACTTTCGACGTAGATGCAGTTTCTTAGCAACCCATCGCTTGACACGCCTCCATCTACTGGGCCGATGGAGTTTGGTGATTTGACTTTGGATGGTATCGAGGCTTGGGCGATGGTCGGGATTATCAGCCATGCACTGAGCTCCTAGCTTGGACAGTTCTCGAACCGCGGGAGAACGGTGACCTGCAGAAAGAAAGAAATAGAAAATAGAAGAAAAAAAAAAGAGGCGTTACATTATATTTTGCCACTGTTTCTATACTTCATATCCTGCTTAATTATTAACATAATTTAGATATGAACATCAAAGCTGGATGTGCTTGCAGCCCCTACAATACAGCGCCATCTTGAAATTTTATAGAAAAAGAACTGTGAGGAAATTTATTCAGACTGAGCAGCTTTCTTACAAAGGATTAGAATACTGCATATGCTTTTTTTTGTAAACCCATCTCTTTTTATGAAAAAGATAACTATAATTACGAATTTACACTAAGTATGAAATTCGTTTTTACCTCCAAATATCTCTCCCCTATCGGAGAGGATACGGCCGACTGAAAACACATCTGAAGCGATGGATGTTGGCTGCTCATCCAAAACAACCTGGGTGCTATATAGTCTGCCTCTCCTCCATGTACATACGCCATTTTGAGTTCTTTGGCAACTCCGACCATTTTCGCTGGGGCGGTGATCGTACTTGCCATCCCGAAGTCGATGATGACGGCTTTGTATCGCTTGCCGTGTTTTTCCAGGAGCACGTTGTCATTCTTGAGGTCATTATGGAGAAGTCCGTGATCATGGAACTCCATCATGCCCTTGACGATGTCCTCTGCGATCTTGACAACGTTGCACATCGACAGCGATGGCGGTTCGTGGAGAGGGTAGCCGGTACCCGTCTTCTTACACCCCACGAACTCGACGGCCTGGCAGAGTTCGTTACCGAGATCAAGGGTACCCCAGAACTTGGGAAAGTAAGGGCTGCCTGACATCAACTGTTGGATCATTGCCTCCTTTGTTGCTCTGGTCCTGGTAGCCTTGAGGTTTTCAACCATTTCACCAGGCGAAGCGAAGTCGTCTGACCATGACGGCTCTTTGATGGCAAGAGGAACGCCTGTGGAACGATGACGTGCTATCACAACCCGACCATAGCTGCCCCTTCCAATTTCTTTGAGCGTAATGATGCTCTGTGAAACGAAAAAAGTATATTGAAATTTAAAGCAAGCTTCTTTATTATCAAAACTTTATATAAGAGAGCAGTATATTCCATGAGTTTGTCATCAGTTTTCCAACATCGCTGAGAAGGGATGAAAATTAATATTGTTTTCCAAAATCTTTTAGCTTGCACTCTATAACTTCTTAGGGATTCTTTAATAAGGACTTAAAAACTAACTATAAGTCCATCCAATGTTTCAGTGGATATATCGGTTCTTGCTAGGAAATCTCCCCATCTATCTCTCTCTTTAGGCCATCACGGATCATGATGCAACTTTTCTATTACAAACAAAAAGAACTTTGACTTTCATACCTTTACAGTCCATCCCATGTCAAAGGTCACGAGCTCATCGAGTTTGAGAGCCTGACATGAGACCTTAGGTTGCAGCATGTGGATGACCTCGTCATCAACACTCTTGTTCTGATGGGCCGATATCTCTGGCTCAAGAGTATAACTGTTTTGAATAAAAGGGACAAGAAATTTTAAACTTAAAGGTTATAAATAAATGCCACCAAAATCAAAAGGTTTCACTTTTAAAATGAATATAAATGTGTAAAGGGTGGATACTAAGGCACTTGAAGATCCTTAAGTGCATGATCACCGAATTCATTTCATGTAAAAATGTATTGAGATCTTTTTACTCATCAATAGGCATGATGGCTTTCAAATATTGTGGGCATCATTATAATTAATTACAACACTTCTACTCGACGGTACTTCATGTATGTATCATAAACAAATTGAATTCCAGATTTACATGTTTGGAAGGGGGGAAAAGAGAGAAATATTTGCTGCACCTCTGTTTTGGGATGGACGTTGAGATTGCAGAAGAGTCGGTTTGCTGGTCTTTCGACTCCTCGGGGAAATCTCCGCCGGGGTAAGCTTGGGCTTCTTGCTTAGCTTTGACCAGTACGGCTTTGACTATCTCAATGGCTTGAAGGATCTCATCCCCGTGGTCGGACACTGGTCCTAGGGCTAGTCTTTGACGGCGATTTGCCATCCGTTGAGCCCTCCGCTTTCTCTGAGCTGACATACCGATGTCTACCATTGTCAGAGACTGTACGATTTATCTACGAACAAATTCATAATTATTCAGTTCTGGAATGAATCTTTATTTTTTTAAGCAACGGTTCTCAAATATTCCATCACATTTATTTCATCCATATTTCTTTGATTTTTTGTCCGTACATAATTTTTCTTAATTTGGCTTAGGCCTACCAGTCATACTGGATTTAAACTTGAAGTAGGTATATCATTAAATTCGCGTAACATTGGCCTTTGGATAAAATTCATACAACACCTATGATATAAAATTTATGAGAATTTGAATTTTATGGTTACTATATATTACTATACAGTTTATTCCAATCCATTAGCAGAAGCGGATCTAGAGGGGGGGTTGGGGGGGTTGCAACCCCCCCCCAAAAAAAAAAATCCGGGGACCATTTTTTTAAATCTTATCTTTTTTTTTTAAACTTGTAATTTTATTTTATTCTATTTCTATGTATTTATTTCATTTATTATTATTATTATTATTATTATTATTATTATTTTTATTATTATTATTATTATTATTATTATTATTATTATTATTATTATTTCTTTTTTTTTTGGGGGGGGGGGGGGGTTGGGCGAACAAATGTCACAGAGTCCCTTGCCCCCCCCCCCCCCATCAGCTTTTTTGAGGACACGGGCCACCGCCGAAGTGAAAAAAAAAAGAAAGAAAAAAGAACGCACGCTGGAGAGAAACCCTTTCAAGTGCAAATATTGTGAGAAGATTTTCAACTCATCTGGTAACTTAACCAAACACATGATAACTCTGGATATAACTGTGTATTTAACTGTTACTTGATTTAAAAAGACGTTATCATGCACTGCTTTTTATGGTCTCCATTGTGTTAATAGATGCCAGGAAAACATCACTTACGGGGTTCAAATAAACACCCCCCAAAAAATCGGCTCGCCGCTTCGCGGCTCGTGGACGATGCTCTGCATCGTCATTATTTTGGTCAACCCCCCCCCCCTTAGCAAAAAGCTAGATCCGCCCCTGATTAGTGTGTGGAAAAGAGGGAATTTTGACTGAATTACCTGATAACAAAGTAGAAATCTCGGAAGAAATCTCTCTTGAAGAAAGTGATTGAATTCGCTGATTCAATGAAAAAAGTTTCGAAAGCACTTCAGAAGAAGCAACATGTGCACTCGGAAGCTAGATCAAAACTGAACACAAAGCGCAACGGTTTGTTGTCTAAAGAGACCATCAACGCGCACCTATACCAACCATTATGTCGTCATCGAGGAAAACTTTAAGCCAATCAGAACGCAGTAAATCTCTACCCAATGAAAGCTAGAGCGTGGATATGCCTATAGCGTAGCATCATGAGGTCACGGTGGTAGCGCGACGTTTACGCATGCGCTTTGCACCTATCAGAGCTCGATTGGCAGATTGAATGGAATTTCGGGTAGAAATACCCAGGGTAATTGATTATTGGAGGGTCGATAGCGTAATGTGCCCCCCTTGATCTAAAACCAATTAAATCAAGGCAAATATCTCGATTGTCAAATACAGTGCTTCTGATTATACATGTCTATAACTATGTGACAAACACATAGGGGTCATGGCCAAGATTAATCTAACATAATATTTGTTTCTTCTGATTAAATATTATATTTATATGTGCAAATTTCAAAAAGAATTCCCCAGTTTTCAAGGTTCTAAAGCTTATAGTGCTAGAACTAAAGATCTTGAATACCGTAAAGCCAAAGAAGAATACTAACTGGTAACTCATTTTTGCTAAATGGAAGTTTGAAAAAAAAAAAAAAAAATGTGACTGCCTGCATTCCTGCTGTATTTATGTTTCATTGTCATATTACGATTAACTTTCTAATATTTATTTGTCAAATTGTTATTGATTAAAATTTTTTTTTCCCCATCTCTTTAAAAAAAATAAGTTTTAGAATTTGGAAACAAGCTTGTTCTCTCTCCCTCTCTCTCTCTCTCTCTCTCTCTCTCTCTCTCTCTCTCGCTCTTTCTGTCTCACTCTCTCTCTCTCTCCCTCCCCCCCTCTCTCTCTCTCTGTATATCGATTTTCATTTCCTATCGCACACATCTGCAAGAATCTTCAGCAGTGAAGGAGGCAGATTATTTTGAAGAAGAAGGAGAAGGTATCTCAGACTCAGACATTTTTTTTTTATATTAAAAAGGAATTAATAATTTGGTCATAAGGAAAAGGAAGAGGCAGGATTTCCAACAAATGTGTGAAGAGAAAAAAGAATATTGAAATTTTAAGCAAGCTTCTTATGATCAAACATGCTACGTTAATTTTTCAGGGATTAAGGCGATTTTCAAATTTTTGGGACCCCCAAAAAAACTCTTACCCCCCCCCCCCCCCTCTTATTCAGCGGCTGGCTGAGTCGTTGCGATTTTGGGGGGACCAAAATATATATATGTCCTCTTACCCCCCCCCCCCCCCCCCGTGTGCCCCGCCCCCCGGGTAGAAATTCCTGGGTCCGCCCCTGTGTTTACTAGAAATTTTAGGGGTGGAGGGAGGATGGTTCAGAGACCATGACCCTAATACCCCACATGGCTTGTTCACTCAACTGAAACCAATAACTTATATTAGGCAAGGTTTTCGCTTTTCTTTGCATTGTATGTATTTCAGATGATGTTGCTTGAACTCGCACTAACAAAAATAATGGGCCGTGTAGATCAAGTATCAAGTTTATTTGTCTTCCAGAAAACACATGTGACAAAACATAATAGAGTATAGATCTAATCATAACAGTAGAAAGGAAGACGGGGAGACCTTGGTTGAAGCACAGCTTGTTAAGTTAATTAGTTAATTAGTTTTTATGCATTTATCTAGTTATATCAAGAACAAAAAAATCAGATATTTTTGTTTATTTTTACTCCTATATGATCGAATTTTCAAACAGCAGATTATTTTATATTCTAGAAGGCACATGGATCTTTCGAACAGCAATGAAAAGTTGCTCTGTCACTGTGAAATAATATTTCAAGCCCTCAAAATATATTGAAAATTTCTTTTCCCGGTATTAGTCTTGATCAAGTAATACCATATGATTACAGGGATTTCAACGAATCATATTGCCCAAATTACGTATTGATATTCAATAAATATATTAGAAATATAATTTAAAAAGCATGAAATAACTTAAGATTTAAATATAAAAACCGTATATAACAATTTAATCAGTATATACAGCCACTAATCAATTAAAGACGACTACATTAAGGCTAGTGTTGTCAAGCTAACTCAAGATGGCGGTCCAAACAACCGAAAATTCCAGGGACCGTTGCGAGTAAAGAAAAGCACCGAACGATCTTGCGAAAAAAGGTAAGCGTTTGTTCGTTTGAGTTTTAAAAAATGCATTGCAGTAGATACCAGTTGTGCATCAGAGTGAATATGTGTGAAATAAGAAATGTTTTACTTAGATAGTTGAAATGTAGGAGATAGAAAAAGAAGAGTGAATGTAAAGATGAAATTAGCGGAAAGGCGAACGTTTCCCCGCCCGTAAGTTCGGGCGCACAGTCGCTGAGGTACCGTACGGTGTTTGTCGGATGCGCGGGCTTGAACTTCTGTGGCAGTTTGCAGACGCAGACGGTCAACTTAATTTGTTAAAATTGTAACTCCATGGTACCTTCAACGGCAGTGCCGATGGAAAGAATGAATTATTCTCCCTTTTCTTGATCTCATGCAAGCATGTATCATGGGGTGACCAAAGACAAAGTTTGTGTGGAGAGGAGAGTTTTGAAAATATTATTAGGAAATGTGATAATTCGATCCATGATATCTCACATTCTACACAATTTTATTTATTTCAATTATTACCGAATGGACTGCAAGGTTTTCGACTACAAATAGGTGCAACAAGAAAATTAATTTTCAAAGGATTCAAGAGATATCGCGATCTCAAAATTTGATGTCGGATCATCGTGCGCGCTGCAACTCACAAAAAAGTCATAGAAACAATGAGACCTTACTTCATGCAGGGGGGTTTACAGCTGATTTATCTGAAAATGTGATCCATCAGATATAAGGTAATTGCATAATTGCAAGGCATATCATAGAATCAGTTGGTACCACTTTTTACTCACATTAATTTTGATGACACCTGCTCTCAAAATAAAGATTTCCAGACTCTTGTCGGTAAGTTAATATTTTTTGGGAACGGACGCAAACGACTGCAAAATTTACTGATCTTTTGTCAATATTGTCATAATTTCCCACCCAATTGCAAAAGATGTTCTCTCTCTGGGATAACTGCATGAAATGCAAGGTAATAAATGCTAAGGCACTTGTCAGTAGTATCGCACATTTGTTTGTTAAAAAGTCTGCCATGCTGCTAACTGAGCCCCGAGTACCGTAGCATATCATATTATGTTACCTTGCTTATTGTGCAGTCTTTATTATTGGCTGTGATATGTGTACAGACTCTAACTTGATCTACATTAACAAAATACCTACAGACTTTTGAAGAAATGTACATGTTGTTAATTCAAATGAAAATTTTAATACTTTAAATTTTAACTTGAAAGCTTGATACTTATATGTACTTTTAATCACTTTATTTTTTGCAGGAATCTTATGCTTTTTGCCGAAATGAAAAGAAAATACTAGCAGTTGGAGCACGATGGCATCACTAAATTATGCCTCCTCCTACGATGATGTGAGCGATGACTCTCAATCTCCCGCGAAGGGCCAGGATTCCCGCGAGATAACCCCTGAGCAGTCTCAGGGAGAGCTCATCATTGTGTCGGAGACCAACGCCAGGAGCTCCAAGAGCGCTCCTGCAGCCCTGCAGACCGGCTCTTTGGATGATTACACTCTGCTCCTTCAGGAGCACAACCTAGCCTCTCCCCAGAAGCCTGTCACCCCTATCACGCCCTTCCACAAACCCTCCACCAAGCAGAAGACGGTGCACTTTGAGACAGAGCCAGAGTTCTTTGAGCCCACCTCGAGGGCCAGGAAGAAGAGTCTGGACCTGAAAGCGAGACTGTATGATAGGCCTCAGGATGCTCAGGTGTTCCAGGCTGCGAGACAGGGCCAACAGAATGGCCAGCAGAATGGCAATACTGATTCCATGAAAAATAAACAGGTGTGTTTCTGTTTTACATATTCTGTGCCCATATGGAATGGAGAAAGGAAATGTATAGAATTAAACAGCAATCAAGGCAGTAAAATGTAAAGAAAAGAAAAAAGCTGCACTAATGTCCTTTGGCAAGACATTGATCTACATTTGCCACACTCCACCCAGGTGAAGTAAATGGGTACCTGGTTGGAATTTATTCCTTGAAACGCAGCGCGGGTAACAGCTGCACTGCTAAAGCCAGGGTAATTATGCTGCATTATTGTAGAGCGCTTAGAGACTTCTGACAAAGTAAGTGTTAGGCGCTATATAAGCACTGTAATTATTATTATTAAATATTATTATTATTATAAAAAAAAAGCACTGGATTGCATCTTTAAAAAAGATGAAAAATTATCTTCATATTCATCTAAATTAGATTTCACTGATAACAGCAGTAACTTTAAAGACATGTTCTGTATGAAATAATATTCTAGGATTTTCTCTTACTGGAATTTACTGTTTACAACAGACAGAATTGGCTTTTTAAATTTAAAATATACTAAATGAAGTATATTTGTGTAAATTTGTGTGTGTTTAGGTTATTTTGTTAATTGATTGAAGAGACAATGCTCTGATGAAGGTTACTGAATATTTCTATATTTTCATTTTTACAGGGAGCACCCCTTCCTCCCATCCCGAGGCCTCCATCGGGTAGCAGAGTACCTGGTCCCGGTAACACCATCAGGACCACATTCTTCAAGAGGGATCAGACAAGAATCAAGGTCAGACGTCAGATGGTGGCCAAGAAGAAAGAGAGTGAGGAAGATGTGCAGAAGGTACCGGACAGTCCCAAGTAAGTTCTGTGCTTTGTAAATCAACTTGATCATGAGAGGTAAACTATTTGACCCAAATGTCTCTATCGTAACTCGACTGGTTTAAGCTCTGTGGGAGTATAGTAATGATAATATGAACAAATGAGTAATTCAGACCGCACTTGCCTCAGTCTATTTGTTTCATATTAAAATGACTTAAATTAAAACCAGCCTAAGTTTAGATATTATAGTTGAATAGGGTCCTTGATTAAACACATTTAACATATATTAGAATGAAATTGAGTATTAAGGTCAGTCCTTTAAATTTTAGACAGCAGAGCATTTTCATGAATAGTAGATACTTAAATGTTTTTCTAAAGAACTTCTTAGCTTGATTACTGCCAATTTTCTAAACATGATGTATGTGTGGTTCTTCACAGAGTATAATTTTATTTCATATAGGACAAGATACTGTTTCGGCACTATAGAGTGGTTGGCATTGAATCATAAGTGGCAAATATCAATTGAATTGTGTTTTTTTTCTTAGGGATCAATCAGTGGATCAAGGCAAGCCAGAACCGCCAGCCAAGACTGCAGAAAAGCCCTCTGCACCCCCTGTGGCAAGTCAAGAGAGCATCGGCCCATTCATGGAGTCCCCTCTACATGATCCTGCAGAGGTCAGAGATCAACAAGGGAGTGCACCTAGACCCTCGGAAAGCAGACAGCTTGATACAGCAGCAGGGATGGAATCGATAGCCCCTCTCTCACCCCTCATGCAGCTCGCCAAGAAGAAGTTCACCCCTGACCCCTCAGAGGGGTCGGTACAGAGCGAGGACCGCACCCCCAGGAACCCCTCTCCTACAGGATCACAAGCTGATGCCAGTGCTGTGCTAACGTACCTACAGACCAATCTGTATGACAATACAGGTAATTGACCATTGGATCCGCCCGTAGAGTATAAAACATTCTTGCTTACATTAGAATTTATCACCTGACGAAGTGTTGCAGCAGCGCACGAAACGTGATCTTATAGATCTTATTTTTGATAACAAAGGAAATGTTCCCCAAAGGAAGATTATTACCTTCTAGTAGAGGTCAACGAAAGAGGAGAATTCTTGTTAATGATTTCACTCATTTTTATTGACGTTTTTAAATGACCGTATGTTGTTCTCCCAAATATTTCATGTTTAGTCAAACTTTTGCATGAAAGGAAAAAAATAATTAGGTCTCTACATACAGGTTCCATTGAGAAATGCTGTTTGTTGGAAAGAAGTATGTATATGTGGTCTTTACAGAGGGTCCCATCTACATATGTGGTAATTACCATCAACATGCTTTACACAATAGATTTCTCTTATCTGAGGTTTTCCCTATTTTTTACTTTAATCCATACCAAACACAAAGCTATGAACAAATTGATCTTGACATACATGTATGTAGGTGTGAATCATCCAACTGAGCTCATTTTGCCTAATTTTGCCTAATTTTGTCATTGACTAGTTTCTTGCAAATCAATGATAACAATCTTTTTTTTATGTTTTTGTTTCTCACAGCCCCAGCTGTGGACAGCTTGAGCTATCACATCAGGAAGATGCGACGTGGTCTAGGTCTAGTGATAGACCTCCCTCGCCATGGACCGGGGATCAAAGACGTCATTCCAACTCTCGAGATGAAGCTTCAGGAACCTGTGAAGGTAACTCATTTCTTACAAGTTGAACTTACCGGTGTACAGTCAAACCTGCTTTAGTGACCACCTGTCTACGAAGACCACAATTTGTTGTTTCCCTTGAAAATGTTTTCTCATTGAAACATGTACTAAAGGAACCTGTCTACAAAGACCACTTTTTGTGTTGCCCTTGGGCGGTCGCTATATACAGGTTTGACTGTACATTAATTTTCATCATCATATCCAAGCATTTAGTGTTTATGCTATTCTAAAAATGTTAAGTTACAGAAAACCTAATCCTTGACAACAAGTTACTTTTGAACGTAAAAAGAGAGAGGAAAGGGAGAGAGAGAGATGGAGAAAGAGAGAGGGAGAGAAAGAGAAAGAAAAAGACAAAAAAGAGAGAGAGAGAGAGAGAGAGCAATTAAGTTTAAAGCTTTGCAAATTTTCAAATAATAATTTACCTGATTGATACATTGCAAACCCTGCATTATGTTAAACACATTTGAATGTTTCACCGCATTCTAATCCATTGAGATAAATATTCACGTGTTTTAACTCTTTGTACTGTGCTCCTAGCTTCGTTCCATAAAACTACAAAAAATACATGGAATAAAATAAAGCAAATAAATGATATCTCTTCATATGAAATATATTATTTCAAATGGTAAAAAAAGATGTTGGTTACATTCTACATGTACATGTATGTCATACCTTATGAATGCTATAATGTAAAGTCATGTACTGGTTTGAAATTAAAATAATCAAACTATTGAATAAACAGTTGTAGTACTTCCAAGCTGAAAATCATCTTTTGGGAGTATTGTATTATATCATGAGCAAATTATAAATTTACTGATGTTGTTTGACCATGTAATTGAACTGATCTTGCTATGATATCATGTATTTGAAATACGCTATTGCATAATCCAGACTCAGGATGGTGTGCGAGAGTATTTAGAGGTACAGTATATAAAGTACTATGACGCAATCCCCTTCCTATCCTGTTGAACTTGGTACATGTATTCCTATTCTGTATCATTTAATAAAGCAAAAGAATGTTGCAAGCCAATAAAGAAACCTAATTGCGTACCGCAATTGAACTTCTTTAAATCAGGACCCTGTTTCATTTAACTTGATATCAATAACACATGCTAGATCACATGCCATTAATTCAGTAGCTTCAAATAGTTATTGTAACTTGTTCTTGATAACAAGTTTTTATGGAACAGGGCCCTGGGCCATGTTTTTTGCAGCCATTTCAAGATTCAAGATTCAAGATTATTTTATTGGTCCATGCATGCAAACATTACATAGAAATTTTGCTTCCAATGGCTTTTTTGACAGTGAAAATACAAATGATAGAAAATACAATATAACATTTAACAATAGAAAACTATGTACATAAATATGGATAACTGTTTATAGTGTGCATATGCCCCTCAATTTCCTATTTCCTACATTTAACATGCGTCATAAATTAAAATGTCCCATAATATAATATAGTATAGTATAATATAGTATTTCTCGTCACCACCCCCCCCCCCTCCCCATCCGCTAGCTCCCGATCCACAGATGGTTTGGATTTGCAGAAAAATGACAGTAATAAATACATTGGTGGGGGGGGGGGGGGTGACAAAATGATTTCTTTACCAAGTAAAAATTGGGCTATTAAAGAAAACTGAATGGTGGATTTTAGCGTGGTTTGCAACATTCTTTGGTATTCTGATACTATCTTCTTGACTCCCTAAAATGTTGTTTAGTGTGAAACATCCTTTTTTATTCTTTGTGAGGTGTATGTAGTTTTGGATAGATCAGTGTGGAAGACTCATTTCCCAATGATTGAATCAGAACCTTGATTGTAGTACAGTACTCCTGTCATATACATTAACTACATGTGTGTTTTAGTATTTATGAGTCAAGTTGTGAAGTTGTGACATATAGTTGTTTCAACAATTCAATTTCTCTACTTATAGAGATGTACATTTAGTTATAAGCCTTTCCAGTTACGAACGAGAAAATTCAAGAAATTTGAAACTTGATTGTATAAAAATGAATCAGTTGATTTTGAAGGATATTGTCCAATTAAAAACCTTACAAATATTTAGATAGAGCGTTAACATTATTTAGATAATTAGATGACTTTTGTTGGAGGAACCTTGTGATTTGAAAGTCTGTCTCTTTTACGTAAAGTGTAGTATGCTCTGCTTTCTTTCGTTTGACGTTCATTCCTTAAAAAAAATCTTCTCTTCAACTTCCTCATCTGAACTTCATTTCTTTTCAAACCTGGTTCTTATGATAGAAACTTGGGTGTTTCAATGAAGAACTGACCAAGTAACAAATATAGTGATTAATGAATTGTCCATAATCTCGATAGAGGGTGATGTGATCGGTATTTCTGTGTAGAAGGAGGTTTCTCTCTATATTTTTAACAATCTGAATCTCATTCTAGAGCCTGTGCACAGTATTGGCAAGCCCCAAACATCACTTTATCAAATTTCTTGGAATTTCACTGATAAATAGCAAAATTCCCACTATGGCATGGGGGCAAAGATTTATTTATCTTACATTGGTTATTATAAAGAGACTTTCGAATCTCTTAAAATTTATAGTTATCTGTGTTTTTAGAAAATGAACATTCATCCCCTACATTTGCAATTGCTAAAACTGGCCAATACTGTTCATAGCCTCTAATACTTATTGTTTCTAAATAAAGGGCTAATTACCTCTGATTTTTACATGTTTCTTCATTTCAATTCCATACTGTGTGTTAAAGTAGAGCTACTGTGGTAGTACCTGTCAAATGTAGATTAATAGTTACATGTAGAGTTTAGTTGTTTGGCTTTCTATTCTGTTGGTTGAAAGTGATTTTAATTTCAGACCCTAATAGTTTTAAGTGTCATTTTGTAATTGATTTTTCTTATGGTATTACAGTGTATTAGAACTTTAAAAAAGAAGAAGAAGAGGAGAATCTAATGAACAATAGAAAATAATATTTATTGTTCAAAATTGATATCTTTAAATATACAATGATGTTCATGTTAAAAATGGAACATATTGAACATTTTTAAATGCATATATTTCTATATTTTGACCAAAACATATTAGCTTCTTCTCACTTAATGAATAATTTGACATTAAATTTGAAAAACAATCACGTTATGGACAATTAAAAAATATAAATCTTTGCTCCCTAGTTGCTACTTTAATATGCCAATAATTTATATACTATGTATTATCAAATTATTGTCAAATATTAAATAAATATGCTAGAATTCTATTTAACTTGTCTTGTTTTTATTGTACAGGAGGTTCCACAGAACAAGTCACAGTTTGTGTACGCATTACCCAGGAATCGCCATGACCCAAGAGGGCGCTATAACCCCTATGACCTCCAGGTTGTATCACCTAACGAGGCCAGGACATCCAAACTTCACTTCACAGCCAGTGCTACATTTGTGACATTGGTGAGTGATGCATTGAGAAAGAATGTACATTCTAAGAATGAATATATGTTCAATATAATCAGTAAAAAGCAACAATCATCCTTGCTGCGCACACTCGGGCTTAAACATGGATCTGGGCGCTGTTTCATGAAACTTGCTATCAATAACAAGTTACAATAATAAGCCAGTTCACGGTTGCAGTCTGAGCATGAGCAGATAAAGGTTGTTGCAATACAAATTGTGAAATACGCAGAAACAAAATACTGGATACATGCTCATGAAAGTTATGTAATCATTATTCATTCATGCACTCCATGATACACAGGTGGAAGTATTCTTTGAAAAGGGGAAACAAAGGCTATTTATGTAGCACCTCCATCACTGTAGGAGTGATTATTTCAAAATGTACAAAGTGAGACCTCTTCATATTTTGAAGATCTGTGGATATTCAGGGTCATTGCAGTCATGTGCGAACCGTGAACTGGTCTATTGTTATAATAGCTACTAAAATCCTTGCAATTGATTGGCTGTGAGCAAATTGGTCATAGATCTGTGGCAATTGTTATTGATAACTAGTTTTATGAAACAGGGCCCAGATCTGTATATACATTGTTTCATGTTTCGGTATGATGATTTTCAGTGTAAGAATTGAGTGCCATTAGATCAGTATGTAATAAATGAGAAACATATTACATTCAATATAATGAGAAAGATATGGATGACTTCCATTAAAGTTAATTTTAATTTTGTTGTCAAAATGTCTTTTATATTCTTTTAATTTTGGTTCTTCTTTATATTTTTTTCCTATTTATATTTTAGCATATTGAAGAAGGAGAATATGAGTATGATGAAATCACGCCCACAATGCAATGGCAGTATGAGAGGAGACTGTTCGCGGCCATTCACACCCAGTCTGTCTTTGTCAAATTTAGGTAAGTGCTCATTACATTTTTGTTCTTGTAGTATCTTTTCTATAAACTGGGGTAACAAAACTATATGTGTATATATTATTATAGTGCCTTAGTATTCTAGAGAAATGTATGAATTTGCATTGAACCAATTTTTATTCCAACTTTACAGGCCTTATGAATGACATGATACCTATATTGGAATTAGAACCAAAGGAAATGGGCCTATGTTCATAAAACATATATCTCTTCTTCTTCTTCCTTTTTGAGTACAGACCTCTTTACAGAGTATTATCGTACTATACAGGGGGTGTGTGCATGTGGACCACTGCACCGGGGTTTCCCCTTACTCTTATACGAATAGTGCAGTGGGTTCTTAACGTGCAAAGGTAGTGACTCTTCTCTACACGGGGCCTCCATTTAACGTCCTATCCGAGGGACGGTGTGTTTTCCACTTAACATAACCTGCGTCTATGAACAAGGGAAGGGGCACGTTAACACACAACGCAGGCTTCAGTCATCCGCCTGGGTGGGAGTCGAACCCGGGATCTTTGGTTTTACAGGCGGACGCTTTACCGACTGAGCCAACTCGCCTCCTCCTAGTTAAGAGATGACTAAATAGTAACGTGGATGTAGCTAGTTCACAACTAGATTAATAAGGATGGGCCTTGGTGATTATGTTTTTTATAATGCATTTATAAGATGAGAGTGACTTATCATTTCCCTGCATCTTTATTTTTGTTTTGTCCAGGATCTGGAAAGCGTTCAACGTGTGGAAGATAAATGTCCGGGCAGCTAAGAATGCACAAGCAAAGTAAGTTGCAGCATATACATTTGTTTGTACCTTGACATGTGTTCATAAACATACATACCTCTTTGTGCAGCATTGTCATTACTTCATCAATGGAAAAGACAAACAAATTGAAATTCATTTAAAAATGGTTGTACAGGGGGTGTTTCACAAAGATCCCAAGTCGAACTTAACTCTAAGTTGGACTTAAACATTATGGAGAACCATTTGTAGCCTTAATATAAAATATATTCAAAAGCAAAACTTCAAAATATTTTAGACTCTTCATGAATTCCACATCAAGAACATGAAATCTCCTGAGAAAATATGAATGATTTGAATCAACATTTTATGCTTTTTCGAATAACTTTTACAAAATATTTTCAAAGATGCTTACGGCTTTCCATAATTGTTAAGTTCAACTTACAGTTATGTTTCGACTAAGGATCTTTGTGAAACACCCCCTGAAATTGTAGGAGAGATGCTAAATGACAGTCTATCCTTACTCATGAATGTTACCCCTAAAAGGAAATAAACAATTGAAAATTAAACCAGTATGAAACCCCAAATATGTAATTAAAAATAAAATAATATGAATATTTATATGGTGTCGGTATCCGCCAGGCTATGACGCTCATGGCATTTACATATTACTCTGGTTGTAGCCGAGCTGCCAAAGTAACTAGCGCTCAAGCATAACAAGGACCCATTTATACATGGGTGAAAAGTTGCAAATTTAGATTAACGTCTTGCCAAAGGACATTAGTGCGGCGGCAGGAATTGAACCCGTACCTTGTGATATGCAATCTGGTGACTTATCCACTAGACCATAACACCTCTCTATGAAGACTACATGCTGTTTCATTCTCCTTTAACAATATCTTTTTCATCTTGATTCTTAATCCGTAGAACCATCATGAAGAAGCAGCTCTTCACCGTCAACGAGATCCTCCAGCGCTGCCTCCTCTACGTGCGTGCCCAGTGCGAGGCGGCCTGCAGCAGCATGACCGGCCAGGGCACGGGGGAGAAGGCTATCTGCCTGGTGGCCCTGGACAACCACAAGACCCTGACCCTGGGAGAGTTCTGTAAGAACCAGGCTAACCGGTGCGATGCGGCCCACCTCCAGCTCTCAAGGATGAGGGAGAAGTTTGTCAAGCTGGCCTGGGAGTGCTGTGTGGTACGAAGAATGTTCTCATTTCATTTTAATGGCATATGGCAACCCTGTCTGCTCTGTCAAAATCTCTTCACCTGTTTTGTATCATGATCAGTCTATTGTTTTGTTATTAATTTCGTCTGTTGTATGTACTTTTGTCTTCTGAAATGCCGAATAAATAATAATAATAATAACCTTGATACTATTTTGAGGAGACAAATTAGAAATGGGAGACAATTTGGTAGAAGTTTGAAAACAATGCAGCAAAAATAATGAAAGTACGCTTTGCAAGTTGAGATCATTAAATGTACAATAACATCAAATTCTAGCATTGGTTATGTGACCAATAAAGTAGAAATTCAAGACGACTCTCCATATGCGTGTAGATGGAATTTTGTAGATATCCAGCTGGCCTTTTTCTTGATACTGTTTATAAAATATGTAATGTTCCTAAATAGAGCCTTACTATATTAACTATATTATTACCGGGAAATTGATTATTACAATGGTCCATAATTATGATAGCGTATTAAACAGTAAGACAGAAGTGTTTTTAAGTATACCATTGGATATGACTTAAGTTTGGTATAAAATATATTTTCTAATGACCCTTCGAAGCCTTAAAAATCTTGGGCATTGTCATCATCAGATTAATGTTGTAAATAATAACAATAATAATGGTGCGTTCTTATATAGCCCTTTTCAGGACTGCAGGCCTTCTCAAAGCGCTTTACAGATATATATTATTATCCATAATAGAATTAAAAGCTATTCATTTCTTCATGACCTGAAGAAAGTGGCATAATTACCAACCACAATTGCTTACTTTGTGATTTTCAGAAAGTGGCTGAGATGGAAGGCATCAATCATAAATTCCTTCCTGGCCAGGGACCTCTCACCAAGAAGGTTCAGCTCAAGAGAGACAAGGTTGAAAAATCCAAGAAAGATGATAAGAGTAAGTCAATGCCAGGGCCCTGTTTCATAAAACTTGTTATCAATAACAAGTTACAAGCTACTGTTATAAGCTACTGAAATCATGGCATCTGATTGGCTGAGAGCAAATTTGTCATAGAAATTTAGCAGTTGTTATAGATAACAAGTTTTATGAAACAGGCCCCAGGGGGGTGTTTCACAAAACTTGTCATCAGTGACAAATGACAGTAGTTGTTATAAGCTACTGAAATCCTTGCTTCTAATTGGTTATCAGCAGACTTGTCACTGATATTTATCATTTGTCATTGAAAAAAGGCTTTATGAAACAGGCCCCAGATCCCACCGCTGCCACCAGGTTGTGTTATGGGGCATGGCCCAATGTCAAATACATAATACACTGTAGATTATGGACACAATAATAAGTGGAATCTTGAGACGATAAATAGACTCACGTCTCCCTCAGGTAGAGGTTTATTGGCGCGGACCAATAGGCAGAGTAAAGCCTCGGTCACAAATGCCATTACGAACGCCGTACAAACGATTTTCAGACAATGGAAAAACGGAGATTCGTACGAAATTATCGTTTGTACGAACCTTTGTGACCGTAGCATTACAATGATATGGGTGCAAGCGTATCATGTAGTTCCATTTACGATACATGATTAAACTGTCATAATACAACAGTATGTGGTGTGAATTACTGGATAAAATGCATCATTTGAGAGAAATTCCCAAGCTGTGCTGAATGTACATCGTACAATATAAATCCTCATGTATTTCTGGGTCTTTTTACCTTTTGAATTAATAAATTAATAATTCATCATTACAATTTCCACATATTGCCTGTTTTTATTCACACTGTTGGATAGGATTTAGACTTTATGGCCATGTTTTATGCAGTTGTATGGTTTGGAATTCTAAAACTTGTTGCCGGCATTTTGTTTCAAGTGTTCTGTCATCTGCTTCTAAGAAAGTAAAACATATATATCTGTACTGATAGGGCAAGGAATGTAAACTGATAATTTTAAGACTTAAAGGTACTATGTCCAATTAGCAGGCCAAAAAAATTAAAAGGTTAAAAGTCACCGGCATTTGAAAGATAATACAAATTTAGAACTTTCCTCAAAACGAAAGGGCTTGAAAATGTCTTTTTGTGGGAAAATAACAGTTGTCAAATTGACTTTAGTGATTGCAATCAATTTAGTATATAGTTTGATTTTCGGACCCTTGTACTAAATTGTCTTAAGTTTTGTGCTGCGCAAAGATTCAATCAGTTTAATTTTGGCCATTACAAGAAGTGGGCCATTGATGTAAACAAATGCTCATGTTCCCTTTACAGCTCATTTCATGTATGTTATTACCGAAGAAAAAAGGAAGTCAATCAGTCCCTCAATAGTGTCTGACAGTGAAATCTAGAAAGTAAATGGGTTTCATTGCATAATTTGAATACTAGGACACTGCTAACATTTAAACTTCACATATAGGACTTATGTGACATCAATCAATCAAAAAAGAGAAGAGAGCCACCATTCTTATCAGAAGCTTACCTTTCCAATCTGTCAAACTACACTTCTGTCCCCTCTTCTTTGCAGGTATTGGCCCTACCTACACCCAGATAGCGCAGTGGCGAGCCATCCTCCTTCGTCTGGCCAAGTTCCTCCATGCCACGGACTACGTCATCCTTGACCTCCTGCATCGCCTGGTCAAGACCGCTGTCCGTCTCCTGCAGGAGTTCCTCCAGATGTCCATCTCCACTGGAGAGGAGCTGACCTTGAAGGAGGAGGGATCAGATAGCGAGAGTGATGGGGAAGGGGACAGACCGAAAAAGAAGACTGGAGGTGAGGAATTACATTTTATCTTTCTACAAAGACATGCTCTGACTTTGTTTAATTTAGTCAAGTTAGACAGAGAGGAGAGATAAATTTTTAAAAATCACATCATTTGCTGTTCATTTTTACCTGGGATGCTAATAGTGGTTAAAGGTAAAACAGTCAAATGCAAATAAGTATAAGTATAAGTATAAGTATAATAGTTTATTGTCCTTTTCAGGAAATTTGTTTTCCACTGGTTACAGAGTATTGCGATACAGATATATAAATGAAAAATTACATGACAGTGATAAACATACACATATGATAAACATACAATAGATGAGGTAATATATATGTAAGCCACGGTATATATGGTGGTTAAAGAGGTAATATCAGATTCCATTTTACAAAATATGAAGCTGAATTATTTAATATCAATGATTATTTCATAGTAAATCTTAAAATGATAATAAATACATAAATCATTTTTATTGTCATTTGTATTATTGTATTATTGTTATTATTATTATAATTATTATTATTATTATTATCGATTACCATTTTGAGTATAATTATTACGGGCATCGTTTTTATTGTTAAGTTTATTGATGACACATAGATTGTAGTTACTGGCTCGAACGGTAATTGATAGTTGGATGCAATATGCATGGCATATATTTGAAATTTATATTAAATTACATTTATATTAAAGGTAATACAAAGTTTTGGTTTGGGGTCATGAATTTGGTTCAAATGAACATATTGGAAGCATATGCGATCCTACAATATTCACTGATCGTTGTCGCGGTCGAAATCGACTCTAAAGTTATGAAATTGTAAATAATAAACAATTTATGTTGTATAGCTCCCTCTCAAGGTCAAGATATTAATTAAGCTATAAAACAATGTTTCTTGACTAATCGACCAATAAGCTATTCCCGTTCGGAAAATATATACCACAACTACATATTCTGAGATTTTTATGGTCGCATCTACCATTGTACGGCCGTAGGAGCTATTTGATATTTATCAAAATTTACCGGGAGCACCGGTAAATCTTAATATTCAATTTTTCTCGAAAGCAGAAGTGTTTTAAGGGCTAAAATTGCTAGTGCTTTTAATACATCCACAGGGGCATCCAAATATATCAAAATTGTAAATATTCACTATCCACCCATTTTTCAAAATTTCCCAAAACTTTGTAATACCTTTAATACATTGACATGGTAAGTTCATAGTAATCAAACACGTTTTGCTTTGGAATTGAAAAGATGAATGGAGTCGGGGATAAAGGATCTTCGGAAACGTGCACGTTGAGTTCGTGGTGTGCACAATGTCATTAGTATTAGACTTTGTTATTTGATAACTTATTTAAAGGGTTATTTAACAAGGCTATTCTGCCACAAGGTCCATTCAGATGGAGAATTTACATGAGAGCACCGGGAGTAGACTCATTGAAGCACCTACAGTGCTCGCATAGAATATGGCCTGCACAGAAACCAAGTCTGTTTTGGGGTTCTGTGTATTCGTCTTGAATTCCATTTTATGTTATCATTAAACTTCTCTATACTTCAAATCCATTAACCTGTACATTTCTGGGCAATGTTTTTTGAGGTTAATGTTATACCTTCTAACTAATAACTAATTATTGCTTTAGCTGATAATATAACTTATAACTTATATGCTTACAACAAAAGAGAGGAATATGGATTGTTTTTGAGTTTTATTAATATTTAAATGATATTTTCATTGTACCGTATGCCAAGATTGTTTATCCAGTTCTTGCTTTCTTCATTCAAACAATCCTTTCACTTCCTAGGTTTCACAAGAAGACTCAACACTCTAGACCTTGATAGCAGATCAAGCACCCCGGACTCTGCCAGACCCGATACAGAGGACGGAGGTCAGCGCAAGAAGAAGAAGGTCAAAGGTCAACCAGTCAAACCCCCGGCGGATGTCCCCAAGTATGACTTCAACAAGATCGAGGAGAAAGCACAGCCTGTCAATATAGATCAGGTAGAAATCTCTTACAAACTGACTTTTAAATTTTTGTTATTCTTGCTATCAATTGAAGATGCAAACTAATACCAGTTTACATGTAGTTGGAATTTTTTTTGAATACCATAGATATCTTGTTGGAATGATTGCAATCAAAAGCCTTTCTAGGAATTAAAAAAAAAATGTAACTCTTTAGATTTTAGAATTAATGCAGAGATGCCAACTAGTACGGATTTCCCGTAATTGGTACGGAAATTAACGACCATTACGGCAGTACGGAATGTTGTCTAAAAATTACGTTTTTTTTTTTTTTTTTTTTTTGCGCATAGGGATCTATCGTAGCAAGTGCTGTACAGTATGGTGGCCATCCAGCACTCGCTGCATGAGAAAGATGGAAAATTATCAAGTATTCTCTTAATAGAAGCCAATTTTTCATTGAAAACTTATGTGTTGTGATGAACTGAAAATCAATATTTAGCAACTTTGTGGGAGTAAAATCACAACAAATTTCAGATAATCATGCGCGCATGCGTCCGCTTGCCATTCTTTTAAGATTCATGGCGCCGCATAGGAAATTACTGATTTATTCCCCAAATTACTGATTTTGAGCCTTATGGTTACTGATTTGTGCTCTGAAAGGTTGGCATCCCTGTTAATGCATTTGTTTATGCAATGAATCAACTGTGGTAATTTTGCATGTCCACTGTAACTCTATATGAGCAATACCCCTTTACCCTACAGAATCAGAACGTTCATATTGCCTTCAAGATATTCCAGGGCCCCTTCTTACAGAGAGTTGCAATTGATCCAAATCAGTCGCAAGTCCTGTTACAATTATAAGTTTGCAGTCTCCTATCTTTTATGTACATAGTTGTGATTGATATCAATTGCAAATAAGTGGCAATTAATATCAACTCTTTGTAAGATGGGGCCTAGGATGTTCTCTGCTAGGCAACACGAATCATGCTCTGATTCTCTACATATTATTTTAAAGAGCGTCCCGCACCATTCTTATCTCATATTGGTTCATTATCCTATTCACGGTTAACATATGACCGATACTAACCGTGACTATATAAAATCAATACAAACTTGTGTCTTGATACTAGTATAAAGTCTTAATTCTCTTGTTTTATTTCTTATTTACAGATTCTGGATGACTTGAAGAGACAGGAAATCGTTGAGATGCCTCCTGATTCAGTCTTTCAGATCCAGCTTGTGCTCAACGTCCCTCCCTTAGACAAACCAAAATCTGTACCATCGTAAGTATTATAGGCTTGCAGTCTATAGAGTCATGTAGCTTAATAGCAAAATAATATAGAGGCATTTAAAACTACAGCCTTTTAACAAAGAAATACTTTTGGCTTAACAAAATTTGTCTTTCGTCTACCTGGGACTTTTTATTTGTATTTTTACTACGGTATGCTTGTTCTGGAGTCTGAAATGCATACTTGTCCCGCTTAGCTAGATGAAAAGTAGGTGGTAGATGATGTTCTTACTTAAGAACTCATGGTTTTTATTTGACTATCATTACGTGTTGTTGAGCTACCGAAATCCAGTAGTTGTAACATTACTCTTGCCATTTTGTCTTTCTGCTTCAAAAGTTGTGACTTTTATTGATGTGTTAATCCTCTTTTAAGTGTTGCAATGTAATTCACTTATTTTGATCACAGTGTAATGCATTTGTTAAATTGTCATGTTCATTTTTTAAAAATCTAAAAAAAGCTTGAATAGATAGGAAACCAGGGCCATGTTCCATTAAACATGTTATCAATAACAAATGCAGAATTTCTATGACAAATTTTCTCTCAGCCAATCAAATGCAATGATTTCAGTAGGGTATAACAGTTATCATAACTTGTTATTGATAACAGGTTTTATAAAACAGGTCCCAGATAGACATATAAGTAAAGTAAATCATATTTAACCGAATGCAGGAACAAGAAAGCTGGTAGAAGGGGCAGAGGAAAGAAGAAGGTTGTGACCTTCCATGAATCTTCAAGCAGTAGTGACGATGACAGTGAAAGCAACATTGACTCAGATTCAGGTAACAAAAAAGTTTCCAGCTAAGATTGTCATTCATACATGATGCTGTAAACCATATAAAAAAAACCACTGCGGCATAATGAATTCAGCTAAATTGAGTGTATATCAATTTCTGTATCTTATTTTACAGAGATAAAAGTGAATACGCATTTTATTTCTAGAGAGCCAGAAAGGTGTTAACTCATATCCTTTTAATGCAGAGTTAATACCCTTCTGGCTCCAAACAAAAGTCATAGGGCTATTGTCATGTGTAACAATTGTGTTTTTTTTTTTTTTTTTTGAATTTTAATCTCCAAAATATGTTCTTGAGAAATTATAGTCTCTTTTGCTTTTGTTATGCCTCCGCCACCGAAGGTGGTGCCGGAGGCATCATGTTTTCGGGTTGTCCGTCCGTACGTCCGTACGTCGTCCTGTTTGACCAGACCGTTATCACAATATCTCAAGAACCATTTAAGATTTAAACTTATGACTCGGGAATAGTATTTATCACCATAGGAAGACGATCTGATTAGATTTTGGAGTATGTAGGTCAAAGGTCACAGGTCACAGCGGTCAACTTATGAAATTCCTTGTATTGAGTTTGTTAGCGCGATATCTCAAGAACCATTTGAGATTTAAACTTCAAACTTAAGGATAGTATATATCACTATAGGAAAACAATCTGATTGCATTTTGGAGCACGTAGGTCAAAGGTCAAGGGTCATAGAGGTCAACTTATGAAATTCCATACATTGAGATTGTTATCATGATATCTCAAGAACCACTGGAGATGTAAAAACTTCAAACTTAAGGATAGTATGTATCACCATAGGAAGACGATCTGATTAGATTTTGGAGCACGTAGGTCAAAGGTCAAGGGTCACAGAGGTCAACTTATGAAATTCCATACATTGAGATTGTTATCATAATATCTCAAGAACCACTGGAGATTTAAACTTCAAACTTAATGATAGTGTGTATCACCATAGGAAGACAATCTGATTAGATTTTGGAGCACGTAGGTCAAAGGTCAAGGGTCACAGAGGTCAACTTATGAAATTCCATACATTGAGATCGTTATCGCGATATCTCAAGAACCACTGGAGAATTTTCACTTCAAACTTAATGATAGTATGTATCACCATATCATAATATCTCAAGAACCACTGGAGATTTAAACTTCCAACTTAATGATAGTGTGTATCACCATAGGAAGACAATCTGATTAGATTTTGGAGCACGTAGGTCAAAGGTCAAGGGTCACAGAGGTCAACTTATGAAATTCCATACATTGAGATTGTTATCATGATATCTCAAGAACCACTGGAGATTTAAACTCCAAACTTGTTTAAATTGCTCTATGGCGGAGGCATCATTTTCGACTGCGCGCAGTCAAAATTCCATCTAGTTTCCCTTATTTTTTTCCTTTCTTCAGTTTCCCTTATTCCCAGTTTGAAAACTAGTGATTGTTATAATAATTTTTTTAAAGTGATGTACTTAAAAAGTCTAATTTGCTGATTCTATTTGCTTTCTCTTGAAGGACACGAAAGTGAGAGTTCTTCGGATGATTCAAAAGATGGACGTGACAAAGGCAAACCATCCAAGAAATATGCCTATCCTATCGAGTAAGTCATCAAAGAATTTATTATAGAACATTCCTAGCATAAAGTACTGAAGGATAACAAAGTGAGACTTGTATGTATTGACAAGGAAGACACATAAAGTGGTCTGAAAGGCGGTCTCTTTGTCCAGGTTCCTTTTGGAAAATTTTAAATGAGAACACTTCCAAGACATTAAGGAAATGGAAGAAGACCTTTTTTCTTTGGGAGAGGGGGGGGGGGGGGGGAGGTTGTTGTTTGTGAAGTGGTTTTCATTGAAGGTGGTCTTTCTATATAGATGGTCAGCCAGTTTCACTGTAATATATTCTGTACAACGTTCCTTTCATTCACCCTGGTATGTTGGATACCTGGATACTAGTATAAATATTCAATAGGAGATATTGTGGCCTTTATTAGAAACTTGTTTGGAACAAAATGTAAATGATACTGTATTTTTGTTATAATGCTATAAGATCAAGCCTCTTGAAAGGGAATATTGATGGAAAATTTTGATCTTTTCACTTTGAACCCCCCACCCCACCAATTAAATTATCTCTAATATGACACTCAATGTCTTCACTCAAATCATTTCCATAGCCATCAGGGAGACGGGGACAAGGTACCTAGCAAAGTGACGATCAGTCTACAGCCCTCCAGAGAACAGTTCATGTCCAAGGTCAAAGGCATCATTGCCGGTTTTGAGCACACTGTGGGTGAGTATAGCTTCTGCGATTAAAATTATTTTCATATTTTTGTCTTGTCTACCGTTTGCTAAGAGTTTGAAGGGTGTGAACTTTTATGCTACAGCACAGTGTGAACAAACTTCTGGCCATGCACATGATATTATGTTTTGTCCGTGTTCACATTGCATGTAATACCAGGGGGAAAACAATCGTTTGTATTATATATGGACAACATGAATGAAAAATGACACATTTGATTTCAACTTTGGTTCAGAACTCTACTTTGTAAGTTATGGAGCACCAAAATACATTAGGCTTGCATGCCCCTAGTTCCGATTGCTTCATAGTTGACTTTCTCCCTGCCTTCACTGTGTGGTTCAGGTAGCAGTCACATCATTGAGATGGGTTACTTTCATGTCCCATTCACTCATTAATTCACTTCTTTGGTACTTGCCCCCTGACCCCAGGTCAAGTCCAGGCCTTACATCGTGACCCCTACCTCCAAGTCTTCTGGAGCCCTCCTCGCTACGACCTCAAGCTCTCCACCATGGTTATGGACGACGAGGAGGTGCGTCGACCCTGGCCCGACCTGGAGCTGCTCTTCGGGGAGGATGGGGAGTACGGGAGCTCCGTCACGGAGGTGCTCCAGGCTCTATCAGAGAATGTCAACTCGGTGCAGGAATATGCCAAGGTAACAAACCAAATGTCCACTGCTGTTTGTATATTTTGCACCTAGATTACAAAAAAAATGCTCATTAAGTTCAGATAAATGATGTGAATTTCTCGTTGTAATTAAAGAATGATCTATAATTTTTATGCCTCCATTACGAAGTAGCCGGAATCATTATCTTTTCAGGGTGTCCGTCCGTCTGTATATACGTACGTCCGTCCGTACGTCCCGTTCTTGTGATCGCGTTATCTCAAGAACCGATTGATGGATTCCTGCCAAACTTAGATCATGTATGTATCTTGCAGAGCCAATGAATTGATTAGATTTTGGGGTCATGATGTCAAAGGTCACAGTGCTCATTATGTATGCAAAAATAGCTTGTGATCGCGTTATCTCAAGAACGGATTGGTGGATTCCTGCCAAACTTAGGTCATGTATGTATCTTGCAGAGCCGATGAATTGATTAGATTTTGGGGTCACGATGTCAAAGGTGAAAGGTCACAGTGCTTATTATGTATGAAAAATTGTTGACTGCTCGTACACTGTTTAAGAATAACACTTTTTTTTTCTTTTTCTCACTTCTAAATTATTTTGCAGAACTTTGAGCCATACACTGGCATGGTGGACCAGGCAAGACGAGTGGATGTTGAGGGCTCCCTTCAGAAACGAGAGTGGACCACGGAAGAGTTCAACCATGTCCTCTCTGCTCACTCAGAGATGGTAAGTTGTCAGTCCCTTATTTGTTTGAAGTGGCACCACACTACTTCCTATACTTGCATGCCTGCCAACCCTTACAAATAATCCAGAATATTCCTTTTTTCTGGATTTCTAGGACCTAAAAATCCGGAATATTGTTGTGCTAAAGCCAAATTAAGCTTCTTTAATTATGTGCCGCGAGAGTTCATGTATTGTGATGTTGAATGGCCGCATGATCGAGCAGCGAATTTGTATTCGCTTTTTGGTACAGATTTACCGGTGTATTGCCAGTTACACTGCCGCTGCAGATGTGATTTTTTATTTTTCGAAGGCATACCATGCTAAAAATTCCTGATTCTTATTTTCAAATTTTGGCAGGTATGTACTTGCTCCCTCTTAATTTCAAATTTTGGCAGGTATGTACTTGCTCCCTCTATACAGCCAACAATGCCTAAGCGCCTTGTTGATCCCCCATGGTCCCCTTTTTCTTATGGTAATCGAGAGCTGATTTGATGAGATAACCACCTGCCAGTGACCATGCAGGGAGGTTTAATCCCTCCTGGCCAAGCTAGTGCAGATAGGCTTTCAGAAAAGAGCTGTGTATCATGAAGAGGAACTAAAGATTGCAAACGGTGTGATGAGGATTATTTATCAAGATGAGAGCATTCGATACTGTAGGAGTGGTCCATGGAAGTGACATTCCCACAACTTCACCAAGTATTATGTATGTATATATAATAATAATAATAGTGGGTTGTCTGTCATGTCGGTCAGACTTGACACTCCTGGCGGTCCCGATTATTACCCTGGCTTTAGCAGGGCTGCCATTACGGCGCTCTAGCATTTCGAGGAATTAATTCCTGCCAGGTATCCATTTACATCACCTGGGTTGAGTGTGGCAAATGTAGATCAATGTCTTGTCAATCGCCAAATTCTTTGAATAATTTTTGTGTAGGTTCACTCCATGGACAACATGGAGAAGGAGCGTAGGAGTGGGATGATCCATGTCAAGGTGCAGAACTTTCAGAAGACCTGTCTTCCCTACCCAACCAATGTCATGGTGGCCGTTGTCAAGAGACTTCCGCAGATTGCCAACAGGCGCAACGAGAATCTTCTCAAAGTTATCAAGGTACGACCTCTCAATATGATTTGATTCATCTTGTTTTTTTTTCACTTACATATGATACATTGATAGAAACTGATGCAGTTTTCTATAGAGTAATAAATGATTGAGTGACATTTTATGATACGCAATGTGGCAGTTGAAAATTTAATAGAAATGGAGCAAGAAGAGACATTATTGCCTAGGAGAGGATGCGGCTTGGGGTATTATGAAAATGGAAAATCCTGGTTTTAAATCAAATTACTAAGGCTGTTTTATATGCTATTCATCTGCAAAATTGGTCTTCTTAAAATTAAAAAAAAAAAAAAATGTATATTTGCTTATTTATGATTGGTTGTCAGAAAATACTTTTTAGTATTTTGTGTTTGTTGTGTTACTGAAAATTGTTTATAATTATACGGAATGCATACGAAAAGAAATCAAATCGAATCTAATCTTCATCCATATGTGTAGAAATGAGTCGTAGGTTCCCTAGAACTTACTTTCATACTAAAGCATTTGCTTTTTCACCTCTACTATTGTAGATAACCATGAACTAATAAAAATATTAGTATTCTGAAAACTATGATTTCGCGAAAGGGACAGAGTCTACACTATTTCTCATTATCAAGATACATGTATGTCCTCTAAATGTTGATCTCTCTGTGTGTTGTATTTGTTCAGAGTGCCTCTAAGAAGCTGGACCACATGCCCCAGTCCGTGGAGGAGTTTGTGGAGCATCTCTCGTTCCTCTCCCGCATGGGATCGGAGCTGCCGTCCCTGGAGAAGGAATACTTTGTGGTGACGAGGCTCTTCACCATCGCCAAGGACTTTGATGTCCCCATACAACCGGAGGAGCTGGCCTTGTATCAGACACTCATGCCAAGCTTCCAGCATCTCAAGGTATTGTGGGTTAGAGAGGAAGAAAGAGGGAGAGAGAGGCGGATTGAAGGGGAAGGGGAGGAGAGAGAGAGAGAGAGAGGGGAGGGAGGGGGGGGGAGGGGGGGGGGGGGGAGAGAGAGAAAGAGGGGGAGAGGGGATATAGTGCGAGTGTGGGAGAGGATGGTGGGGGGAAAGAAGGAGAAGAAGAAAAAGAAGAAGAGGAGGAGGAGGAGGAAAAAAGAAGGAAAGATGGAAGGAAGGAAATAGGGATATGATGATAAAAAAGAGAAGGTAAAATGTGTCATAATACATCAGTGAAGAAGTGAAAAAAGAGAGAATGGATATTTCATTTGGGCGATTTTTCTCATGTCCATCTTCATGTCTGTTTCTTATTCCACTCCTATGTTCCCTTTTCCCTACAGTCAACCATCATCTACTGTGAGGCCAAGAAGGATGAGAATATCAGCAAGTTCAGTGATGATCTCAACATCCACATCCAAGGACTTTTGGTGAGTTTGCCTGTCCAGCTTATTCTGTACAATGGGTTTTGATATTTTCTGTTCACCTAGCATCTCAAAAATCAACTTTAAATGATATATAATGGATTTGTTACAGAAGTTTATCTGAAAAAAAACATGTTACGATATTATGACGGTTTTAGTCTTCCATGTATGTTGAATCAGGTTTCATTTTGGAATGAGTTTAAGTGATTAAAATATGATTATATACACAAGGGTTAACAGATGTGGTGCATTAATAAACTCTGAGAATAAATCATATTGCTTAGTAATTGTGATGTTTTCTGCATCTAGTTTGCACTCTTTTTGTTTGAATTGATGTACATGTAGTCAAACCTGCTTTAGTGACCACCTGTCTACAAAGACCACATTTGTTGTTTCCCTTGAAAATGGTTTCTATTTGAAACATTTACTAAAGGAACCTGACTACATAGACCACTGTTTGTGTGTTTCCCTTGGGTGGTCACTGTGGACAGGTTTGACTGTATCTGTTTCCTATGAACAATCAAGAAATTAGCTGCATACGTGGGATTTTGGGGATCATGCATGAGCATTGTAAAAGATGATAGCCTAGTGTAAGTAATAACCCACCTCATCCATTCCCTCCAACAGTCCGAGGCATACGACATCCGCAATCGCGTACAGGCCCCGACCCTGCTCAGTGCAGACACCCTAGCAGTGGTGGCCATGGAAAAGCTGAAGCTGCTCAGTGATGAGCTCAGTGCCATCTCCGGCAAGGCCAGGAGCTATGCCAGCTACCAGGATCGCTTCGGGAGCTCCATCTCATCTCAGAACAGGATGAAAGGCATCTCAGAGTAAGCTCTACTGTACCTCCTAGTGTCATTTTAGGAATTAGCTTTTTGAAGTATTAAATTGCAGGTAGAGACTTAGGGAATTTTTAACTATAATGCTAGGGAATGCCAAGTACTAGGATTGGTAGCTGAATCTCTTGTGACAAAGAGAAAAGGCATTTTTTAGTTAGTCTTAATAATGTGAAAACAAACTTTTCCATTCATTGCAAGGTCAGATACAAAATTTGAATCAGCAGTAATTCAAGGATATTTATTCATGGCACCAATAAAGAAAAAAGCCTCATATCAAATTGTTTTCATTTTGTACAGAATATAAAAAATGAGGGAAATTTGAAAATTACCAACACTACATTATCTTCAAACTTAATGTGCTATGAACTTATGCATCTGCCACCCCTTCCCGTAACAAGCTGAGAGATTTATCATATTAGGTCACTTAAATTCTCTCTAAAAGCTTTTCTCAAAACTTCAGTATTTCCCCCATGCTTCTTTTCTCAACCCATGCTGTACTTTTCTCACAGAGAGTTCATGACGTTGGACTACAATGACCCATAACAAGCTGAGAGATTTATTATATTAGGTCACCTTAATAAATTCTCACTAAAAACTTTTCTAAACAAATTCAGTAATGCCTTTATGCTTCTCTTCTCAACCCATGCTGTACTTCTTCTCACAGAGATTACATGACGTCGGACTACAATGACCGCGGTGCTAGCGCACAGCAGATCCTGTCGGAGCTCTCGGAGATCGAGCGGGAGCTGCAGCTGAGGAAGCTTCTCTGGGAGTCCTCTGACGAGTGGGGTAACCTGGTGGAGGACTGGACCGAGACTCAGTTTGATGGACTCAACGTGGACGTCATGCAGAAGAATGTCAGCAAGTTCACCCAGACTGTGTTCATGTTAGAGAAAGGTGAGCGGATAGTTACTGCTTGAAACTGTTGGTTTGACATTTGCTTAAGAGGGTGTTTCACAAAGACTAAGATCGACTTTAAGTTGGACTTAATTGTGGCAGGCCATTCTTGTCACTGGTTGCTCTAATCATTGGTTTCTTAATGATGATCTTTAGATAATTTTTTCCCTTCAATAATGAATTATCAAAAACATGTAAATTCTGTGAGAGAAAAACAGTGGCATGACTGGCCTGCCAAAGTTAAGTCAAACTTAAAGTCATTCTTAGTCTTTGTGAAATGCTCCCCAGGTCTTATTTGTCAATGATATATGGTTTGGACTTGGCTTGTGGTTGTTTATTTTTAGTCGGGATAAGCTTAGGCTGAGTATCAATGCCTAGACCTAGTCCTAGTTTGATGGACTAAACATAGATGTCATGCAGAAGAATGTTGGCAAGTTTACCCAGTCAGTGTACATGCTCTAGAAAAGTAAGAATTGATGCTACATCAAGTTTACCACTTATACCCACATTGATGTGATGTTTTGATTACCTGATAGCTTAGAAATTAATTTTGAACCAATTTTGTTTGTTGCTTTTAGGGTTACCAGCAAATGAAGTGCTTCCCAGGCTGAAGGAGCTGGTCCTAAGCTTCAAGCAAGGCATGCCAGTCATCACAGCCTTGAGAAATCCAGCTCTTCGGCCTAGGCACTGGCAAGAGATCCAGGCCCTGATTGGTAGGGCCATCATCAGGGACAAGAACTTCACCCTTGGAAAGTTTCTGGAGCTACAGGTAAAATAGAAACATTCTTGATATTGTGTGATAAGACTTATTTTCTCAGGGCATGATCTTTTTATGCCTCCATTACAAGGTAACCAGAGGCATTATGTTTTTGGGTTGTCCATCCGAACTTCCCATTCTTGTGATCGCGTTATCTCCGTTCGTTCGTGTCTCCTTAGATACAAAATTAATGTACATGTAACTTATCTTGATAACTTGTCGTTATCTCCAGAAACAAGTGATGGATTCCTGCCAGACTGGGGCCATGTATGTATCTTACAGAGCCAATGAACTGATAAGATTTTTTTGGGCCATGAGTTCAAACGTCACAGGGCTCATGTTTTTATTGTCAATTCATATTGAGCGATTGGAAAATTGATGATAAGTTTGTAAATCTGCACGCACAGTATCAGGATGTTATGCTATGTGTTGTTTATTTTTCTCTTTCAGCTCTTTCAATACAAAGACCAAATCAATGATATATCAACAACAGCCAGCAATGAAGCCACACTTGAGGTCATGTTGAATAAGGTAACATTTTATCTGTGATTTTGTTTCCTCTGTTTGTTAATTTGGTGATGAGTTGGTTGTATACAAGTTGAAATATGCTTGAATTCCATAAACCCAGCTGCATGTTGTATCTTCTGTAACTTGATTATAGATGTGAACATGACACTGAATGTTGTTACTTTTATATATTAATCATTTCATGTTTTGATCAATGTGAATTTTCAAAATGAGGCATCAAGTGCATCATACGAATATATACCAACCACTTTTAAATGGTTATACACATGAAACATTTCTATATTATATTTCATGTAAAAAAGGTATGAGATAATAAAAGTTTTTCATCTTAGTGGAGAAACCTAATAAAAACAAATTGTTGGGGTTTAAAGGGAGAGGGTCGTCAGATTCTATGTGCAGAAGGCCATGATTCGCAGACACAAAACTTGGTGGAAAAAACATTATTGGGTGTACAAGTCTGCACACAGCAAACCTGTAGGCCTATCAAGATATACCCCATAATCTCTCGGAGAGTCTTTGAATGAGGGAAAACTAAGATAGTGGCTTTATCATACGGGGAATGGAATAAGGCCTGTTCATAAAACTGAAGGCTCCTGGTGATTGACAACACCTGTAATTGGGTAAACACCCGAAAAGTGTCAAATTCCCCAGAAAAGCCGACTCCTGTGTGTCCTTTATACTTATGATATAGTGTTTTAAAACAAAAGATAAGAAAGATTACCTTTTCATAATGAAGTGAGTGTACCAATTTATAAAACTAAATTGATTTCTTCTTCCATGGTCTCTCATCAGGTCATTGATCTGTGGCGAGTGACGGACTTCCGCCTGGTGCCCCACAGTGGGCGTGACTTCAGCATCATAGCAGGAGCGGATGACATCATGACCCAGCTGGAGGAGAGTCAGGTTACCATAGGAACCATCAGAGGCTCTAGATATGTCACGCCCATCAAGGTATCATCATCTTCATATCTTTGATCATTTGCCATATCAGGCTTGAAGAATGAGGGATATTGAATGCACCATGTTGAGTCAATGTCACAAGGGTCTGTAATTAACTTTGCCTGACATCTGTGTTTTTTTCTACCATTTTGAAAATAGATTTAATCAGATTTCTGCACTAGCTTTTATGGAAGGAGGTCATTTTGATATTATTGAACTAAGGGGTCCTGATATATATCTCTAAATGAAATTATTGTGAAAATTATGAGGTAATTCAGAATTTACGTGGGCCATCTGCCCTGAGACACATGCTACTGTTCAATTCTGACTTTGCAAGCAAAATGATGACTTTAAAGTATTGTATGTGTTAAAGAACTTATCAAATCACAATTATAATTGTAGATTTTATCAAATTTACAACACTTTGTTACCTTAAAATTTTAAACTATTTTAAACTATAGCCTGCATTCTACTAAACATGGGTTTGAAGTGTGGAAACTTAGATCTCAGCATCTTGGTCTAGAATATCTGTCAGATAAGAGCAAGCTGAATCCCAGGGCAAGATTAAGATTATGAGTAGAATATGGGTGTAGTGGCATACCTGATGCTTGCAACAAATCATATTGCCAGTAGTTTTAAATCTGGGGAATACCCTATTTACTATAATCGATGTATGTGTTTCATGATTGTTTTAGGCCCTCGTTGATGAATGGGACAGGAAGCTGAATGTGTTTGCCCGTACCCTGGATGAATGGATGATGTGTCAGAGAAACTGGCTCTACCTGGAGCAGATCTTCACTACACCGGACATACAGAGGTAATATGTTGATTCATCATCTTGCATTTTTATTGACCCTCCCAGTGGTATGGGTATTTGCACAGCCCCAATTTTAATATCATATCAAATCTTTGGAGGCAAAGAAGAAATTGATTTTTTTTCTCTTTAGTCATATGTGATGCATAGAAATTAGATTTCATTGGACGCTGTGTCAAGATGATCCCCCTTCAACAAAATTAAAAAAGAAGGAAAGAAAAAAAAAGATTTAATTATATCTCACAAAATCCTATTTGTGATATATATTTTGGAAACTTGCTGGCACAGAAAGGTGAAAGGTAGTCAATCTAAAGACCATTATCACTTTTTGATTTGACTCGGACAAATATGTTGGAAAGTGTTAAAGGCATTGTATTGTGAGACATTGAAATGATCAAATCTTCCTTAAAAATTATAATTGTAGTGGTCCAAACAACCTCATCATATGTGAGAATTTCCTCACCCGATCAACAAATCAGGACAACCTAAAGACATTTTCCCTTGATATACATGCTCACTGCAAGCACTTAACTTCATAATAGCATTATACCTCTAATATTGCTTTCATCATTCCTCTCACCTCTCTCCTATCTTCCAGGCAACTCCCTACCGAAGCCAAGCTGTTCGCCAGTGTTGACAAGTCTTGGAAGGACATCATGCGTCGTACGGAGGACAGACCCAATGCCCTCAGGTGTGCCACTCTGCCTGGTGTACTGGAGATCCTGCAGACCAACAACTCCAACCTGGAGAAGATTCATAAATGCCTAGAGGTAAGAATGATTGCTTTGAAAGTGAAACTCACTGAATATATTGTTTATCAAACAGGGTCATGCTGCATAAAACTTATCATTGATGGTAACTTTGCCATCAATGGTAGCTACCATGGAAACCTTGATTTTGATTGGCTGTTGAGCCCTGTTACCATGGTAGTTGCCATTGATGGCAAAGTTTCCATCAATGGTAAGTTTTATGCAACAGGGCCCTGGTGTGTGTGTGTGTGTGTGTGTATTAGGTTTTTACAGACGTGTATCAATCAGATATGATTATTTACGTCTAGGGACCGACCTTTAAACGTCACCATCCGGAAGACGTGACTCAGTTTCGAACACGAGTCCTTGGCTGAATCAGTTTGTAACTTCCACTGTTAGCTGGATTACAGGTGCACGTCACAACGCCTAGTTAGGCTAGGCGTTTGGTTGGTCTGGTTGGTTTGGTTGGTGTGTTCTTTTATACTTCTAAGATTGTTAACTTGTGCAATATGAGTGTAGCGTCTTTTAGTGTATGCAGTATACATGTTGTACATTGATATTTGAATGTTCATTCATGACTATTTTGATATTTCACTGAAGTAGGAACAAACTTTTACTGTAATTCAGAGAATATTCCTGCCCTATATGCAATAGATGAAGTTTGTCTAGACAGACTTACATTTGTAATGCTACCATAGTTATGTCGAAGGTTACTGTAATGACTTGATGCATTGACAACATTTATTTAAAAAAATGTTGATTGTGGTTGCTTTTGCTCTGCTGTACTGCAATAAAGTAAAAGAATTCTGTTTTAGAAATAATTTTGTATATGCTGTATTAACTCTGCAGAAGAGGTGTTTTTAAACTCTACTTATTGCTATGTTGTATCTCACATCTTTGTAGGACTACCTGGAGACCAAGAGACTGGTGTTCCCACGGTTCTACTTTCTCAGTAATGATGATCTACTGGACATACTGGCACAGAGCAAGAATCCTGATGCAGTACAGGTAAGGGTCACCATTCTCTTAATGATCTATGAAGATGACTTAATCATGAATTGACAAATAGTTGACTTGAGTTTGATTTCTAAAAAGTAAACATTACTCACTTGATTATGTAGCTGTGGCTAAAGGGTTAAAATCTTGAAAATGATTTGACATGGTAAATTGTATTATTGGAATATTTGTCAGAGGACATTTATTTGTTTTCCAAAAGCTACATATCCCAATTTATCTTTGATGTTATTATTTCAGTTAGACAACTCACAAATTTGATCAAATCCCCTTTGCTTGAACTTGTTTATGACTTGAAAAGAATTAATCGTTCTTAGTTCTTGCATAGGGACATACAGATTTATTGCATTCCTGTTTATTTTCTTTTGTTTGGTGACCATTTCAGCCCCACTTGGTCAAGTGTTTTGGTAACATCAAGAGCCTAGAGTTCCACAGAGAACCCAAGCTGCCACCGACGGTCAGAGCTATGATATCAGCTGAAGGGGAAGCCATCTTCTTGCCCAAGTAAGTCTCTGGACAACAAATGTCCTTTGGTATAGCAACACCAGGGGGGTGTTTCACAAAGATCCTAAGTCGAACTTAACTCTAAGTTGGACTTAACAATTATGGAAAGCCGTTAGCATCGTTGAAAATATTTTGTAAAAGTTATTTTAAAAAGCACAAGATGTTTATTCAAATCATTCATATTGTCTATTTTCAAGGAGATTTCATGTTCTTGATGTGGAATTTATGAAAATTCTAAAATATTTGAATTTTTGCTTTTGAATATATTATATTTTAAGCTACAAATGGCTCTCCATAATATTTAAGTCCAACTTAGAGTTAAGTTAAACTTAGGATCTTTGTGAAACGTCCCCTGAAGGCCGAGTGAATTTTTTAAGTAATCTGAGGTGCCAGAGAGAGTCTGGGCCGTGTTTCATAAAACTTGTTATCGATAACAAATGCTATATTTCTACGTCAAATTTGCTCTCAGCCAATCAAATGCAAGGATTTCAGTAGCCTGTAACAGTCATTGTAACTGTGGTTATTGGTAACAAGTTTTATGAAACAGGGCCCAAAGCTGCCACCTATAATCTTAGCTGAGGAAGTAAGGCATAAGCCATCACTCCTTATATTGATGTCGAGGACATGTATCATGCTGTAGTATTTCAGGCCTATTAAAGTGCCATGGGTGCCAAAATCCAAGTGGAAATGTTGTGGTTTAGTGGTTCATTCACTTGACTCTCAATCCAAGGGTTGAGGGTTCCAATCAGAGCCTGGCGCGACGTCTTTTGGCGAGACATTAATCCACATTTGACAATCTCCACCCTGGTGTAAATGGGTACCTGGCAATTGCTGGGGTAATAATAATTACATGGCCCTCATGCAGAACAGCACTGATGCTGATGAGGCCTACCTGGGTAAAAACAATTATCGTTATTGTCATTATTATTTTGATAAGGGTTACCAGGTAAAAACAATATTTTTAGAGGGGTAATACTCAATTTTGATATCAGTCTACACACCTAATGTATTGCTGGAACCATTTGGTTGCCCTGACCGTAAATTTGAAAAAAGGAAGAAGCTTATAGATCGAGGTAGGCAATTGCATTGTTCTTCTTGAATCACCACTGAAAATAAAAGCTTTGTTAAACAGTGATACATACTTGTAGAATTAGAGCTGAAAGTTGTCTCTTTCTGTAATCCTCCATCAAACTTTTTAGGATTTTGTATCACAATGAATGTACATCTTTCCGGATCCCTCTTCACTTTGTTCCTGAAGGAAAGTATTTTTCTTCTATCCAAACCGTGAATCCTACTTACAACTGATGAGTCTGTTTTGTTGTCCCCACAGGAATGTTCGTGCAAGGAATCCGGTAGAGCAGTGGCTTGGCAGTGTGGAATCGGCCATGTTTGACTCAGTGAGAAGGTAAAAACATAAAGGAATGAAGGGAAAAATTAACATAGAGAACATTTATATTTTCTTACCAAACCCTTGGTATCTTTTGGTACTAAAGCAAACATTATTGTTTAAATATTCCGTACCACACCATTTGCATAAAAATTACAATAATTCAATCAATCATATTAAAGTTCCTAATCATTTGTCAATGCGAAATTTGATGGAGAGGACAAGCAACATATTTAAATCAATCACAACTCTTAATAAGACGGTCGTCTTGTCCTATCTTTCAAGCCTTTAACGACAGTGTGTCCTCTTTGTAGTATAATATCTAATGTACTTCTGTCGTAAAATAACAATATAACATCTAAATGTATTACTCAAACTATATGTTCCTCTTCATAATATCATTAAAAGTGTAAAACTATTGACTCTTTTAATAAATATATGTTCAGAATGGATATTGATGTTGAGTTTTGGAATTGAAATGAATTGAAATGATCAACCAATGTAGACTTGCATGTACCTCCATTTTCCTGTCTTCATTTTATACAATTTTATTCCATTATTCTCCCTCTTTTCTTTTAAAGCAATCTTCATCATTTTTATACAGAAATGTAAAGTATTTGGATATTTAAGTACTCCCAGTTGTATAAATATGATAGATAAAAGATCTTTCTTAGAAATTATAATGTTTAGAAATATTCAGAATATTGTTAAATGGGAACAGTCAAAATTTGTAGATATTATTTAGTCTTTAGACAGGAATCGGTTTCATATGTATAAATGTATGTAATCCTTTTGCTCGACTTGTATATAGCATCTAGATTTTATTTATATTTCTGCTCTAAAAAGTGATATTCATATTTTTAACTACTGTATCTGTTTACTGATCAACTCTTGTCATGCTATTAAAAGAAAACGGAGCCTTTTTACTCTCTATCTCTCTCTCTCTCTCTTTCATTCTGTTTCTCTCTCTCTCTCTCTCTCTCTATCTTTCTTTGTTTCCCCTCTCTATATCTCTCTCTCTATATATATCTCTCTCTCTGTGCATACTAACCATGTATTAATCCCTTTGTGTCTCATATTATGACTTCTTTCTTTCATTAATAATTCTCTGTTTCTGTCCTATTTTCTCAGATTCATTAAGTTTGTGATGGCAGAAAAGCAATTCCAGCTCCTCTGGGGAAATACTGAACAGTTTAGTAAAATGACAAACAGAGTTATTGCTTAAATAACCCCATGTATTCAGTTCCTTGAACTTACCCCATATATTAATCAAGTTGATTTTATACACTTCAAAGAAAAGAAAAGAAAAAAAATCCTGTATTTCACACACAATGCAGCCTTTGCAATTTTTAGCGTAACACAAATGAATCCTTTTGTTTTTCTTTGATCTTGTTTTCTGCTTTTCTACACATTTCTTCTTTTGGATGAATAGTTGATTCATCTTCACATTTCCTCTGCTTTCAAATCAAGAAAAGTAATTTAGATTTCTTTCATTTCATGCTTGTTAATGTGCATCCCAGTTGTGTTCTGTCGTGTTTATACTTTCTAATTTTCTTCACTTTCATCTTCACTTATTTTTACTCTACATCATTCAAATGTGTCTCTTTTTTTCTTTCTTTCTGTATTCATTGTTGCTAGTGTACCTTTTACATTTCACTGGCTACAGAAGTATTATCAGTAATGTTTACATTTTGTTGCAGTATTGTAACATTTGTGAAGTTTTGCTTTCTTGTTATGCAATCCTTATCATTTACTGTGTACAAGTTTGTCACATTTTACTCCCTCCTCTTGTATGTGTAAACATGTACAAATAACTGACCAAGAATAATTGCACTGTCATCTCATTTTAAAGCACGCTTTGGCAGCATTTTGTGACTTTGTTTTTAATATATATGTAATGATAGTGAAAGAAACAAAATCACTTGAAATGTGTCTAGCTGTAGTATTGTTATGACCCCATTTACCAAAAGCAACAGCATATATTGGCATATCATTTTTGAAAAGTGAATTGTTCCCATACTAAATCACTTGTATCAGTTTCCCCCTATTATTTTTGTTTATTCTGCTTACAACCCAAGTGCAGATGTGATTAAGAGTTCTTTTAAGTAATTTATTAGCATTATGATTGTTCATCTTGTTGATAATACATATGCTTTCATGTGGTAAATGGATATTTAGCACTTGTACATTTTGTGAAATACAGCTTAAAAGATTTATTTTTATTTTTGTATGGTTCAAGTTAAATTGTTTTTTTTCTCCATTGTCATGTGCAGAATAGCACTTTAAAAAGAACTTTATAATGCACTTATTCTGAGTAAAAGATGTCAAATACATCTAGCATGCATATTGCTCAGTAGTAGATCATGTTTGATACACAATTTTAGAAAAAAAGAAAAAAGCTGCTTCATGTACTAAAGATGATGTATCATGACTCTTTTTTACCTTTATTTTCACTGATTGTGGAATATATGCACATTCAGATCTATATAAAAGAATGAACAATTCTTCTGTCAACAATCGGTACCAAAAATCAGACATGGCGCTTTGCATAGTTCAGCCCCTTTTTAGAATGGATCATTCATTAAAGAACAACCACACAATGTCATCCATTAGTCTTTTTTCATTAAGTTGTGCAAGCCATATTATAGGTGATGATGATGATGATTGATGATCCACAGCACTTGTGTTGCACCATTTATCTGTTTCAAGCATTCAAAGGCGTCCGCTCCTCCAATAGTCGAGTACTACACATTTGCTTGAAAAAAAAATGGGTTTTGAGGCTTGACTTGAAGCTTTGTAGCTTGTCAGTGTCGCAAAGAATAGGAGGGAGGGAGTTCCAGAGGCGTGATCTTAATGTTATTCTGTTGATGTCCACCATTTTGTTCCAGGAATCTGAAGGAGAGTGTAGGGAAGTGGGGTAAGGATCTTGAGGACTGGGTCATGTCGCATCCTGGCCAGATTGTTCTCACCGTGGTAAGTTTGTCCAGAGTCTTTTTAAAATGTATTTTTTTAAGTGTGACTGACAATTTCCAAAGTGGTCTTGACTCGATCTGCATCTTCCATTTTGATTTTAATCATCTTTGGTAGTATGATGGAGGCCATGGTACCAGCCAGTGATTACAAGGTATACATGTATGTTCCTGTGGCCTCCATACATGGCATTAATTAATTACAACTATATTTTGAAGAAAAAAATTGATTAAGGTGAGAAAGTACTTTGCAGCTGACTGCATTGGCATTCCGTGTGTCTGTGACTGGAAGGCTTCCGAAATCCTACAATATTTTGTTGGTTATTGAGAATTCGGCCAAGAGTAAATTTTGGTATTTTTTTTACGTTTCATATCTTATCCTGTTAGAAATTTCTTCCAAAATCTGGTTGTAACCAGGTCATAAAACCTGTGGTGGCCTTTGTTGCAATAACAAAAGTTGTTGTATGGTTGAAACACATAGGTCCGGGACCCTGTTTCATAAAATTTGCTTATCAATAAGCAAGTTACAATTACTGTTACAAGCTACTGAAATCGTGGCACTTGATTGGCTGTGAGCAAATTTGTCATATACATTTAGCTTTTGTTATTGATAATAAGTTTTCTTGAAATATAGGGCTAGAAGCTGCTCATGAGGTATCTGAAGCCTTGATGGAGTCCAGGGATAGACTGTGAAACCACTGTGAGGGCTTGCATGGTCTATTCTTAGTTTACAAAAATATGTACCGATATGTTTCTAGTGAGCATCATAAACAACCTCTCTGTCACAATCTTCATCACTTGTCTTATTCCGTAGGTCCAGATCATGTACAACCGAGAGGTGACTGCCAGCCTGGAGGATCGCAAGGCATCCAAAGCCCTGATGGAGTCCAGGGACAGACTGGTCGGCCGTCTCAACATCCTGGCCGGAATGGTGACCAAGCCGCTGCCCCATTTTAAGAGGAACAGTGTGGAGGCGCTCATGGTCATCATGGTCCATTCCAGGGATATTGTGAATAATCTTATCGATAGCAAGATCAGGAAAAGTGATGATTTTGAGTGGACAAAGTAAGTTTGTGTTTGTCTATCTTTTCAGAGAATAATTAAATTACCAAGTTCAATTCTTTTTGTAATTTGATAGTTTGTGTGGAAATGATGGTCATAAATGGTTCTAATTGAGTGTAAAATGGCATGTATTGTGCCATAAAATTAATGTAGATTTAGTAAGAGCAACAGATATAGACATGGGGTCTACTACATATGGATGAGTCCATTGACTACTGTCTGTAATAAGCTAATAAGTTTCATTTCAGCAAAGAAAGACATAGATAACTGATAGGAATATGTGAAACACCTTGTGAATACCGTTTTCTAGAGTATTGTGTAAATAAGGAATGATCTGTAGTGAGTGGAGATAGTGCACCCATAATTTGAAGATTAAATTTGAATTTACAATTTGGTACGACTGTCATAGTAACAGGGGTGCAGTAGGTGCAGTCATTGAACAGGATGGATATGCATAATAAACTGAATGGACATGGGTATTCATTTTATTAATTTCTATTTCTCTCTCAGGCAACTACGTTACCAATGGGAAGAGCAGGGCAACTCCTGTATCGTCCACCAGGCCAACGCCTCCTTCCAGTACGGCTACGAGTACCTGGGCTGCTCCCTGCGTCTGGTCATCACGCCCCTGACTGACCGCTGCTATCTCACGCTGACCGGTGCCATGCACATGCACCTTGGCGGGTCGCCAGCTGGACCGGCCGGAACGGGCAAGACAGAGACGGTCAAGGATCTGGCCAAGTCGGTGGGGAAGCTGTGTCTGGTGTTCAACTGCTCTGAGGGGTTGGATTATAAGGTGAAAAGATTGTTTGTGTTTATATGTCATGTTTTCTCTTGGATCAATCTTTGAGTTCACTGCCCAGTTCCCCTTCCCCCCTTTTTTTTTGTATTTGAAGATTTAGTAAAAACATCATACCATGGGCTTTGTTAAAGAGGCTGATGATTTAGGTTTTGAATTTGATAGAGGAATTAGAGGAAGGAGTGTAGAAAACGAAACCAAAATAAAGTTGACCGAGAAAACAAAAATTGTGAGCACGGTAGATATATTACAAGGTTTTGTGGAGAAGTTGATGAAATTACTTATAAAGACAGTTCTGAAGGGGTAAAAAAGTTCTCAATTTTGAATAAGTAAGTATGGAGTTTTTCACAGTGTGACACAGGTAAAGATATTCTTTCTCCCTATTGAATATCACTTACTATGAACATTTAGAGATGAAGGGTAAGTTTCAAGTCCATCCCAATGTGGTATCAGTTTGGAGCTTTGATAAGTTCAATCAAGTTGAAGTACTCTCTTATAACTCTTAACAATCCCCACAACATTAATTTTGTAATTTTTATTGACATTGACATAATTTACTTAGCATAGAATGTTTTTCATTTGGTTTTCTCATTGCCCTTGGCAGATGATGGGCAAGTTCTTCTCTGGTCTGTCCCAGTCTGGTAGTTGGTGTTGCTTTGATGAGTTCAACAGGATTGATATCGAGGTACTCTCTGTCATCGCTCAGCAGCTTCACAGCATCAAGACAGCCAAAGATGCTAATGCTCTCAGGTTAAAACACATTGGATTTTGAAAAACATAGTTGCCAACTGTTCCTAATTTAGTACAAGTGATTTTTTTGATTTGGCCTGTAAAGTAATGTTATGGAAGATTATCTCTTTTCTGAAACTTCTTTGTAAAAACACTCAAATACTCTATTCTTGTTATCACTTTGGAGGTTCGCAAGTGTGGTGATATATCTACCTAGAAAGCTCTAAATCATTTAAATCTGTTTTCCTTAAGAGAAAATGTTGTGTGAATCATTCTTTCATTTTTAATAAGATGCCGTTGGTCGGGAATGGGGGGGGGGGGAATTGTATAAGAAAAATGGGCACGCACATGTATTGAAGTGTTAAAAGAGATATATTTAAATGGTATCAACATTATCTCTTTTCCAGGTTTATGTTTGAAGGTCGTGACATCAGGCTAAATACAACATGCGGAGTCTTCATCACCATGAACCCAACGTAAGTAAACATATTATATTGGATGTTTATAGTCAATTAAAAGGAAGATGCTCTCAGTGTCATCTCCGAAATTACAGTTGTTACTTTCTTTCTGAACCCTTGATTAGCCATAACAAAATATATTCCTATTCATTTCCTAAATACTATGGTTCAACTGTCAGGGCCGACAGTTGCTTAGGGAATTTTTGTTGTTGGTATCATTCACATCATGTATTTGATGAACCACCCCTCCCCCTCCATCCTCACCCCTCCCCCTCCCCCTCACCCCTCCTCCTCACCCCTCCTCCTCTGTTGTATGAATTAAGATTTATACACATAAAAGTAATTTCTAAATTTGCTTTCATACTTGACACTCCTTCCTCAGGTACGCTGGACGTGTGGAGCTTCCAGACAATCTCAAGTCCCTCTTCCGCCCGGTCTCCATGATGGTGCCTGACTATGCCCTCATTGCTGAGATCATGCTCTTCTCCGAAGGCTTCACCTCAGCCCGGTCGCTCTCAAATAAGATCGTCAACCTCTATCAGCTGGCCAGTAAACAGCTCTCTCAACAGGTCAGCATTGATGGAGAAATGAAAAAAATATGAGGATTTTAAAAATCTTTTATAATTTGAGATTATTCTTTATTGATATGATTTGATTTGATTTGATTAATTTATATTTTTTTGATTTTTCTTTTGCAGTTTTACAAATATATAACAAACAAATCTTTGCAAATGTTATACATGAAAAAAGAGTACCTTGTATATGTATATGTATTAACAGTCAAATTTATACCAAATCAATTTCAGTAACAAAGTATGATTTTAAAACTTGTCTTTGCCTATGTGCTTATGTTGCATTTTGTCGATGACGTTCAATATGCATGCATCGTAGGGAAGATAGCAAATATGATGAAAAAGCAAGTTTTTAGTTGATTACATGGTGTTAGTAATTGCCATATGCCCTTTGGAATAAGCTGCCACTTAGTATTCGTAATTTAACTGCCCTTTATGACTTCAAAGTTGCTCTAAAACCCCATCTCTTTCTAAACAGTGCTATTTAATCATGTCAATGTAGCGTAATAATTTGTGTTGTTTTAGTTTACTTTATTTTAGTTAAAAAAGTTATATTTTTGTGATAGTTATACATGTATGTACAGCGCCATGAGCCTGGTGGATACCGGCGCTATATAAATATCCATATTATTATTATTTTATTATGCCCTCATGGTAGGTATACTCCCCAGAAAATGGAGATGGTGCACATTGTGTTTGAATGAATCCAATGACCGGGGTAATAATATCTGTAAAACACTGAGAAATGGCATTTCGTAGTAAACACTATATAAATCAGATTATTATTGTTATTATTTGTTTCTACAACCAAATGGTTATCCAAAGATCTGTACCTCTTATTACACAAGTAACAAAGCATTTCTTTCTTTAAAAAATATTTTCTTGTCTTTTTATTTTAGGATCATTATGACTTTGGTATGAGGGCCATCAAGTCTGTTCTTGTCATGGCTGGACAGAGGAAAAGAAAGGCTCAGATGGAGTAAGTATATTTTTACAAAAATACAAAGGAATATATATATAATGTAAGATTGTTATATTGGCATTCATTTACCACCTAATGGTAAAGTGATATCCAACCAATTCAATATTAGTATATAAATATAAACTTAACAAATTAGTATTTCTGTATTTTTTAAAAGAAAGTTTGAATACTTCTGTCACAGTTTGTATTTGACTTAAATCCTACAAGAGTTGATTGTAAATTTAATTGAATTATTAATTTCTTAAAAAGAACATTATTTAAAGAACGTATTTTAAATGTACCAAATATTGTCACGGTTGTAACTTAGTAAATGTATTATGCATATCCCTGATGGAATTCTACAATATGTTGCCAATTTGGTGTTGCCAATTTAATATTCCCTATTTCATTTCAGGTCTACCGAGGCCAAGCCGCTCAGCGAGCTGGAGGAATCCTACATTCTCATCCATGCCCTGAGGGATGCCAACATGCCCAAATTCTTAGCGGAAGATGTACCCCTCTTTGAAAACATCCTAGCTGATCTCTTCCCCGGCATCGACCCACCACAACCAGACTTCGGGGTGTTAGAGGTAGGTGGAGTTAGTGATAAGTGTTAGAGTTGTGGGATTCTGATGTGGGTGTGACAGATTGGATTCAAGTGGGGTTTAAAAGTTTTTCTTTTCTTGTGGAGCCATTATCTTGTAAGGTCTAAACAAAAAAGACGTTGTATTGCCCTTTATGTGCCAAAACATGGGTTGGTAATTCTCTTCTTTTTCCTCCCTCTTTTGGCCGATGTTTCTGAGTTTTGAATGCTTTGATACATTTTTTTCTCTAAAATAGTTTAAATTTTTTTTTTTTTTTTAAAAGCGGACCGCAGATTTCAATATTCTGTTTAACACCTAATAGGAGTGACTATTAAATGCCAGTCATATATATTGTATATATACGTGACTGAAATGTTGATTTCTGACTCATTTCTCAACATTTTGATATCACTCACTCTCTCTTTGTCTTTCTTTCAACCTCTTCCGCTCCACATTTCAACTCAAAGTTTAAATTTAGAAGCACAATTATTATAACAATGCTACATGTTTGTATTTATTTGTTCTGTCTACTTATTTTTAATTTCTATGTACATGTAGTTTTCCTTCTTGATGTAATCAATTCCTTGTCCATGACATATGGACAGTCCCTTTAAAATATTATTTCACAATCATAGCGATTCAATTTCTTAGTGGTTTTAGCAGTGTTCTTAAGTAATGTTAATTTGTCAAGTTATGTTTAATTTTTTTTTATTTTCTTGGTAATTTAAGTAATGTTAATTCCATTAGTAATATTGATTTGTGTACAGTGCTTTGAAACTTTTCTGTCACAATCGCTTTATAAATTTTTCGTATTATTATTATTATTATTATCCCCTCCGATCTAGTCAGGCAATTTGTAGAGTATCAATATCGAGCTGCCTATAACCATAATCATTTATCAACCCCATTTCAGAGAGCGATCTCCATGGCGATACGTGACCTGACCTTGCAGCACTGGCCGAGCCAGATAGAGCACGTCAAGCAGCTCCATTCCCAGATCCTGGTCCGACACGGTGTCATGCTGGTCGGACCATCGGGCGGTGGCAAGACGTCCGTCAGGAACATCCTACAGAGGGCGCTGGTCGTCCTACCCACGATTCACATGGAGGAGGGCCATGAGAAGGGCAAGACGGTCATGGTGAGTAAACTCAGAGTTATATGCTGGTATTTTTCTTTTCATTTTCTGAAATTTGTAATCTTTGAAAAATGTTGAAGATCACTTTTGTTATCATTTTATCCTAATCAAATCTGTGGTTGAATGAATGAATGAATTGACTATTTTACTCTTTTTTTTCTTCATTTAAAAAATCTCTGGTAAGGAGAGAATACATTTATATATCCACATCATTTCAAAGGGGATATCATTTTAATCCATACACTCGCTTTTTTTATAGTCATTGAGGAAGCTCTTGTGTTTTTTTGTTTGTTCATGAAGAAAATTATTTGCTATGAAAGAGTCAAGCAGCACAGCTGCACTGACAAAAATGAGGTTCAATTGTGATCAGTTGTTATTTCTCCCTATAATAATACAAGTACACTGTAGCATCCTACTGCAACATTGGATTCTTTCATAATGAGTAATGTTCTCCTATGTATTGTCTATGTTCTACACAGTATGAGTATCATGTATTGTACTTTGAAACATAAATTATATCACACTGATGTACATTATGTACGTTTAACATATGTATGTTTAAAATATGATACAGAAATCAATAAATCAAATCAAATCAAATCAAATCAATACAGAGAACACATGGCAAGAAGGGTCGTGTGGACACGTTCACACTCAACCCCAAATGCGTCAAGATGGGTGAGCTGTACGGTCAGACCGACCCAAACACCCTGGAGTGGACGGACGGTCTCCTCGCCTCAGCGGTCAGGAAGTTCTCAAGGGAGAGCGCCAGTCATCACCTAGGAGTGGAGGACGAGGGTAGACCAGGAACCAATGTCAGCGGGACCATTAGGGACCTGGACTCGGTTTCAGGGGTGAGAATATTTAGTTATGGTTTCTTTTTGGGAATAGAGGTCAGTGCGATATCGTGTGCCAACCCATGTGAGTAAGTATATTTACATAATTAAAAAAACAAGAGAAATATGAGTAGGAATAGGTAGCATAAGATGTTTAAATACCTTTTGAAAGAATACTGAATTATTGCAATACCTGTATTTTAATTTGAGATACGATCGAAAAGTTCAAATAAGAGATTTTTGAAAGTGTCAGGAAATGGTATTGGAATGGATTAGGAATAGATATAGATATAGTAAGTGTTAAATGAATAAAATTTATGGAAATCTCTTATTCAACCTATGACAATTCCATCCTTAGATGACCACCCCAAGGTCGGCCTCCCGAGGCCCATCCCCCGGAGGAGGCGCCTCCTACCCGCCGTCCACCTCTGCTTCCCAGTCTGTCCCTGACTCCGTCACGGGCGACGACACCGTCCGGCCGCTGACCGAGGACCGGAGCGAGAAAATGGGCCATGGGGCCAGTGAGCAGACGCCCAACGACTGGCAGTGGCTGGTCCTGGACGGTCCGGTGGATACCCTGTGGGTGGAGAACCTGAACACAGCGCTGGACGATAGTAAGCTCCTGTGCCTGGCTAATGGGGAGAGAATCAGCTTGACCCCTGGTATGAGGCTACTGTTTGAGGTGGACAACCTGTCTCAGGCCAGTCCGGCCACGATCAGCAGATGTGCCATGGTGTATCTGGTGAGTAACATGACCTTACTTATTGGTTTTGAAAAACACTGAATCAGTTTGTTCTGTTTGGAAGGGAGTATTCTACAATCTCTCAACACAAAAAATGTTGTAGAGGTGCTATAGTTTTGCCACATAGAATATTCCTTCCATTGCTCTTTACTGCTCACGCCCTCAAGAGTTTGCTTTACTGTATGTCCTTTAGAGGAACTACGATAGATGTTTCTATTTTTGTTTACAGAAATGATTATTTATCTTGTTTTATTTATTTTACTTTTTTAACTTCTGTAAGTAATGTAAAAAGAAAGGTTACTGAATTGCATGTTTGTGGCAGTAGTTTAATTTATTTAATCTTGGTTTTGTTAACATGGCAGGATCCTGTTGATCTTGGATGGCGGCCATCTGTGAAGACATGGATCTCAAAGTTATCCAAGGATGTAAGTATCAAACATTTTAAGTCTTACCTCATATCTTTCCTGTCAGGCTAGTTAGAGGGAAGGTGATTATTCACGACTGCAAGGTTGTATAGAAGCGTTAACTTGACAAGAATTAGTCAGTAGTATGCAGAAAGGTTCTGTTCTGCGGAAGATGCTTACCTGTATGACAAATTACAGCCAAGAGATTGTCTCGTCTCATCTTTCCATTTTCCCTTGTTATACAACAAGAAATTTCAACTATATACATTGCTTTGTTGATATTGTAATTTTTACCCCCCAAGAAGGAGAAATTATCTTTTTTTTCAATGACTTTTTCAATATTCAAGAAAAGTGTATTCCAGTAAATTGAACCAGTGTTATATTTAGCAGCTTTCCACCACCAGGGACCTGTCTGACAAAGAGTTGATATCAATCGCAACTACGTACATAAGAGATAGCAGATTGCAAACTTGAGATTGATTTGGATCAATCACAACTCTTTGTAAGACGGAGCCCAGGTCTGAACAATATTCCACTCCTGTTCTTCATCACAGATACCTGAGAGTGGGAAGCAGCATCTGCAGGCGCTGTTTGACAAGAGTCTTGACAAGGGGTTAGAGTTCGTCCAGGAGTACAAAGGTCACCAGCATGTCCCGGCCTCACAGACCAGCATGGTCAACACCCTCTGCAACCTGCTGGGAGCCTTCCTGGACTTCCTCGGCAAGAATGGTGGCTTCGGAAATCCTGGTGAGCTTTTTGTTTCTTATTGCTGAAATTGTTTGTATAATTGTGGTGATTCCTGTTTGGAGTAGGGCTGAGATCAATGAAATATTCAATCAGCTGTCAGAAGTACTCCTTTCAAAGTAATATGTCTTAAAGGGGGTGTAGCATGGCAAATACTGGTTAACGATTTATTTTGGACAACTGCACATAAAAGAATGGACTTGATTAATGGTCAGCGCGCGCTAGCGTTTGCGAAACAGACCAAAGTTCTCCTGACGCTTTGGTTTCGTGTATGTTGCACGCACGTGAATACTGTGGACGCGTTGTCCGTAGTCGTATTATACCTGATTGGCCCCAAGTCAGGCCAGAGGAAAGACACGTAGTCCCGTTATGCTATACCCCCTTTAACAGTATTTGTACTTGTCTAGAAGGTGATTGAACATTTGCTCCATTAATGATTTCTGTGGGCTTTCTTTCATCAAAGATTTAGTGTCAGGGTTAGGTTTGCAAGTAGCTAGGTTTCAGCGTGGGTTAAGGGTTAGGGTTAGAAATGAATTCACATGGTTTTGAGGAAAATACATATATGTTGCAATGTAATTGATCAGTTGTTTCCACTATTCTTGTTAATTGCATATGTTAATCTTCCTCTTTCATTTCTCGTTGATTCTAGATGACGAGAGGCCTTCCAGTGGGGAGAGTCTTATGTCCAGTCAATCTGGACGTTCTTCTAGGTCAGGTAACAAGAGAGGTCCTAAGAAGAACAAAGAGAAACCCAAGGTCCAGGCCAACAGGGGAAGGTAAGTTAGATGAAAATCAGGCAGTTGCTAGAAAAGCTAGTTGAACAAAGAATTTCAAATATTTGACCCATTTATGTTTTGTGAACTGGATTCCAGTGGTCTTAGATCTTTCAAAAAAGATTTCTTTTCAGTCTATCAGTTCAAGGATCCATGGCTGTACTGCCTTTAAAATGAAGTTATTCTTAATCGTCCCTTTAGCATCCAGTGTTGTATAGTATTAAAAGTAGATTTGTGAAGACAAACTATTCACTATTAAAAACTGAAATAATTATTCTGATAATAGGTTTGAAGAGCTCCTTTTCCATAGGATTCTAGACACTGTCCATAGGGTTATATAAAAGATTAGAGACAAGGTTTGAGTTGGTCTAGCGGTACGTTCACTTGGTCAGCTCTCTGCCTGTGCCTATACAAACTGCATGGCTCAGGCGGACCCGATTCGAAACTGAGTCACGTTTTTTGGATGATGACGTTTGAGGTCGGTCCCTTGACGTAAATATTCATATCTGATTGATACACGTCTGTAAAAACAAATTACATACACACACTTTGAGATTGTTGTTTTCATTTGTAAATGCACTCCAATCCAATCCAGGTATTTCTAAAGTGCCAATATCTAGTTACCTATAATCAAAGGCGCTGATGAGACTGAAAAAATACCAAAAATGTCTGTTCATGATTCTAACTGGGAAAGACAAAAAAGCAGTGACTATAATTGTAAGCAATCTGAAAAAGGTATGTCTTTAGTTGAGTTCTGAAAGTGGATAACTGGTGACAAGAGCAAAGGATTTGGGGAAGACCATTCCACAATCTCGATGCACAGGCAGTAAATGATCGACCCCCTGGAAGAGAGCGTGTTTGAGGACTCTCAAATGATTTTCATTCTTGAGTCAATTCTAAAAATTATTGGCTGTCACTTTTGTTTTCCTTGTCCTTACAGCACCAAGGAGTGGTACCTGCAAAAGCACCCAGACCAGCTTCTCAACATGCTGGGCAAGATCTTTGTTTTCTGCTACGTCTGGTCCATCGGTGGAGTCCTGAGGAGAGAAGACGACAGCGATGACGACGGAGGCATCTCCATAGGACCAGCAGGAGGAGGAGGTGGAGGAGGTGGTGGAGGGGGAGGAGGAGGAGGGAAGAAGGCAGAGCTGGTGGAGTTCAACATCTCCTACGAGTTTGATGGCTTCGTCCATGAAATGTTTGATACGGAACCACCCCTTGGTAAGTACGCTTACCCATTTATTTGATGATGTGGGGAAATTTTAGCCTCTCACTTTGTGATTAATGCATTTTAATTCTTGTATTTCATTTCATGGTAAACAATAGTGCAAAGTCGAAAAAAAAGTAGTTCCATTATTTATTAGGGCTAGCGTTCTTTATTATATTTTAGTTAACATTTCAAGGGGGAGGCACAAAAGCTCAGTGGATAAAGCAGTGTCCTCTTTAAAAAAATATTCAATGCACTAGTGCCCTTTTGTACGGCATTAGTCCTCATTTATCAAGTCCCTTAGACAAAACTTGAAGCCATAGGTCCACTGGTTACTTTAAGGATACACTTGCTTTCTTGGCAGCCAGTTAAGATAAACAACCAGCTAATTAATCAACAGAGCAATCAAGTAGAAACATTATCATCAATAGCTGGTAAATATATTACTATCCGTTTTTCAACTGTGATGCAATGATTGTCTTCACAGGAGTGCGACTTCCCTCCGGTAGCCGAACCATCTTCCACTACTTTGTGAACCTGGAGAGCGGCAAGTTTGTACCCTGGGATGAGCTGGTACCAAGCACAAAGTCCCTCATCGATAAGGGCGTGACCCATGTCTCTCTAGGAGAGCAGCTAGGAGTCACCAACCAGATGAGCAAAGAGGTATTACAGATGGGGTTGCTGGTGGTTGTTTTCATGTTAGGAAATAGTTAAGATGATAGTGCTGGTGATATAATAATGATGTTGTTGTTGATGGTGGTGGAGATGACAATGTTTATGATGATGATGTAGGTGGTGGTGATGAGGAAGATGATGATTATGATGATGTGGTCTTGATCGTTGTACACTGTGAACCAATTACAAATATACTGTTAAGTTTCATTGTTTTACTATGTACAATGCAATCCCATGTACTTTATTTTATTTTGTTGGAAATCGAAATAAACGAAATGAAAAAAAGAAAAGAATCGTGGTGATGATGATTGTGATGTTGGTAGCAGAGTTGGTGACACTTGTGGTTGTGGTGGTGGTGATGATGATAAGGATGATGAGGATGACGATGATCATGTTGATATTAATGATGTTCAATGGTGATGGTAGCAATGCTGATGTTATATACAACGTTGATGTCATGAAATGCCTCTGGCCAGAGATAATCATTTACGAGGTACAGACCAACACGTAATTCAGTCATCACCTTAATGCAAATGTAAAATCTTACAATGTTACCACGTACCTCATCAACAGGTATCCCTTGAGGATGGTGGACAGGTGCCAACCGTAGATACCATCAGGTATTCCTTCCTAACGAGTCTCCTGCTGCTCAACAAGAAACCTGTACTACTCACAGGTTAGTCATTCATCCTTGAAGATACCTGGCAGGAATTAATTCCTTTGAATGCTAGAGCGCCAAAATGGCAGCCATGCTCAAGCCGGGGTAATAATTGTGGAGCGCCAGGAGTGTCCAAGAACCCACTATTATTATTATTATAAATTTTTGACATTTTTTTCTTCTTTCTGCTTCTGTGATCCCCTGATTAGACATTGAAAACTTACTTTAGTCTTTCAACTATTAACATATATTCATTGTAAATAAACACACCAGGGCCCTGTCTTATAAACAATTAATATTTATCGCAACTTATTTGTGATTGATATCGATCGCAACTGCAAACTTGCAATTGTTTGGAGGACTTGCGATTGATTTGGATCAATCAAAACTCTTTATAAGACAGGGTCCCAGAAGGATGAACTTGCGTTACTCAAGTATTCATCAACTTGAAATACATTAGAATTGACTTAAAGGAAAAGTTGAACCTCTGTGAATTTGTGAATGCATGTATATGCCTTCTGCAATTTTAACACGATTGTACTTTGACTGTGTATTGGAGTATGTAAATCAGTTAATCAGTCATATGCTTGATGTGTTTATACATTCTCGGATGAAGGTACCTACACAAAACATGGCTTTATTTGCAGATTAATCATTAATGTCAAATAAATTCAATATAACATAACATTACGAACCAGAGCAAAATAACACTGAGTTCCTATTGGAAATCTATTTATTCAGATGGTCATATCTCAGCTGTTTTTGACATTTGGACATTATTTTTTATGGTCTTTTGAAAAAAATTAAGAAATTCTAAAAATAAAGTTTTATGATGTCACAGCTAGGTACTCTATTGTAACTCTGCATTATTACATTGTTGTTTCTTTGCAGGTGATTCTGGAGTTGGCAAGTCGGCCCTGATCAGTCACATGCTGAAGCGTCTTTGCCGGGAGAAAGGAACCACCACAGAGCACGGCTCCATCCTGGGGGAGGTGTTCAACTACAGCGATAGAGGCACCAACATCCTCTCCAACATCTCTGCTCTCACATCAAGTGTGCTCAACGAGGATGGCATGAATGGAGGTCAGTTTGCTTGTTATACTAGTTTGTCCCAAAAAGTGAAGAAAGATGTAAAAACAGGAGAAGATGCAAACATGTTTATTTTTTTATTCAATTTAATTAATTCACTCATTCAAAATACAAAATTATAAAGTAACAAACATCATGGCAACAATACAAGTAAAGCTTGGTTTTAAAATGAGTTGGGACAAATGAAAGATTAAAATTTTGTAAATTTCATCCCTACATTGAAAACGAATGTAAAAATTAAGTGCTTTGGGCAGTAATGTTGTGTTGTTCACCTTTGAACCCTACATCTATTGCCCGGCAGGTGGAATGATGGGAGGCGGAGCAATGGACTTGACCTTTATGACGGGGGGACAGGTCAAGAAACAAGTTACAGGATTGGTCAGCACCACCCTACAGCTCAGTGCCCAGACCGCTCCGGCCAGAGTGACCACTCAGATACAGCACAAACTGATCAAGAAGGGCAGAGACACCATGGTCGGACCTAGAGGCAAGAAGGTCGGTATCACTACTTAGTTTGTATGATTATCAGTGTATTGGTCAGAGCTATTTATGATTGCATATACATACACATATACCTGTAGGGAGATATGGGAAATAAATAGACATAACAGAGAGGGACAGAGGGAGGTGATTGGTATGTATGAAGTAGAAAGAAAGATATAGAAACTAAGAAAGGAGAAGAGAGAGAGATGAGAGATCGAGAGAGAGAGAGAGAGAGAGAGAGAGGGAGGGACGAGTTAAGAGAGAAAGGAACAGGTCAATACAACGTTAACACAATATTCACAGAGCAGACCAGTGGCAGAGGAAAGTGAGATAAGATATATGTACACATTTCTAGACTGAAATGCAATTTTGTTGAAGATAGAGAAACAATCATTATTATATTTTTGCTGTCCCCAGGTTGTGGTCTTTGTGGATGATCTCAACCTACCCGCTCCAGAGCAGTATGGAGCCCAACCTCCCCTGGAGCTCCTCAGGCAGTTCATGGAACTACACGGATTCTATGACACTACCAAGCTAACTTGGAAGGTAATATCTCTCTTCTATTCCTGTTATATTAGCAACACTTTTAGTTATGGTCAAACCCTAAAATCTCTAATGATGTTTGTCAGTGTGCAATGAATAGCGTGTTTTTAAAGTGTATAATACGACAAAGAAAAGACCTTTCACAAAATATACCCACCATTTGTACATTATTTAATATGCAGGATATGGAAGTAGCTATGCCGTTACTGTTAATTTTGAATGTCATGGTAAATTGTTTGGTTTCCACCAAAGTTTTTATGGCATTTTGTTGCCAAATACATGCGAATGCCCTTTTGAGACGTTTTGTTTTACTTTGAGAGAAAAACATGAGTAAGAGAAAAGATTCAAAGCATAATCGCAAGACGAATGAAGTGGTCATGAGGCATACTCAGGTAACTTGTGCAGAGCTCAGATGCAAGAAGCTTTTGTTTCAATAGATCTGTTTCTTGTTTTCAGAATATCTCGGATGTGACGCTAGTGGCTGCCTGTGCACCGATAGGAGGAGGGCGTAACTCCATCAGTCCAAGACTTCTTAAACACTTCTGGTAAGTCAAGGATACTTCAACGCTGCCTTCATGTTTTCAGGAGGTAGTAAGAACGTGTTAAAGAATTAAATATTAATTATTATTAATTCTTTATTGCCACCTAAACTTGAGGTTCGATTTTAAATGAAAATAAAAATACAAACAGATAGATAATAATGTACACAAAGTCAAAGAAATTGTAGAGTCTAAATATATGAATGACAATGTGCTACAATCAAATTATTAATATGATTATGGTATTTTATGTATCCTCTGATAGGATAAGATAACAAATTAAATGAATCTTTGCATTTAATGCTTAATTACTCTTCCTTATTGTTGTTTTATTGTAAAGATATTTGTACATCAAGTGAAAATTGAAGAAAGAAAAGCATGTGTAGAACTAATTTTCAAACCTTTAGTGATTTAATCCATGTCATATGTTCTAAATTGAATCAAACTCCTCTTCGCAGCATGCTGGCCTTGCCACAGCCATCCACCCGCTCCCTCCAGCACATCTACCAGGTCCAGCTAGGGCGTTTCCTGGAGAATGGGGACTTCCTACCCGATGTGAAGGAGCTCCTCAACCCCCTGGTCTCCGCTTCCATAGCCATCTACTACAAGATGTGTGCCAACATCCTACCCACTCCTGCAAAGTCTCATTATACCTTCAACCTTAGAGATCTATCCAAGGTAAGGATAAGGGTATGATTAATTGATAATTTCATGATGTGAGCCATACCGGTAAATAGTTCTGAAGCTGTTCTATAAAATTACACAGAAATAATATGTGAGACACTTTTCATTTTGGAGATTACCCCCCGGACAACTATCTTAGAGGATGGTTGTCATAGGGGGTAGTTGTCTGGGGGTAGTTGTTTAGGGGTAGTTGTCCAGGGGTAGTAGTCCTAGAGCTAGAGGGTGGTTGCTGTAGGGGGTAGTTGTCCTAGGGGGTAGTAGACTGGGGGTGGTTATCCGGGGGATGGATGTCCAGGGGGTAGGTGTCCTAGAACAAAATACAAGACAACCAGTTCAAGAGAGAACTTCCAATATTAATTCTATGTCATACAACTCTCATTGTTTTTCTTTTCTACCCTCTTTTTTCCTGTTTCACGTTATCTAAATTTTTCAATAATAGTTTCTCTTTGGTAAAGTCTCAAACAATCATTCTATTAAACTTGTCACCTTAATTGTTTCTAGGTGATCCTAGGCCTACTGTTAGCCAATGAGACCACAGTCACCTCCACCGAGTCTGCAGCGCAGCTCCTGGCCCACGAGGCTATGAGGGTCTTCCATGACAGGCTGGTCGATGACAAGGATCGCCTCAAGTTCTTTGAGTTTCTAGCTGACGATTTGCACAACTATTTTAAGGTATGGTTCATCACTCAAGAACTGCTTCCTCAATGACTTGGTAGCTAGAAGAAGGATGAGGGAATGTATTATTGATATAATTGAAAAAATTGATAAATGGAAACAAAATCCTTTTGAATAGGCTGTACTTTGTCACTAAAAGTTGATTATTTACTGATGATTTTCTTGTTTAACATTTTATGCTGTTGCTGAAATGTATTGCTTTTAATAATTTCATTTGAAGTTAGTGATTGAACTGAAATTATCTCAACACGTTGGGTGACAGAACTTGTATTAATTCTGTACTGTTTATGACACCAGGTGAAATGGTCTGCTGAGACCCTTCGAGATAAGCCGTTCCTGTTTGGTGATTTCTTGGACCTGAATGCGCCTTCTGCAGAGCGTATCTACCGACCGATTAACGACTACGGCAAACTGTCAAGCATCCTGGAAGAATTCCTTGTCCGCATCAATTACGGCGGAGGACAGGTGAGATAACTTTGGATGTAATAAGGATGTCTTCTACTGCACTTTGAATGTTTTCAAGAAAATGGTAGTCCTACTAGCAACTATGATTTACTTGCACTGTGGAACTTCACACATGTCACATCTATTCTGCTAAGAATGACTTTATTACCAGCCTCTTATACATGTACTTAACTGATCTCTGAGAAGTGACTAACTTTTGTTTATGAGTAGCTCAAACATTGTGGAGTGATGTGTGCAGCGCTCTGTAACCGCAAGGAAAAGGTGCTATATCAAATAAATTTTGATTGATTTGATTGATTGATGTTATCACTGTAGAAAACAGCAGATTTTTACACTTTATTGCATTCTTTTACATAGGTGTGACTCCATCTCCAAATTTACATAATGTTTTAGTGATAGAATTAGGAGATGAACCCTATAGTAGCTGGTGGCAGATCCTAAAAGAACCCTTGCTTTTGCTGGTATATGTGTAGCATTTAAAAGCATGCGAATGGATTTTGATGGTTTAGGTGCTAACCATTAAATCAGAGATACTATTACAAGTAAAGAACACCTATTCCATTTCTCTTCTCTAGCTTGTGTTCTTCAGGGAGGCCCTTGAGCATATCGTCCGAGCCGCCAGGGTATTCCGCCAACCCGGAGGCCACATGGTCCTGGTGGGACTGGACGGTACCGGCAAGTCCACCACTGTCCAGCTGGCCTGCCACGTGGCCGGGTGCGAGCTCTTTAAGCTGATGCTGACAAGGGGGTACGGTCAGTCGGACTTCAGGGACGATCTCAAGACGGTGTTCAGGAAGGCAGGGGTCAAGGGCATCAACGTGGTGTTTCTACTCACGGACAGTGATATTGTCAAGGTAAGTGTGGCATACCAGTTGTCAATTCCAGGGAAATCCCCCCTAGACTGAACGTACATACCCGTGGAAGATTATCATCTAGATGATTTCATTAACTCTTCTAGAAGTACCCATGAAGAACAAATGACACCTGAATAGTTACCTACTGGACACAATTGCCTGTGAACCATCTGTGATCAACATTTAGGATTGGTATCATCCTTTTTTGTTTGCATTGGTAAATCTGTATTGGTGTGGGTGTGGTAGTCCAGAGGATAGACCTTTGGACACAGAAATGCCAAATATATGTTTTAAACACTTTGTAGATGTTGTTAATATTCAATGAAATCCAATTTGAGATACTAACAATATTGCAATTAACATTTATGTTCCTACAAAATGCCATCCAGGCCATCTAAGACTTTACATGTAAATAGCTCTTGAATTGTTGGGGTTCTGCAGACCTTTTTTCAAGATCAAGGTCTATACAGATTTATACTTCAAGATTGTCAGTTTTTTTCTTGCAAACCTTTGTTTTATTCAAAATTAATCATCTTTTGTTGCTAGGAATCTTTCCTGGAAGACATCAACTGTGTGCTGAACTCTGGTGAGGTTCCCGACCTCTTTGATAACGATGACATGGAGGGCATCATGATGGAGCTCAAGAGAGTTGCTCAGGATGCTGAGATGCCAGATAACAGAGAATCTGTCTATGGGTTCTTTATACAGGTAGGAAGAAGAGTTATTATGAGCTTGAGAGGGATGATCAATGAATTCCTACACTTCTCTTATGGTTGATGTCTTTTAAAATACTTTTCAACTTTTCAGTTCAGATATTCTATGGATCTATTCTGCATTCATTAACTAGGAAAAGAAAGAAATTTTGCTTTCTAATTTCAAATTCTAATATGATTGATGCAATTAGACATGCATGTACATATAACTTCCATTAATATATTATCTTTTTGGAGCCAGAAGGATGTTAACCCTTTGTAAAAGGATTTAAGTTGGCTCCGAATAGATAATATTCTGTTGTGGTAGAGAGTTGTTGCTTTTTATATTCAGCCAAACCTGTATACAAAGACCAATTGTCTCCTGGCTAGAAATTCAACTCTATTTATTTCCTTCACCTGATTTTTAAGTCAAACGTGCCTATTAATGTTAGCTCCCAGATATGAAAGGCCTTTCTTATCATTTCTTTTGAACAGTCTGTTTACCCAGTTCAATGATATACAAAATGCAACAATCCCTGCCTTTCTTTTATTTCAGAGGGTCAAAAGTAGACTTCACATCGTCATAGCCACCAGCCCGGCTGGAGAGGCCTTCCGGCAGCGTTGCCGTAGCAACCCCTCCCTGGTGAACTGCTGTACCTTTGACTGGTATGACGAGTGGAGCACCGAGGCCATGCTGAGAGTGGCCCATGTCTTCCTGATGAGGGCAGACTTCAAAGGAATCCTGGGAGACACCGACCCAAAGGTAGGTCCGACATTGCAACATGTAGTACATCACATGGAATGCATCAATCAAACATACTTGGTTTTTTTTTTTTTGATAGCTGATGTGTGTGGTATTCTGGGAGTTTCCCAGGAGTGTGTTTTTTTTAACATCAATGGCAAAAAAAAAAAAATCCTCTTTTGAAATATTAATCCACTATGGAATCACTTGTCTGTATTTGGCTGTAAAATTAGAATGCGAACTTTTTGTGAATCCTTTCCCGTAATGCAGTTTGTATGCACCGGGTAAAACATATGCGAGAACAAACACGGCTGCATAAATGAAGAGGCAGTTAACGTGTGTTTGCGATGCTCATTGTGAAGGGAAACAGCTCTTTAATACATGAGTATATAGACCATTTCGTAATGTAACCAAATCTTATGCATACGTCTTTGTGAAGTGCCCCAATACAAATATTTATTTCACTTGTAATGAAAAATTGTATTACAATAGTCAGAATGCTAAATACGTATATTAAGTATTTTTAGGTAGGGCAAGCCTTTATGTTTGTCCTACCTGGCAACAACTAATGCAGTTCGCATTCTGACTATTGAAATACAATTATTTGCTACAGATGAATGAAATAATTAGAATCAGGCACTTTATAAAGACGTATGAATTAGATTTGGTTACAATACGAAAATAGTCCATTGGTTCTGGTACAGTAAATATGGTTGTTTTTAATCAACTGACTTTCACCCCTTCCTTTTTCTGTCAGACCTTGAGGGAGAACATAGCGCAGGTCTGTGTCGGTGTCCACGATGATGTCACAAAGGAATCGGTGAGGTATTACAATGAGATGAGACGTCACTACTACACCACACCAAGCAGCTACCTGGATCTCATCAGACTCTACTCCAACATGCTCGGGGAGCAGAAGGGAAACTTCATGAACAACAAGTAAGAATGAAGTCGGAACTCGTGAAGGGGGCTGCTTCCACTAAATCATATTTATACTAATTTTTACACACAGCATTATTCGTAATAAATTTACATTGCATTGCATGGGTTAAACGTTTAAAGTGTATGAAGAAAAAATTAACATGAAAGAAATTTTGAAGAAAAAAATTATGAAGTTTGAGTACAGCTAATCTTAAAAAAAAAAAAAAATGTAATGCTTAAAATGTGACATTTTCTTACAGATATTAACATGAATGAAAGATGTTTTTTGTAATGAATCAAATCAAAGAATGTATAGAATTTAATTATGATTATATAATTAATCAATGTTTTTCTATTTATGATGACAAGAACTTTTAAATTAGAGATACCATAGTTGCCATATATATTTAAATGTATTAGCAGTGTTGTGACGGGGCATTGTGGCGTGCGCCTGTAATCCAGCTAAACATGGAAGTTACAAACTGATTCAGCCGAGGACGCAGGTTCGAAACTGAGTCACGTCTTTCACATGGTGACTTTAAAGGTCTGTCCCCAGAAGTAAATAATCATATCTGAGACTGCTTGATACATGTCTGTAAAAACCCATTACACACACACGAGTACCACCAAACAATCTTTTGCTCCTTGATTCCATTTACTGCTTACAGGAACCGTCTTGGTGTAGGATTGTCCAAGCTGGGCGAGGCTAACTCACTGGTTGATGCCATGCAGGATGAGCTGGTTGCTCTTGGTCCAAAGATTGAAGAGAAGGCTAAGGTATGTTTGGATCAAGGATTTTGCATTATTTTGCTTTTTGTGTTTCTTGGAAATCAGGTAGAGGATTAATTTGGCGATTTGAGATGAAGATGAAATGTAAAGATCTTTTTGTTGAATCATATCTTGTAAAAAAATATATGACTTGAACAGACTATAAAGTTTTTTTCATTTAATAAGTACTTTGTTCACGCCATATATATGAATATATTTCATAACACCATATCATGCTGAATTTACAAGTTATGACATGAATGATTCAAAATAGAAGTCACAAATTTGCAGGTATCATATAGGGTCTATTGTGATGATAGCACAAGGTGATAATTATTTTTCATGCCTTTTAGTTTCTGTAATTAAAGAGAGTTGATTTTTTTTTCCTTTTCTATAAAATCTGAGCTGCCAATATCGTAGCGAGAGTCAATTCTGTTTGGGTTTCATGGTATTGTGAAAGTTCAATTTTGATTTGAATGCCATTCTACTGTGTTTATGACAGGACACGGAACTACTCTTAGAGCAGCTGTCCAAGGACCAGGAAGCAGTGGGCCAGGTTCAGGCCATCGTAGAGCACGAGGAGTCCATCATGAAGAGAGAGGCACAGATTGTAGAGGACTACGCTGATGTAAGAAATCATTTGCAGAGTGTGAACAGTTCGCTGTAGACCAAAGCAAATTTAGGAATGCCAGTTTTCATGCAGGCAAAAGCCTAAATTCAGGCCCTGGCGAGTTATTTTCGGGCCATAGTTTAAGCTTTTTTGTGTTAAAAGTAGCTTATTCTTGGTGATTTTCAGGCCATCTGATCAATTCTAACTGGTATCACTGCATACAGGCCATTGCCAACCATGTTGCATGTGCATCCTACATGTATGTATGCTTGGATGTGAATAAATAGAACGTTCACGATATGTACAAAACACTTGTGTGCGTCCAACATGGTAGATCGACGGAGCATGCTTGTATTAGTCAGATGATATATATGTATATACTACATTCTTAAGGATTCTAACCAATTTGAGATGAGTTATCCTTGATATTGTAGCATATATTTCTATTGTTAATGATTCTACATGCTGCAAATTGCCAAATACATATAAGCAGGAAGATCAGAGAGATGTTAGTTGTTCAGATGCTTTGCAGAACAGAGTTCATGAAATGTTGTTTTATCAGAAAATAAACAATAGTTTAGCCAAATTTAGCTGTATTACTGATTAAATTTCATTATTCAAACATTTACAAGAGGGAATGTACAATTTTGTTTTTCTTTGTTGAGGTCAACAATCATGTGTTTTTAAAAAGATGTGATGTGTGTGTAATTGGGTTTTTACAGACGTGTATCAATCAGATATGAATATTTACGTCTGTGGACTGACCTTTAACGTCACCATCCGACAGATTGGACTCTGTTTCAAACCGGGGTCGCCTGAGTCGGTTTGTAGGTGAAGACAGAGAGCTGGCCAAGTGAACGTGCCGCTAGACCAACTCGCATCTCACAACTCACTTGAAAGTTATGATTCAGTATGTAACAACTCTGCTTTGCTCTGGTTATGTTGACAGCAAGCTCAGCAAGACCTGTCGTCCGTCATCCCCGCCCTCCAAGAGGCCATCGACGCCCTGGACTCCCTCGACAAGTCTGACATCTCCGAGATCCGCGTCTACTCCAAGCCGCCCGACCTGGTCAATCAGGTTTTCGCTGCTGTCTGCGTCCTGTTCAGACAGAAGCCCGACTGGAGCACAGCGAAACACCTGCTGGCCGATCAGGGCTTCCTCAAGAAGCTGGTCAACTTTGACAAGAACAACGTCCCCGATAAGGTACATAATTCAGATACAATCCTAGCATTATAGATGCCATCAGTTTAATGTGAAATAGGAGGGTTTTTTTAAAAACTGAATGCAATCAAATTCAACATGTGAAATAGAAGATGTGAAAATTGCTACCTTTAAGAGCATTCTGCATTAAAAAAAAATGATACATGTTTAAGATTACATACTGTCGTTTACCTTTCTAGATCTGGGATTTGCACAAATATGACATAGTGGCCGGTGCATTGGTCATATGTTCTTCTATAGACATGTTTATATATTTGTTTTCTCCATTAGTAAAATATTTGACATCATGACTTCTTCGATCTTCGATTCCGGGTTTATACAGATAACGCAAAAATAAAATGACAAAATGAAACATGTAGAGTTAATAATTGCTAGTCAGATCCCAACATCTTATGTCAAATGAATTTATTTTAAATCTTGGTCTTGTATTTTTTTCTTTGACAGATCTCTCGTCAAGTGAAGAAGTACACCTCCTTACCAGACTTCATCCCTGAGAAGGTTGGTCAGGTATCTTCAGCCTGCAAGTCTATCTGTCAATGGGTCCTAGCCCTGGAACACTATGTAGAAGTCACAAAGGTCAGTCTGCCTTTCCCTCTGTTTCTGTATCTGTGTGTGTGTGTTTGTAGGTTCATCTTTATCTCCATCAGTGCTGGGATCTCCATCAGTACTGGGATCTCTCTGTTTCTTTATCTGTGTGTGTGTTTGTATAAGTAGGTTCATCTCTATCTCCATCAGTACTGGGATCTCCATCGGTACTGGGATCTCCATCAGTACTGAGATCCCTCTGTTTCTGTATCTGTGCATGTGTGTGTATATGTAGGTTTGTCTCTATCCCCATCAGTGCTGAGATCTATTTATGTTTTTCTTTCTCTCATTCCTGTTGCTCTGTCTCACTGCGTCTTTCATTCCATCTCTCTCGTTCTCCCTCTGTATGTGTGTGTGTGTGTGTTTGTGTATATAGGTTTGTCTCTATCTCTATCATTGCTGAGATCTGTGTCTGCATATCTCTTTCTCAAATTTATATGTCTGTCTCATTGCGCCTGTCATCCCATCTCTCTCTATCTCCCTCTGTCTCTCCATTCTTCTCCCTCACTTTCTCTGTCACTCATGCTATATCTCTTCCGCTTCACTTGCCCTGGCATCCTGTCTCTCTCCGTCTCTGTCTTTCTTTGACTACCTTTCACTCCTCTCTTTATGTCCCAAGATTTTATGATACATATATATATATATATATATATCTGCATTATTTATTGATTAAAATGAGATCAATGTGATATATTTTATCCATTTTAGTGATGGAAATTATTAAATTTATACACAATTCTGTTATAGAACATTATGGTTTCCTTAGTAAAGATTTCCTGCAAGTTTGAACATCATCATTGATCTTTGTCTTTGATTCACAGATGGTGAAACCCAAGCAGAAGAGAGTGGAAGAGGCCAAGGAAGCGCTCAATCTTGCTCAAGACGGACTTAGGGAAAAACAGGAGAGTTTATCCAAGGTAAGACCGCGATGGTGTTTTCTTGATTTGTTGTTACACTCTCTTTTTAGTAGTGATAAGAGATGTTGGTTTGGCACTGTTTATGAATGCCCTGTAGTCTTTCAATCAATAAAGTTGTAAGTTCAAATTTAGGCATATAAATGATATGAAAGAAGCAAATGTATGAGAAATAAATTTTGATGAGATATGTATATTTGTTGGGTACGGCCTAGGGCTGTATCTTTCTTTTGATATAGACGATGAACCAAAAACAAGAAAGAGGACAATTTGTTATTATATAGTGCAGCTACTTTATAAATATACTAAATTGTGCTGTAGAATAGATTTAATAGAAAACATAGTGAGATCCAGAGACGGCTCTTTGAAAAATCTAGATGTTACAAACTTCATACTAAAGGTGGTTGAAGAATTCATACAGAATTCAAACCTTGAACTTTAACTCTGCAAATTACCTATCAAAGAGTGAACGAGGAGCATGACTGAATGACATCGTTGATTGTTATGTTACCCCCTGTTTGCTTATGCGTCTTTTCAGATCCAAGACCATCTGAGGGTGTTACAGCAGCAGTACGATGACAGCGTGCATCAGAGAGAGTCACTGAGGGAGAGGAAAGTCCTGACCACACTCAGACTCAAGAGGGCGTCTGTTCTGATTGCGGCCTTGGCTGATGAGGAGGTATGTAAAAAGAATATTTCAATCTAATCATTACTTGAGATAAGATAACAGACAGATGACAAAGAAATAAAACCAAGGGAATATATAGATCAGTGAATGTCATCATTATTTTTATCCTTCTGATTCAATCTCTTCTGAAAATTTTACTTCCACTTACCTTGCCAATCAAGCATTGGAATTTGAATAAAGGGTTTGATATGAACTATAATGTCATAGTTTTCATACACTGTGTTGATAAAAACAGTCTTTCAATGAAAATATTAAGCTTTTTGGGGAGTTATGTTCAATTTTGCTATATATTTGACTAAAGATTGGTCTGTTGCAAATATGACTGCTCCCTTAAAGTCAAGAATTCTTTGTTACTGAGGTAAAGAAAAAAAACACATCTAAAGGAAGGTATTCATATAGGAACAAAATGTAGTCACACTTTTGGTATGGAAGTATCATAAATATGTATACATTGAAGAGCAGTTTGACCTAAATAAATTGAAAGGTATTAATTATGTGTATCTTTACTCAAAGCGAAATATAAATAGTCGTAAAAAAAACAACTTATATCTGATATACTCTTATGTATCACTTTATTTCACAGGTGCGATGGGCGGAGTCAATGGACATACTGGAGGGTAAACTCCAGGGTGTGGTGGGCGACACCCTGGTATCTGCCTCCAGCATTGCCTACCTGGGGGTCTTCACTGCCTCCTACAGGAGGGGAATGATCAACAAATGGGTGGATATGTGTCAGAGTAGGGGAATACCTTTGTCACATGACTTCACTCTCATTCATTCCATGGCTGAACCTAACATAGTGAGTTTTGTGGAGTGTGTTGCTTGTGAATTTCATCTTGGAGTGGATTTGATTATTTTTTATTATTTACGTTCTATGTCATTGTAATGAGCAGTGGCTTTTAATCCAGAAGGGTATGGTAGAGAACACAATTTGAACAGTAGGGCAAAGGAAGTATCAAAACGCGCTGAACAAATGTTGAAATGCAGTTGTAGTGATTATGTATTGGGACTTGGGACATATTTCCATCAGATCACATAGAAAGATGTTGATTGATATACAGTTTTCAATGTCCAAGTACACATTAGAAGGAGGAAATTATTTTAAAAGTGACCCTTCCACTGGGAACAGTAAATGAATGATGGATTTGTTTCATGATGGCTCAGAAGGGTGTAAAAATAATATTATTTCTTCTTCCTCTCCCTGTCCAGGTTCGTAAATGGCATAACGAAGGGCTACCTCAAGACAGTCACTCCACCGAGAATGCCATTTTTGTCAAGAGAGGTCATCGATGGCCACTCATGATTGATCCTCAGGGCCAGGCTGGCAAGTAAGTGATCAGGCTTTAAACGATGTATCTCTGAACCACTAATCTCTTTTTGACTATTTGTGTAAAATTTGTGAATGGGAAAATTGGGTACAAAATTAGATTCATTGGTGATTTATGCAACTGCTTTTACCCATTCATTAATATTTTTTATAAAGTTTGAATTAGAAATTTATTTAGTAAAATAATGGTGCATGTATTTGTAACATGTTGTATTAGCAAAATGTTAACAGATTTCTTTAAATTAGCACTTGTCTAGTTCATCTCTTAAGTTCTCTTTATAAGCACTGTTACTATTTTTTGAGTAATATTGCATCAATATGTATGTCTTACTGCATTTTTATTAAATTGAACTAGATAACTTTGATTGGTTGTTGAATGTTTAACAATTTGTTGATTGATGATTGACCTTTGAACCTTGACCTTGCTAGGTGGATCTGTGAGATGGAAGGGGCTGCATTGATGAGAGTACAGGCCAACGACCCAAATTTCATCCGAGATCTTGAGAGGGCTGTCAGGATTGGAGAGCCAGTTCTTCTGGAGGTGAGTTCTCCATGTATCTTTAACTGATCAATGAAATGACAGATAAAATGTTTCCAAGATCAATTTTGTAATTTTTAGTCCATCATAAAATTGTCTATTAGAAATGTACAGGTGTTCTTTCTTTTAAAATTAGATTGCATTTCATTAACATAACCCTCAAAAGTTTAGTATAAGGAGTCAATAACAACTTTGGTTCACTATTATGAATGAATGTAGCTTTTGTGCAGTTGTTCCACTGGTTTAAAAACATTCTTGATCAAATCAAAATTTTTGTGAGCATTGTAAACACCATATATCACTGAGATTATCATAAAGGTAATACTTTAAATCTTCATATATTTACATGTAGATATTTTTCAAAGTATCATTCGTCCAATCCTTGTGTTGCATCTTGTGTTTTACCAGAATGTGACCGAGATCCTTGATCCCAGTCTGAAGCCGATCCTACTCAAGGAGTTTGTGAGACGTGGTGCCCAGGATGTCATCAAGCTAGGAGATACAGAGATAGAATATAATCACAACTTCAGGTAAGTCTCTTTATTTTTCTCTCTCTATCTATCTAAGTATCTTCTTCCGGTTCGGAGGTAGATTGCGACATATCTCCATTTCACTCTAACTTCTGCCATTCTGGTGCACTCTTGCAGTTTTAGTCCACTCCAGTTCTTGACATTCTCTTCCCAGTTGATTCTGGGTCTCCATCTCGGTGTAGTTCCTTCCACTGTTCCCTCCTACACATCCTTTAAAAAGCTTTGGTGCCTTTTAACATGACCAAAGTATTTTACTTTTCTCTCCTTAACTACTGCTACCAGTGGAATTTGTTCATGCCCTGCCACTCTATGAGAACTATTTGTAGAGAAATATGGAAATATGTTTCTAGTTTGACTCCACCTGGCTGTCAACTTCAGGTGGTTTTAATGCTTATGCCACTAATTTCTTTTAAAATGAAATACACCGAGGCATTTAGCTGCTCCAAAAATCTTGAACAGCATATTTTGCCCATTTTGCAGTTAGTGCTTGTAAGCTCTAAAAGAATTCAAGTTATCACAAGTGAGTTCGTGGGAAGTAATAAATGTATCTGAATTTCCCTCAAGAAATGTTAAAGATACTTAATATGTGAAAAGTCCTATTTAATAGAGCTCTAAATAAAGAGTTCCTTTATATACATCCCAAGTGTTTTACCAGCAAAAAATTGAGTATCATAAATGATTTTTAACTTCTTATGTTGCAGGTTGTACATGACTACAAGCATGGCCAATCCTCACTTTCTACCAGCAGTGTGTATCAGGGTGACCCTTATCAACTTCACAGTGACCTTTGAAGGCCTGCAGGATCAACTGCTATCTACTGTAGTGCAGCAGGTAACTCATCAAGTTCCATTTAGTGCTTTTATGCTCTATGAAATTTTAGTAAACTTTTCTTGCAGAATAGAATGGAAGTCTATGGAGGATGTTTCCTGTTCACATGTATCAAATCACCCTCGAAACTGTAAAAGTAATACAAATTTTTGGTATTGGGTCTTGAATTTGGTTCAAATGAACATATTGGAAGCATATGCAATTTCTCAAAATTCTTAGCGTTTTAGAGCCCAATATTTTCAAAGATGCTTATTCTAACACTAGGTTTTACAACAGTAATGCCAATTTTAAATTTCATAATCCAATCCTGTCGAAATATTAACAAAACCTTGTAATACCTTTAATCTGAACTGTGTAAAACAAAAATTTTAGTCTAAGATATAGTTTGATCTTTAACAAATGTTTAACAGTCCAATTCCCTTCTTTGCTTCTTCTGAAGCTGTATTAAGCCATTGCCTTTGGGAGCTGTTATTAAGCCTAAGGGAATAAGGGAATCAATTAGTTCATGGGTCAATGAAATGAATAACCTGTCCTACAACTTTGTGCAAGATAGAGGCAATTGGATGACACCATGCACAAGGAGCTCGTAGACATTGATTCTCTTGAAATTTTGTTTTTGTTTCTTTAGGAGCAACCCGTCTTAGAGAAGCAGAGAGGAGAGTTATTGGAGAGCATCGCCAGAGACCTGACATCACTTCGAGATCTGGAGGACAAGTCTCTTAGTCTCCTTCAGAAATCTGAGGGTAAGAAATAAACTGATTTGAATACGTTATGATTTCAGCCCTGTCAGTTCCAAAGTCAGAACAAACTACCCAAATTTCTGTAAGATGCGTAATATAATTGGACGTAAAAATGCTTGTGTTTCTATTTGAAATTCAAAGTGGATTTGTTAATTGTGAGGTTAGATGCATGTCTCATGGAAGCATCAAGATCAACAATGAAAGAAAAAACATCACGATGAGGGAAAATATGTCACAAATTTATTCATGATACATTTCTGTAAATTTGATGGAAGTGTAATGGTTAAAAGACGGGACTTCAAGTAAATCTGTGATATATGAATTTTTGTGTGAAAATAGTGTTGTCCAATAATGTTTACACAGCAGAATTAAAAAGTAAATAATCTTTGACATCTGACCCTTAACCTTGACACATTCAGGTCACATTCTGGATGACCAAGACTTGGTAGACACTCTGGAGAAGAGTAAGAAGATGTCGGGAGAGATCCAGAAGAGAGTCGGTGAATCAGAGGTCACGCAGAAGAAGATAGAACAGGCCCGCAAGAAATACCTTCCAGTAAGTCCAGGGAGGAAAATATTCTGTAATGATATGGATAGACTGTATATGGAGTGAAGAATGAACTAGAATTCTTGAAAGAATTCTCATTTGTCAACAGCTTTTCACTCCCCTTTCCCTCTTTATATGTGTGCTGATAACAGTTGCCTGAGCTACAGCTAATCCAATGATATCCAAACTCCTTTGGAAGTGCATATTGTATTGTGATATATGCTGTACCAGAACGATTTTGTAAAGGATTTTTATTCCTATCTTTTTTCAACCCCTCTCTTTCAAACCTTTATTTGGGGCAATAGTCAATTTACAAATAGGAGATGATTACATATTGCTCATTTTGTCATTATTTTGTTTGACCTGATGTCCTCGCTACACTGTATTATGGCAATATGGAACATGGCAGTATAACGATGGGTGATACATCTGGGGGGGGGGGGGCATTACACAAAACTTGTCATCAGTGACAAATGACAGTCCTTGTTATAAGCTACTGAAATCATTGCTTCTTATTGGTTATCAGTAGATTTGTCACTGATTTTGGTCATTTGTCATTAAAAAAAAAGGATTTGTGAAACAGGCCCCTGTATTAATGATGCATCAATTATTTATACCTGTAGGTCGCTACCAGAGGAGCAGTACTGTACTTTGTGCTAGCTGACCTAGCAGCCATTGATGTCATGTACCAGTTCTCCCTTCCCTGGTTCCAAATGCTGTTTGGCAAGTGCATTCGGGATTCCTCCAGAGAAGGCTTGGCCAGCGTCAGCAGCAGCCAGAGGCCAGGGTCAGGTAACTCCGGCAGGCCCCTCAGTGGCAGGCTACGCCCCTCCAGCGCAAGGAATAGTCCAGACCTCGGCAGGGACTCTCCCATTCAATCGCGGGGGAGTTCAATGCCTGCCCTTCAAGGGAAGAACTTGGTGAGGCATCTGCAGAGCATGGTGCACAACCTGACAGAGACCATCTACAAGTAAGTTAGAATCAATTGGAAAGGGTGATATATACATTGAACCATCGTATGAGGAAATCAATGTTGATTGTTGATATGGTATTATTTTTAACACTGTATGTTCATTGTATGTGTCTCCTGATTTAAAATAACTTTTCCCATAGTCATCTTTTTGTATCTCAAGATATTCCACTTCATGAATACGGAAGGGATTCAAATTATATACTTAAAGTAATGGAAGGTTACCTTTATGGAATAAAGCTGGAAGGAAGACCTCATGAAGGATTTCTTACATAATGTTGTTGGAGATTGACTAATGAATGAAGATGTGAAGCTGTTGGCTAAAGATTGTGGCACTTGGAGAGACATATTTGATGTAGAAATTAAAAGGGCTTTTGAACCTGTCATCTGACAGATCACTTTTGATAATTTACTTTGTCGGTATGTCTGGCAAGTTAAGTGGAAGTTCATTTTTCAGAAGAGATTGAATAACTGATCTACTGATCTCTTCCCTTGGTTTGATTTCTTTGTTCTGTTTATTATAGATTGAAATATATGTCATCTCAAACACTATTAAAAAAATCCCAAAGTATTGATTATTTTAAATGTTTCTTCCATTGTTTTAATACAGGGTTGTGTCAGTGGCACTTTTCAACCACCATCAGCTGGTCTTCTCATTCATGCTGTGTAGTAGTATCATGCTTTCCAATGGTCGTATCCTGAGCAACGATCAAGATGAGGTCGGGGGCAGCATGGGTGGTATCTCGGAGGCTGAGTGGCAGGTCTTCCTGCAGGGCCAGGTAAGGCACAGGTGATATGACCAAGGATCTTTGAAAATCTACACTTTCAGTTTCGCAGTTCATGTCCTTTTGATTACCAAGGTATATCCACCTCATTTAAAGGTAATACAAAGTTTTGGTATGGGTGATGAATTTGGTTCAAATAAACATATTGGAAGCATATGCGATCCTACAATATTCAGTGATCTCTGTTGCGGTTGCATCGAGTCTAAAGTAATGAAATTGTAAATAATAAACTCTTTATGTTGTATAGCTCCCTCTCCTGGTCAAGATATTAATTAAGCTATCAAACAATGTTTCTTGACTAAAATCGACCAATTAGCTATTCCCGTTTGGAAATTATATATCACAACTACATATTCTGAGATTTTCATGGACGCAGCTACCATTGTACGGCCGTGGGTGCCATTTGAAATTTATCAAAATTTACCGGGAGCACCGGTTAATTGTTATTTTCATTTTTTCTCGAAAGCAGAAGTGTTTCAGGGTAGGGGCTAAATTTTCTAGTGCTAATAATACATCCACAGGGGCATCCAAATATATCAAAATTGTAAAGAATCACTATCCACCCAATTTTCAAAATTTCCCCAAACTTTGTATTACCTTTAACCAGTAGAAAATGCATATAATTGCGATAACCCGTATGATCATAGGTAATTGGAGAGTAGGTTGGATGTGGTGCTGGTGGGATATTAATGGCAGTAAAAGTGATTCTAATAAGATTTTAAAGATGATGATGGTGTCACTGAAGATAAATTTTCTTCTATTGCTTTGGTTTTAATATACTGACACACTTGTATTTGACTGGCAGAGGAGATGATATTTTGAATATCAGCTGCTTGCTCATCTATTACACTGAAACAATATTATCACTGTATTGGTTTAACCACCTTTCCTTATCCAGGTACTGGCTGAGACAGCCGACCCCCTCATCCTGGAGAAACACGACGGCCTCACCCCCATGCAGCGCCTGGAGCTCGAGAGCAGAGGAGGAAGTGCCAAGAGCTCCCGTCCCAGCTCCAGCTCCTCCATCGGGAGCAGAACCGGTCTGACGGGGCACGTCACCTCCAGGCCTCCCAAGTGGATCCCGGAGAAGGCCTGGAAGCAGTGCCAGTACCTGTCTTCCACCCTGGAACCCTTCCAAGGGATCTGCATGTACATACTCAACTGCCATGATCAGTGGAAGACCTTTGCCAAGGCCGAGGATCCCTACAAGCTCATGACGGAACCTTTTGTAAAACAGGCTTCAACTGAGAAAGGTAAGGCATTTGATCAATAGTACTTTTATTGAATATTGTTACAATAATTTGTTTCTGGGTAAAAAAAACAGACCCACAGTGATATTGCTGTCTTTAGTATCCACCCTCTTTGGGCCTAGAATAACACTGATGATGATCTCCTCTTGATCATTCTTTTTTTTTGGATGAGTTTTGTAGTTTGTTGTCATGACAAGAGAGATGCAAGCCAGCGCATTTAAGAGAAGGGTTTGTTGATTCCGTAGCCCACTGCATGGTCGCTTTAGAAATTGGTTTAAGAGAAATTTTTGCAGAGCTTGCTTTTTCCTTGAATCAAGCTTCACTTTAACTTTCACAGGACCACCGGAAAGATCAACTTTCAGGTTTTAAATTGACTTCCACATTTCTCAAAAGTGATAGATTTTCTTTTCCTTCCTTCCTTAGAGTTTGTCATTTCATTAAATCAATATTTTGTTGGTATCTCCTTTTCCTCCTCTCAATCTCCTTCAGATCCCCCAACAGGGCCGACCCCAACTGGTGGGAGCCCCTTCAGCTGGGAGGTCCTCAAACCCATCGAGAGGCTCCTGTTGATCAAGGTCCTGAGACCTGACAGCCTGGTGGCCTCTGTCAGGGCCTTCGTCAATGAGCTGATGGGAGACAAGTTCTTGTCCAGTGGTGGCTTCGACCTCAAGGAGATCTTTGAAGGATCAACCGCAGCCAATCCGCTTATCTTTATCTTGTCACCAGGTATGGTCTCTTTGCATTCCATAGTCAAGTGTGTGACATATGTTTATTTTACTTATGACATTAAGTCTTCAAGTAAATATCTTTATAAAAAAATTACAAGGGAATCAACCTAGAGCTTTAAGAGCTCTCGAATGGACAAGATAATTAAGGATAGGTGGTATCACACAATTTGGAGACGACTCCAAAAGTCTCACAAACTCTGCAAACACATGTGGTCCTTCAATATTCACTGGTCATCATGTATGGAAACAAAAACTATGTAAATATATTTCTATATAAAATTACCTTTTTACACGTGATAAGAATAAAGTCCAGAATTCAGCATTCAAAACTTCAAAAAGTGCAAGGTCCATGATGCATGTGTGTGGAAGAGTCCCTTGAATCGCTAGCTAATCATAATGCAGAGAAATGATTGTGTGATCATGTTCCCATACTGCATTTCTCATGTATTAAAAGTTCATTTTACATTGTATCTCCTCTCCACTTTAGGTGTGGACCCCACAGCCCAGCTGATGAGGTTCGCCCGTGACATGAGGGGAAGTACCCTCCACGTCGACCTCATCTCACTAGGGCGCGGCCAAGGCCCCAAGGCCGAGGAACTCATCTCAAAGGCACAGATCTTGAAGGGTAGATGGATCTTCCTGCAGAACTGCCATCTTGCTGCTTCCTTCATGCCCAGGCTTCAGGACATTGTGGAAGGGTAGGAAACCATTCCTTAGTCTCTCTGGGATGTGCATTGTTTTGCTTGATTTCTTTGCACTCTTGTCAGCAAAAGTGAGCCAATTGAGATGGGGGAGGTGGTGTGGTGGGACCAGACACTTTTGATGGGTGACTTAAAATAGTAAACATATTTATTTCTCAGTGTGGTATAATTTATAATTTCCCCCCTGATGGATATCTCTTGTTCTGAAGTCACCAAGTCTCTGCGTACTCATGAGGTAGGCAAGTTATGCTCTCTTAATGCTTTTCAAGTAAATTTATTGCAAATGAATTTTCAAGATATCATTCATACAAAAGTATGATACCTTTGGAAAAATATTTATATATCTATATATATACACCAGTGAAATGTGATTGCTTATAGAGGTTATTAGCTACTGTTCATGATGATATTTGCGACTTGGAAGTGATGTTTAATGTTCATATGCTAAAGATGCTATACTAGATGAAGAATAGTGTGGCTTGCAAGCTGAACTACCAGGGACTGATCTTCATGCACCCCTTGGCCGTGTATCTATAGTTACAGTAGTTTATTCATCATTGTAATTTCCTTTGTCTGTTTTCTGTTCTCTATAGATTCAGCAAGCCCAATGTGGAGATCGATCCTCAGTTCAGGCTGTGGCTCAGCTCTAGACCCGATCCATCCTTCCCTGCATCCATCTTACAAACAGGCTTGAAGGTAAGAGCAAGCGTGGTCTATATAGGAATATGTTGTTCTTAAAGGGAGAGAAGAGGGAGGGAGGGAGGGAGGGAGGGAGGGAGGGAAAGAGAGGGAGAGAGAGAGAGAGAGAAAGAAATTAAGAGAGAGTGAGAGAAAGAGAGAGAGAGAGAGAGAGAGAGCGAGCGAGAGAGAGATTCAATACATTTTGCCATTAGTGTTTGGTAACTGAAGGAATTGAATCCAGGTCGGTCAATCCAATCAAAACTAATCACTAGACCAGTCACAGAGAAACTAATTACATACAGATGACATGGAATGTATTTTACGTGGAAAAACATGTAACCCTAATCATATACAGTCAAACCTGTATAGAAAGACCACCTGTCTACAAAGACCACATTTCTTGTTTCCCTTGAAAATCGTTTCTCATTGAAACATGTACTAAAGGAGCCTGTACATAAAGACCACTTTTCTTGTCTCCCTTGGATGGTCTTTGTAGACAGGTTTCACTGTACAATGAATTCATTCTCTTGTTTGTTCCTAGATGACAGTGGAATCCCCTCAGGGTCTGAAGGCCAACCTTCTGAGGTCCTTCGGCGGGGGAGGCGCGGGGGCCATCACGGAGGAGATGTGGGAGGATTCGGCTCCAGGAGAGAACTGGAGGAGCTTGGTTTTTGGTCTCTGCTTCTTCAACGCCATCATCAACGAACGCAAGAAGTATGGCGCCCTCGGTTGGAACATCCCCCACGCTTTCAACGCTTCTGATTTGGAGGTGTGTACTGCAGTAGATGTATGAATTACTATCTTCAGGCCTGATAATTACCCAATATAAATCGGTTTCCTGATTTTTTTGATTTTTTCCCGATTTTTTTCCACAAATCCTTTTTTTTTTTTTATTCAAGGGGGGGGGGGGTGGATGGTTCTCACTATCACCCCTGTATCTTATGTGAGAATTTCCTTTGTGACATGCTGTTTGACTATGAAACTGTCAGTGTTTTTGCCAGCCTTTTTGAAATCGAAGTAATGCAAATTTGTTTCAAATTTTTATGAAATTCCAGATATTGAGATAACCCAATATATGTACCAGAGTTCAGTTTTCTGTAAAAAAGGGGAATTTAATCCTATGTTTTCTATATCACTTTTGTCTAATACTATTTTGCAAAATGTATGTAAGATGCATGTTTACCAAATTGGGTTTTTAAAAAAAAATGCTTTTGACTTTGTAAGATACATGTATTGTTTGATGATGTTAAAATAGATTTAATCACTTTTCAACCACAGAAAAAATGGAATAAAGTCTGTAAGAACTCTAGAACTAGATGCATAGAATAAAATAGAGAATCTGTGTTAGTTATTTTGTATCCAGTTTTACAAAACACTTTGCAAAAGAAAAAAAAAAGTTCACCTTACATACTCGATTGTACCTATACCAAGTAACCATTACATTATATCTACATATGTCTTCTTTCCATCAGGTGTCGGTCCAGCTCTTGAAGATGTTGCTGATTCTCCACGAGGACACGCCCTGGGAGGCCCTGATGTACCTGACGGGGGAGGTGGTGTACGGTGGGCGTGTCACCGATAACTGGGATAGGAGGTGCCTGCTGAGCATACTCAATACATTCTACTGCAAGGAGGCTCTCCTGCCGGAATACTGCTACTCACCTGACAGGGTATGTGGCTTTTGTCTGTTTCTCAGTGTACCTGTCTGTCTGTTTGTCTGTCTGTCTGTCTTTCTCGCTCTCTCTTTCTCTCTCTCCTCTCTCTTTCTCTCTCTCTCTCTCTCTCTATCTTTCCCTCTCTTTTTCTTCCTCTCTTTCTCTTCCTTTCTCTTTAGCTTTATCAATTTGATATCTATCCACTTTTTTCTCTTTTCTCCATCTTTTTTTTCTCCCCTCACCCCTGTTTCTGATTGCTTCACATTCGTTCCTCTTTTTCTCTATATATTATTTCATCCATTTGTCTCCCTGTAGATCAGCATCACCTGTTTCTCTCTCTCTCTGTTCTTTGTCCCTAGTACACTTTGTTTCCTTTTTTGTCTTTATGCTATTATTCGTTAAGAGTTTTTCAATTTAAAATATGTAACATTTTATCTTTGTCATATATATTTTGATTAGCAAATAACCAAAGTCATAAAGCAATTGATACATGTAATTTACATGTTTAGCACTCCTTTTTATCATTAATCGTGTATTCCATCTCCCCTCACAGATTTACCACCCCCTTCCCAAGGGCTTTTCCCTGTCGTCCTGCCAGACGTACATAGAGGGTCTCCCGGAGGCCGACAGACCTGAGGTGTTTGGCATGCACCCCAATGCAGAGAAGGCATACAGGGAGAGCGAGGCACAGAAGCTGGTAAACACACTGCTGACTGTGCAACCCAGGGTTAGCATGGGGATCATGGGGTATGTAGTAAAACAACAATTTCTAAATTGATTTGGACTGGTTAAGAGAGAGGGAGAGAAAGAGAGAGATATGAAGAGGTAGAGTGAAAGGAATGGTTTAATTGAGAGAGAGAGAATGAAATAGGGAGAGAGAGATGGGGGGGGGGGGGGAGGGAAAGAGGGAAAGAAAAACGTAGCAAAAGAATGAGATGAAGAGAGGGATAGAAAAAAATATATAGAGAGAGAGAGAGAGAGGAGAAAAGAGACAGATTTAGTAGAGAACAGAGAGTAAGAAAAAATGGATTATTTATGTTGTATGAAATGATTGTGAAGAAATTAGTTTAAAAATAAAAATGTAGTAATTCTCATTTTGCTTTTTTATTCTTGATTGTAGATTATAGAGCTGCCCTGTTTATTTTAAATTGCATTAATCTTAACGGTTTTGAATTGATAGTTTAACTATTTCATCTTAATACCTGTAATATTCTGAGGTAAGCCTGACAAAACCTTGATATCCTCTTTTTATGTTACACCCTGTATTAAGAATCCCTCTTTAATTCTTGATTCTTGCAGGACTGGCAAGACCAGTGATGAAATAGTCCTGGAGCTCGCTGAGGAGATCCGACGCCACCTGCCAGAGAGCATCCAGAGTGACATGGGGGAGCCGGAGAAGCTCCGGGGGCTCTCCAGGAAGCAGGCCAAGGATGAGCCAGGAGCTACGGGAGGCATGTTCCCCGGATTCAATATGTCTGGTGGTGGTGGAGGGTTTGGAGCTGGGAAGAAGCAGGAGAATAAAGGTGAGTTATTTAAAGTGAATAATGATTTATTTATTTATTTAATTTATTTATTTATTTTATTTTTTATTTATTTATTTATTTATTTATTTATTTATTCATTTATTTATTTTATTTATTTATTTATTTATTTTTTTATTTTTTATTTTTTTAATTTATTTATTTATTTAATTTTTATTTTATTTTATTTTTTTTTTTTTTTGGGGGGGGGGGGGGGTAAAATGGCGATGAGGATAATGATGCTGATAAGAATGATGGTGATGATGGTGATGAGGATGGTGATGATGATGATGATGATGAGAATGATGGTGATGATGGTGATGAAGATGAGGATGGTGATGATGATGAAGATGAGGATGGTGATGATGATGATGAGAATGATGGTGATGATGATGATGATGATGATGAGAATGATGGTGATGATGGTGATGAAGATGAGGATGGTGATGATGATGAAGATGAGGATGGTGATGATGATGATGAGAATGATGGTGATGATGATGATGATGATGATGAGAATGATGGTGATGATGATGATGAGGATGATGATAATGAGGAGAAAGAGGAGGATTTGATGGTGATGAAGATTCTGTTTATTGGTGTCCATGCTATTTCCATGGATCAAAAATGTCTGGTGGTGATGGATTGGGAGCCGGAAGAAAAATGCAGCTTTAGGTATGTGATAAAACACTAATTCTGTTAACATTTCCTTCTGTGAAGGTACTATGCAGGTATAGAGGAAATTAATTGATAATCATTATTGAAGGTATGATAAGGATGTTGACTTGCATTTACATACATGTATATGTATAGCTTTCACAATATGGTTATGGTATTTTAAAGGTTGTTTAGAAAACTAAAATATTATAGCCGAACCACTTCCTTATTATAACCCAATTAAACTTTTATGTACGGTATATCTGCTAAATAATTGTAAAATCTTCTTGATAACATGCATCTACCATTTTATCAATAATTTGTTTAACGTAAATGGTAATAATTTGGTGGAATATGACCTGTGTGGAGGTTTCATTGATTTATATATTTCTTTACCCGGAAAATTCAGATGGGTTTTCAGATGAGGAAGGCAAGTTACTTGTATTCCATGTGACAGGCATCCAGATATTGTGATTGCAGTCAGTCTGGAGAAGGGTTTCTTTATAGTTTTTACCCTTTTGCTGTTGTTGTTGTTTCTCTCTCTTTTTTGAGGAGTCAGGTTCATCTATTTTATTATCAGTAGCACTTTTTCGTCTTCTCTCTTTTCTTTTTTTTGAGACTTTGGAAAAGGGTTAATATTTTACGTTCACTTAGCTCTTTGTTTTTCATTATTTTCTCTGTTGGTGGGAGTGAGGTTGGGTGTTTTGAGCACATCTTTTATGAAGGATGATTGGGGAGTGTATTTTTTTTTCTTCAGCCTGTCCTGATTTTGTCAGAAACTTTCTATGGGGTGCATATATTATATATTTTGTTGCTGTTTTGCTCGATTCTCTTTTGGCCAGAGGCAGGGTTTCATACTTTTCTTTTATAGAATGTCACCTAGGTAGTTGATTTTGTGAAGCACAGAGGTATGATATGATACCCTCTTACCTTTCATATAGTTTGATGCCCCAAAAATATTTAACTTTGAGACAAAGTCACTGCCACAAAACTCATCATATTCAAGATGTCTTGTATGAATTCATGCATTATTATCATTAAAAGTGGTCAAAATAGTTCATAGCTCATATGGAGCCCCACTTTACATTTTTAAGAAATGTACAATATATGTACTGAAATGTACAATTCATGATCTGGTAAGAGTTTCTCTAGGTATACAAGCATTAAAGTATTAAAATAGAAGGAAAAGGATAGAAAAGACAAAAAGGAAGGAAGAAGAAAGAGATATATAAAGAGAATAAAGTGAAAATTGCTGTTGACATTGATCAGTAGTAAATGTTCCTCCAAGTTTCATCTTAGATGTGTGAGGGTTACTATAGCTATTGAAATTATTCCTTTGGCAAGGATTGGGGATGTGCTCTAATCGGTGATATGATCCAATTTCCCGTTACATTTTGTTAAGAGATTGTTGAATAGGAGTTTAACAATTAAATGAATATCAACCAGAATGAGTGACAGAAAAAAGGAGTTAATTACAAACGTTAAGATATTTAAATACTTTCTGTCAATCCTTCACATATCCACCACAGTGGCCACACCCACGGTCAAGCCTTCCAATGAGCCTCAGACCCCTTCTGCTCTGCTGACCATCCTCCGCCAGGAGATTGACCGCTTCAACCGTCTGCTAGGGGTGATCCACACCTCGCTGACCTCCCTGGCTCTGGCCATCAAGGGAGAGGTGGTCATGTCTGACCAGCTGGAGGAGATGTTCAAGGCACTGCTGAGCCAGAGGGTTCCCAAGGCGTGGCAGGTGAGTGAACTGGTGTATGTGTATTGATGTAATATGTACTTTGGCATAATTTGCCCCAAGCTTTGACTCGTCAAACTTGGGTTTTAGGATACGGTAGGTTTATTTCAAGTCTTTTCTTTAATGTAAAGAAATAAATCGTGGGGTTATCAAAAGTAATTTAAATCTAACGAATGTTCTACAATTTTCAACCTTCACGATTTAAATGGCGACTGGGCGGAATGCTCCCCAGGGAGTGGAGAATGTGCATACATTGTGTGCGGGTATGCCTGAATCCGATGACCGGGGTAATAATATGAACTGCGCCTAGAAACAAAGTATTAGGCGCATTATAAATGTTAGCTATTATTATTATCAGACTAAATATGGATATTTTTATACACCCCATCTACAATGTAAATAGCAAGCCGCATATGAGTCGTGCAAGCCCCTTGGCTCGTGGGGTATCGACCTCCAGCAGAGGGTAGACTTTTTCTCCCGGTGGTCTGACCTGATACTGGCAGCCAAGGAGCGCAAGGAGAAGGCACAGGGAGCACAGCAGGGCCAGGTGCCCATGGAGCCGGAGGACATGGAGAACTTGAGGGAGCAGCCCAGGAGCTTCTGGCTACCGGGCTTCTTCTTCCCACAAGGTGAGTGGAGAAAAGATTAAGAAATGAGCGATGTTGAGAAGTTTTGAATGAATGAATTAATTAATTAATTAATGCATGCATGATCTAGATGAATGAATGAATGAAGAAGTGAGTGATTGGATGTTTTGAATGTTTGAATTAATCAGTGGAATGTCAGAAGGAATCGTTTGAATGAGTGGCATTTTTACGAGGTAATTAAATAAATTAAATTTAAATAAACTAAATGCCTTTAGATAGGAAAAAAAAAAAAGAAAGAAAAAAAGAAACCGCCACCAACAATAACAATATGAATTTAAAAAATATTAAAGCCCCTCTGCACTAGTTTAGCCAGGATGGAATAGACCTCCCTGCATGGTCACTGACAACTCATCAAATCAGCTCTCAATTAACATAAGAAAAAGGGGACCATGGGGGACCAATGGTCAAATCTTAGGCATTGTTTGCTATATAGAGGGCGCAAGTAGCTATAAGTAGTGCTTTAAAGAGTTGCTATTTTATGATGATGAATGCAAGGTTTATTTACTAAATATAGAAATGACAAATTGATATGAAATATGAAAACATTTATGAAATATAATTTTAAAAATTTGTGTAGGTTTCCTGACAGCTGTTCAACAGAACCATGCCCGGAGGGAAGGTGTGTCTGTGGATTCTTTGACCTTTGACTTCCGCATCATGACGGCCACTGATGACACCGAGGAGAGTCTGAGTAACGTCAAACAGGACGTCAACATTCGGGAATCAGCCTTCAAGGTGGGCAAGGAATGAGAAGATGAATTTGCGTGATGTTTATGTGCTAAGTGTCATATTAATGATATTTCCTGTTTTCTCTTCCTATTAATTTTCATTGTATGATAATGCTGGTGATGACAATGATTATGAGGATGATGATATGAGGATAAGGATGAGGATGAGGATGAGGAGGATGAGGATGATGAGGATGATGATGATGATGATGATGATGATGATGATGATGATGATTTTTGCAATGATAATAATATTAATGTTGATGTTGATGATGATATGCATTTGGAAAATTGCATTGAAAAATTTGCTTATATTAAAGGTACTATGTCCCTTTTGCAGCCAACCTCAAATTCTGTAGAACTTTGCAGGAATTATGAATATGTCATGTATGTCCTATCTGTGAAATTTAAACGTTAGCAGTGTCCTCATATTCAAATTATGCAAGGAAACCCGTTTACTTGCTAGACTTCACTGTCAGACACTATTGAGTGACTGAATGGCTTTTTTCTTCTTTGGTAATAACATACATGAAAAGAGTTGTAAAGGGTACATGAGCATTTGTCTACATCAATAACCCACTTCTTGTGATGGCCAAGATTAAACTGATTGAATCTTTGGGCAGCATAAAACGTATGACCATTTGGTACAATTGTCTGAAAATCAAGACTATTACTTTTGGGCTCTATAGCCCTAAAGTCGATTTGACAACTAATAGTCGTTATTTTCCCACTTGAAGACATTTTCAAGCCCCACCTTTTTTAGGGAAGTTCTAAATTAGTATTATCTTTCAAATGCAGTTGGAATTTAACTTTTTCATTTTTTTGGCCTGCAAATGGGACATATAGTGCCTTTAACATATTTTTTTTAGAGCGAATTTCTGAGGCTTTCATCTACTTATAAGATGGAAATACAGGTAGTATTATTCTGTGTTTAAAAAATAACCGGAAAATATGCTAGTTAAATTTGACAGACAGCAAACTTTTAATGCTCTCTTACTTCATATAGTCTGTTGTAGACTGAACTTAGAGAGCTCATAATTCAAGTCAGTTTCATAGGCTGATGTCACAATCTACATTCTTGCAATGTGGTCAGTGTTTACAAAATGATTTTACATTGTTTTGTATCCAGGGTTCCAACCCCCCTGCTGATGGGGTGCTGGTGTTTGGTTTGTTCCTCGACGGGGCACGCTTTGACCCCCTCAACCACACCATCAAGGACTCCAGACCAGAGGAGAGGTTCTGCCGTCTCCCTGAAGTCCACTTCATCCCAACTCAGGTCAGAAATCTCTGCCATTTTTTTTAAATTCCTAAAATATAGATGGTACTGAGAAAGCCAGATTGATAAAGTTGTGTTAGGTTTGATTGTTTGGAGTTTTTCAATGCAGCTATATTTGTAGGAAATATGCTGGAGCAGAAATCAAAATTGTATATACCACTTAAGAGGAATAATATGCACTGGTATCCATCACAATAGTGATACTTATGGCGCAGTAGAAAATGAAGTAAAAAAATAGTCACATAAACATGAACACGAGTACATACTTTAAACATGAAATCACATGATACACTTCACTTAAAACTTAGCAGTATGCGACAACTTAACAGTATGCGACATTGAACAAGCATGTCTTGAGTACGGTTTTAAACTAGTTTCAAAAAGGAAGTTAGAAAATAAACAATTCCTTTGTGTTTTGTAGTGGTTGTACTTTCACTGTGATTAAAGTGGAGTTAAGTTAAATCAAGCACTCAGGAGGAAAGAAAAAGAATATCCTGTTATTCAGAAGAAAAAAAGAATTTAGGCTAAATTGTAAATTGTGATTCCAAATACTACTAGAAAGGTGGATTTTTGATGTAGGAATAAGAGAGAAAGGGAGTAAATTGCATTAAAAAAGAGTAAATTGTGAATGTATGATTTTATATTTTCATTTCAGATACCACCAGAGGGCATGATACCACCTACCCCGTCCACCTCAGCCGCCACACCCACCCCGCCCCAATCGGCTGCCTCGTCTGTAAGACGCAGGAACTACCCCATCTACGAGTGCCCCCTCTACCGCACCTCTGCCAGGTCCGGTACCTTATCCTCCACCGGTCTCTCTACCAATTTCGTGACCTCCATCGACCTCCCCACCGAGCAGTCTCCCGATTTCTGGATCAGGAGGGGCGTTGCGCTCCTGTGTCAGCTGGATGATTAGAGCATGTACGTTGTATCTTTCTTGATAAGTTTGTCGTAGCATTGTTGGGAGTCACAGGTAATAAATCTACCTAACCATCATGGTACTTCCATGTCAGTCAGATAATATGATATGATGATAGACACATGTGATCTCTTTGTAGCTTTTCACAAATGGGGTCCTATGATCCGGCAACGAGTTCAGTGGTCTTTAGAGGCATACTGTCAGGGTTGCGATTCAGTTTTAGGTTTAATAGGGTTAGGGTCAGGCATAGCATTTGGCCCATGGTTGCAATTAGGAATTCAGTTCATGTAGGATATTACGAGTCAGAGCATGGTTGTAGAACCTACTATGTACATGTATATAAATGATAGTAGCCCATAGAGAAAAATCAATTTAATGTATACCCCCACCAAATATGATGTCTTGTTTTGGTGCTTGAACCGGAGCTACCAAAAGTATTACGTATGGTTGATTGCAGAAAATGTTTATTATTAGTGTATTGTATTCAGGTGCAATTTTGGGGGGCTAATTACCTGCTGAATAAAGGATGCTACTTTAATATTGAACATGAAATATAATAGAAAGATTAAGTATTTGTATATAGTGAATTATGGCATTGTATATAGAATTTTTTTATTAGGGCATTGTATATAGAAATTATTTGAAGAGTTCTTTTTATTTCGCTTTTATGTTACCGATAAAAATTTAATAATGCTTGATTTAAAGATGTGTAGATGCAAGCATGTGATATAGAACACCTGACCATATTTGCTATGATGCATATTTATTTGTTTTACGTCAACAACTAAATAGTTTATTTGAATGAAAGAGACCAATTGAGTCACCTTGAAATAAGAGATAAGGCGTCTCTTGACAAACTTATTAAAACCAAATCATATTGAACTTTGTGAATGTGCTTATCTGTTATTGTAAACATTACATGAAAAAAGGTGTGTGTATAGTAAAAGATAACGTTTTTAACATTTTGAGATCGTGTTTTAATCTACCGGTAACATGAAATTGTTGTATTTAGAGAAGTATGCAGTATTTATTAGCCTCTAGCTATGTGTTCATTTACGCATATTTTCCATTAATTTGTATGTTTTTTGTAAAGTGTGGATAAAGAAAATGTCATTTGCCGAAAAAATGAGAGGGCATTATTTAAATATTTAGGGTTTTAACATAGTTTGTAGTATTGCCTGTTGCTTTCCCTAACAATAACCATCCTGGCATAAAAGTAGCTAATTCTTGGATTTATATTTCATGGATAAAATGATTGTTTCTATGTATTGTACATAAATGAAATGTAGTAATAAAATGTAGAATCAGTATTTATGATCATTCTTGTAAATATTACACAAATATAAACTGCTTTGTTATGAACGGAAAAGGGAGACAAATTTAGAGATTTAGATCTTTGTTTAGAGTCCTCATAGAATGAAAAAATAAACAACAGAATAAAATAACTATAGAAAAAATGGAGAAATGTGTTTGTAACATATGTTGAGGAGAAATTAGGAAATTGTCATATGATTATCATATTATTTTATTATTAATTATAGTATATTATTATCTTCTCTTATCATGGATGTAAAAAAAAAAGGTATTTTGTATTCATTCTTTAGAAATTGTTTATTTGAATGTTATATTATAGTTGTACATACTAAACAAAATAATCCCTCCGAATTCTATAAACCGTCCATGATATTAAAGCACTTCAAGAATTATAATACATTTGTGAAGAAGGGCAATAACTTTGTGAGTAGTAAAACAATTGTACTTTTTATTTATTCTGTCAAAATGTATGCACTTTTTAAGGTCTTTCAATTCATACAGGTTCTATGACTCTGCCGTCCTTTTTAATTCATGTTTTTTATCACCTTGTTTTGTATGAGATGTACATTTTTGCTGTAAAAAAATGTAAATTTGATATATTGGTTATTTCCAGAGAAATAAATTAAAAGTAGAGATAATTGTTAAAGTGAGACTATGAGAGTTAAGGAGATGTTGTAATTGTATATTACCTGTTATAGAGTTTTTTCTCACTCCTTAAAGTGTACCAATCACCTTTAACAAAAACAAAATTTGGCTAGATTTGTTAAAATCAACTTCAAAAAATTAATTCAGAATGCTGTGGGTTGAGGGATAAGGAGTATGGACTTGAGGATGGACTTTCTCAAGCGAAGTGATCAGTCACACGTTTTCTCAGTGCTATCTGTTGTCTTGCGATCGCTGGACCATATATAGGTGACAATAGGTATCCAGAGTCCCTGTTTAGTGTAGGATTAATCCTCTTTAAATAATCCATATTGACTCTTTCACCTTTCTTGGCTAGAAGTTGCTTTCAAAGTTTATTATGACGGCATAATCCCATCCAATATTATATCCTGTGTTGAAGGCGTGTTCAGCTAAAGCTGAATGGGATGGGTGACTAAATCTGGGAGCACTTTTGTTGCAATCTGTGCAAATAATCTTGTACACAATGCCTGCCTTTTCTTCTCTTAGAAATTTGGTCTTTTGGATGGACCAACCTACTTCTTAGTGTGTTAGGGCTTTTGTAGGCAACACTAATATCCTTGTCTTGGAATGCTCGTGAGAGGATATAGTGTCAACAATATCAATAATACATTGTATTTGGTGAATATAGAGAATACTTTATTGAGGGAGGGGGGAAAGAGAGAGAGAGTGAGAGAGAGAATGGAGTGAGTGAGAGATAGATATATACAGATAGAAAGAGAGGATCGTAGGAGAGAGCTAGAAAGAGGACCAGGGAATAAAGGGGAGATAGAGTTTAGAAAGGAGGGAGAGAGAAATATGTAAGCCTATTTAAAGTCCAGTGGGTACCGTTTTAACAAGAGATGCAAAAAACAACAACTGTAAAGTACAAATGAATCTAGATATTCTAGATAACATATTTCTAAACTATTTCTATGTGCTTGCAGACTACGTCGTGCTCAGCTGTTTTGAAGGGAAATTCCCTTACGTAATGCTCACGTGGTCTGATGCGTAGTCTTTACAAAAGCTTTAAAAACAAAACTATCCAAAAACTATTTTCTTAATATAAAATTGAAGCTGTCATATGCTTTTTGATATTGAACTCTACTTTTAAAAAACGTTTAAAAATAGGGCAATGAAGTTTGAGCGATTCAATTTCCTTTACGCTTTGTAAAAACCTGCACTTGAGATCAAAATGTCTTTGAGTAGACTACGCGCTGTCCGTAGTGTTTGCTTGTTAAGTCAACCGCGAAAGTGTTTACGGTCACGAGCTCTGCGGGCGAGGTACAGCGGCATGCGCACCAGGCAACCGAGTCGCCGCTGGCCGAACGCGAACCGAGCACGCACTGTAGGCTTTGCCAGTGTGCATATCGTACCGTACCTGTTGAGCTAATTGCGGAGAATCTGAAGTCGTTATTATTGTCAAGAAAAGCAGATTAAAGAGATAACATCAGCCGATATATCATCCTGTTTGTGACACCACTTCTGAAGTCATGATGAAGGCATTATGTGTTCTACTCCTTTGCCTTGTAGCTGTAGCAACAACTTTTGCTTTTCCAGAGCATCTTTTTCGTCAACAACAGACTCCCGACCCTGAAGTGAAACATTGGGCTCTTCTCGTGGCTGGATCAAATGGATGGTACAATTACAGACATCAGGTAATAACTACAGCCCAGTCAAAATAGCAAAAAAATACCAAACAAATTGCAAAAGAACTTAATCAATTGCAGTGCACTTTTGAAATAAAACGTAATCTAGGGTCTGCCAAAGATTTAGGAAAACTTTAACTTAAGCCGGTGTGAAAATAAGTCCCCCAAAATGTCATAATTATAAGCATACCTATTAAATTGCCATATTTTTTCCTCATAACATGGATATAGATGACCACTTTGAACAAACCAAGTGTTTAACCCAATGTCGGTGAACAAGGTGGATATATTTTCGGGTTTTCGGGTATGAATAGTATCAAAATATGCAAGTATGCTTTTATTTATTTAAAAAATATATATATTATCATAATTTGCTATCTAAGAACTAGACCGAATTTTCTGTCTCTTTCGTTCGTTAAGCCTCTTATTTGGGTAGGGTCGGCTCTTCAAAGAGAGAGCCGACCCTACCCAAATAAAGAGAGAGCCGACCCTACCCAAATAAGAGGCTTAACGAATGAAAGAGACAGAAAATTCAGTCTATCTAAGAACCAGATTAAATCAAGTCAAGTGACACAATTGATGTTGACATTGTTACTGAACATCAACATCTACAGTGACATGACCAACATCAATTAAATCATTTGAATTGATTCATTCAGGTTTTTAAAGTGCAAATTATAATGAAAAAATGAATTTCAATATTGATCTCTTTGATGGTAGGTCATTTGCATATTTTGCAACCAAAATTGAACTTGTGAACATGTGTCTAGGCCTACTAACTATAAATTGGTTAAGCAGTAATATGCCTTTATACAACGCCTACTAAGATTCTTGCAACCTCATTGGTCAATTCTTAATCACATGACATGCGCTAAAAGTACATTTGAACAGCATCATTGACGCGGAGTGCAATTTCTTTTGATCCTTTCACACCATTGCACACTGACATCACTAACGATGTACAAAGTATATAAGTGAGCTAATTGACGTCAGAGTGCAATGGTGCGAAAGGATCAAACGAAATTGCACTCCGCGTAACAATGAACATAAAGGTTGGTACGCGCGGCGCATGGTACACGCGTGGTTTGCTGCCTGCTTAATAGTGCGCGCTCACTATCAGCAATTTCATCAATTAAAAACAAACAAAAAATTGCTGAGATTTAGGCCCTAGGAACACTGTTTTAAGCCCGTTAACGTCCGAGGTGTCGTATAAAACAAATAGTGAATGGTCTTTATTCATGCAATGGAACAATATTTTGCATTCGGTGAAAGATGAGACGCTCCATTCAACTCGGCTGCGCCTCGTTGAATATAGCGTCTCTGATCTTTCACCTTGTGCAAAATCTTGTACCATTGCACTCATGACCATTCACTATTTGTATAATATCAATATTAAGAGAAAAGGGAATTCTATTTTATGTGTGGTTGAAGGCTAATGGGATTATATGCACATTATAGTCATTTCATTAATTTAGAGATGTGTCCATCTTATTCACTGACTTATGTCTATTTTATGTCTGCTTTAATGACACCCCTTGGCTGTCGCTACTTCAATTTCATTTTTTTCCTTCATTTGACCTTTACCTCAACCGTATAAAAAATTGATTTAAAATTTATGGGCCTAATTAAAATTCTTTATAAATGTATTTTAAAACAAAGTATTACTTGAGCTGCATTTTGAGAATTTTCTCATTATATTTCTGAATGAACATGACCATAAATTGACCCGTCAGTCACATTACTTGTCTCATCTGTACAGTAAAAAGCTCATTCTTGCTAATCGCATTATTATAATAGAACTTGACTTTATCAATATATATGACATGGGTTTATTGTACAGATATATTGTAACAAAAGTTGATATCTTTCTTTTTGAATGAGCCTTTGTGTATTTAATGTTCATCTTCTATCTCAATGCAAACACATAAACACATAAATTTCTTTATCTGTCTTTGTGTAAATATTGATTTAATTTAAACAGGTATTAACTATTAAGCAGTCACAAGACCATACTCTGCAGTCGTTGTTTTTGCTACCTTTACAAATTACAAGCATTTCCTTGATAAGAAAAAACTTCTTGTTTTAAGTATTTTCAAGTGTTTACGTTTATTTTCGGTGTGACGCAAGTCTTGATAGTAGAAGCAGGGTTGGACTTGCAAGTATCCTTTTATAGCATTCATCACATGATGTTTGATTTATTTCAAAGAGATTAATTACGAGCTCTGAAAAACTGGTTGTTAAGGTGATTATCTTTTTCCTCCAAAACAATTGCCACGTACTTCCCCGTACCTTTCCACAAGTATTAATTCTGATAAAGGTGTTAATATTTGACAATTAAAAAATCTTCTGGTTGATTTCAGCATTTCATTCTGAAATGTTTTGAGTGAAACTAAATGTGAGCACAGTGGGTATCATTGAATGTCTTGGTTTAATATTATCATGAAATGTAGTGACAGTAGTGTAATGTAAAATGCTTTCTAGGCCATTTGGAAAAAAACTCTAAACCAAAAAATCAGATAAAACTTGCTCAATTTCCTATTTTTTTCCCCAACTTAATAGAAATTATTTCATAGGCTTTGTGCTAACAAACTCTGAACACTTTTGCATTATACATTTTTTAATGATGTTGTTAAAAATGATAGAAACTGTACATGTTTTCCAAGTGATAACAAATTAATAATCTCTTTCCTATTCTCTTTTGCTTTGGCTTTCTTTTTCTAGGCTGATATCTGTCATGCCTACCAGATCCTTCACAAGCATGGCATTCCAGATGAACAGATCATCGTCATGATGTATGATGACATCGCCTACAACAGAGAGTAAGAGATATATACATGTATTTGTTTTACCAAATGAAATAGAAGAGAGTTCTCTTTTAACCTAAATCATTCCCCTGTGAGAGAGAATACGTGCATGAACATGGAGGATAGGCTGTAATGCATGTTCAGTTAATTTTTTTTTCTTATCTGTAGAGCTTGATAATGATAAAACAAAATAATTACACACAAATATCAACTTTGAATCTTATCCTAACCAGGAATTATATTTTTTTTGAAAGACAACACCTTTTTAACAGTTAATGTAACATTTTACTATATTATCAAAAATGTCTTTCTCATAATTTCCTTTGTTAGCCTTTATCAGAATACGAGGGAAGCAGGGTTACCCGAAATCTATGATTGTGATATCTATAAAGTGCTTAGAGAGGATAGTTCTTTTTAAGCGCTATCTGGATTAAATCCAGATTATTATTATTATTATTATATGTATGCAAATATAGAAGCATCCATGACTTACAATCTCATGATTCTTATCATTGCGAAGTGTATTGAACTTACAATATACAACATGTAATAGCCAATCAGCAGATAAATGAAGAACCACACACCCCCTCCCTCCCTGCAAAATATGTTAGCTTAGATCTCGTGATCAATGAAATGTATTTGTTTTCCAGACCATCAACAAATTAACAAATGTTTGATAAAGCATTATGGGGTCCAGGGGACATCAAATGATTAAAAAACCTTGTAAACTTTTCTTGCGTGAAGGGAGACGTCTCTGTCTTGGTTTAATAGCCCTGCAAGTGTGGAAGGTTACATGTCCATTTTGGCATTTTCCCAAAAGTGCATGATTCTGAAAATGAAATAGCTAGGGTTCATAACTCTGAAAATAAAAATGGGTTCATTATTCTGAAAGTGAAAAAGGGTTCATCATTTTGAAAATGACAAAGGGGGACATATAATAAGAAACCTATTGGATATTGAAAGTTCAGGGATGAAGTTTCTATGATAAACAACTGTTCTTATGAAAGAGAAACAAAAAATAATATCAAATTTGTGTGAAGTTTTGAATCCCCTTTAAACACAAAGTAAATAACAGTGTAAATGTCAATCATGACCTTAAAAATAGACAAATAATAAGAAAGCTATTGGCTATTGAAAGTCTAGTGATGAAGTTTCTATGATAATCAACAATTTCAAATTTGTGTGAAGATTAATTCCCCTTTATACACAAAGTACTTTACAGTGTACCTGTAAATGTCAATCATAACCTTTATAGACAACTAATAGAAAGCTATTGGCAATTGAAAGTTCAGGGATTAATTTTATATGATATTCAACTGTTCTTATGAAAGAAAAACTGGACAAATTATTCAAGTTTGTGTGAAGTGTTAATTCCTCTGTAAACAAAAAGTAATTTACACTACAGTCTTAATGTCAATCATAACCTTTATAGACAAATAATAAGAAAGCTATTGGCAATTGAAAGTTCAGGGATTAATTTTATATGATATTCAACTGCTCTTACTGTATGAAAGAAAAACTGGACAAATTATTCAAATTTGTGTGAAGTGTTAATTCCTCTTTAAACACAAAGTAATTTACACTACAGTCTAAATGTCAATCATAACCTTTATAGACAAATAATAAGAAAGCTATTGGCAATTGAAAGTTCAGGGATTAATTTTATATGATATTCAACTGCTCTTATGAAAGAAAAACTGGACAAATTATTCAAATTTGTGTGAAGTGTTAATTCCTCTTGAAACAGAAAGTAATTTACAATGTTCATGTACATATGTATGTTGCTACTTGTAGTCAATCAAAACCTATATATTCTGCAAATGTATTAAACAAAAAAAGGAACAAACGAACAAACAAAAAAATGTCCCATGGTAGGCCTGGCCTGCATGTGCTACACTGGACAGCTGTAGATACCTCTTTGCCCACAGTTTGAGATGCATATCGGGGACAGTGCTCCTCTCTTTATACAAAAAGGCGTTTCTTTTGTCAACAATATGAACTTTTTATGGTGTTTTTTGCTAGTCATGGGATGCATCCACTATGTTTTGATTATGGGAATGACAAAGCAGAAAAAATGCTGGACTTGATTCTATGACTGTTGGGTGCTTTTATCATGTGATGTTTGACAATTTCATTGGCTGTCAGGTTGTCAATTTTGCCAATCGAATACGATCCTATTCACTCTTCTCCACATTTGCAATTTAAATGCTTGATGCTTCTATTCGCTAGAACTCTAATTCTAAAAAGCAATAGAATCCTATTGGTGTTATCAAAATTCAAAAGCTCTTGGAGCATGGATTTGAAAAAAAATTGTTCAATTGTAGTTCTGTAAAACAAGTACATGCTTGTCCATGCAGGTACAAAGATGTAACTGTATATGACTAATCTTAGTTAAAGGAAAAGCATACTTATGTATACATTCTTTAAGACCAGAATCAAATCATCAAATTTGAATATGAAAATGATTTTAAATGTAAGTATGATTGAAGCTTGCATGAAAGCATTTATCAGAATTAAAAGTTGTTAAAGTTTTTCATAGATGTGATTGATACTTTATGCTTTCTTAGCAGTCATCGATTAAAGTATTTCCTCATTTATAATAGGGAAATACTTACAATGACTACTAAGAAAGCATTAACGTAAGGTATAAATATATTATTTGAAAAGAATAATAAATGAAGAGATATACACATGCAACTCTTGACTACACAAATCATACATATTTTGGTGACGTCATGACAAGCGCTTGCAATTTAAAAAATATTGATTAAACACTCACGTCACGTTTTGGTAGACGTGATCATTCGTGTTTTACCGGTGTGGGAAACAACGTATGGTAGGCCCTACACTTCGTAAATTAGAGTCATTCATTTTACGAAACAGCGCAAAACGTGAACGTGACACGTGATACGCGACTGTTCGTTGCAAGCGGATGTTACTCTATGACTAATCTTAGTTAAAGGAAAAGCACACCTAGGTATACATTCTTTAAGACCAAATAATGAAATTTGAATAGTAAAATGATATTTAAGTATGATTGTAACCTTTTATCATTTTTCATTTTAATTTAGCAAACTTCCCCATTATCAATGAGGAAATACTTATAATGACTGCTAAGAAAGCATTTAAGGTATAAATATATTATTGAAAATGACTGATAAATGAAGAGTCCACATGTAACTCTTGTCTATGAAAAATAAAAATAGGCATGTTTGAAAACAGGCTATGGTTTCACTTGCACAAAAGCGTCATAATTAAATTGATGAAATTTACTGATATCCAATCTAATTAAATTTGATACACGCAATAGGATGTCAACGAAAATGTACTTACCATGTAGGGCGGTTCATGAAACGCTGCCCTGATTCTTAAAGATATTAAAGGAGAACTAATTACCCCAAAGAATAACTAGTTGATCTACAAGATCCCAACCAAAGTGTACGAGAAAGCCATAAAGCAAAAATAATGTACAAATTCTCAGCAATTAAGACATGCTATGGATGCTTCCTTCCCAGTTGTGTTGAAGCATTTCATTCACCTTATCCTTTTTATTCCAATTGCCAGAACGCAAATTGCATAAATAAGTTTACCATTGTAGGTGTGTGACAGTTTTCTTGTTTTGTTTTAAATGAAATATATTTGTTTATCTTTAATTTTTGTATAGAAATCCTAACCAAGGGGTAATCATCAACAAGCCTAACGGACCCAACGTCTATCCTGGAGTTCTCAAGGACTATACTGGTGATGTAAGTATTTTCAAGATAATCAACGATAATGACTCCTTCAGCTTTGAAACCATTTAAAAATATTTTTTTTGATGATCCAAAGCATAATACGTTTCTTGTTTTTTTGGTATGATGGTTTGTTTTTACTCTATTGAAGAAAGCATGTGTGTTCTTCTTTTAAAGTAAGCAACCAGCTAAAGGACCGACTGCTTTAAGTCCTCTCAAAGCAGTCCTCTCGGAGGGACTTGGTAATGAGGATTAATGCCTTACCAAGGGAACTTGCTGGTTTTTCATGTGCAAGTTGATGTGGATGGAATCCATGTGCTGGGGTAGGCATGTGAATTATTTTATACCATTATGCTACCCAACCAAAGTGCCTGCATGTACCTCCACATCACAAGGTATAAATTGCACTTTATGCATGCTTCTAATTTATGGACAATGGTAGCTAGTAGCAACAATCAGGGGATTATCCAACTAAAGAAGGCTACTTGCAGCTGACTATTGAAATACAATAACTCATTAACAGGTGCATTCAATAGTTTGTCAGTGCAGGGTCTTTCTACTGGGGCAGAGTTGTTCATGAATTTGAATACCTTTGTGAACTTTTCTTCTTTGTTTGAGTAGTGTATCAGTAGTAAAACATGTTTGGATAAATGTCAATGGAGCTTCATTTGAAATAACAAGGGCAAGGATACAATGGGGACAGTGGAAGAGCAACATGCATACTTGAATATTGCTGTCTTTTTTTCAACTTGGCTCCAGTACTTCTTAAACAATAAACACCCTTTTGTAATGCAATATGCACCTGTTCAATTCTGTGCAAGACTCCCCTCTGAATCCTCTCCAAGTTGTATTGTTATTGAATGGGGGCTGCTTTCTTTTGAACAACCATGCTCACAGTTTCACCTGTATATAAGTTATTTGCATAGAATGCCATTGTGGGTTGCATTTTGTGATTGTTGCTGCGTTGGGCAAGGGTGAAATGCAAATTACTGTTGAATATGCATGTATTTATGTACATGAGGCAATTGTCCCTGAATGGTAAGGTACTCTTGTTGGAAATTTATTTTAGTAACCACGAAAAAAGAGTACAACATTTTGGAAGGGTATATATTAAAGGTCCTGGGCGTATTGTAGGGAAGGCAGTGTGGTCGGCAGGGCTGGTATACAGCAGGGGACAGCATCGATTGGAGAACAAAAAGATGAAGTCATCTTCATCAGCATTGAACATTAAGGCTCGAATTCACAAAGGAGGTTTAAATTTAACCCATTGTTTAAGTCTTCATAAATGAGGGCTTAAACCATGCGTACAATTTGAACCCCCTTTGTGAATTTGGGCCAAAATGGTTCATCAAAGATGGTGCAATTAAATTTGCATAATTATTTGGTTTGCATTGGGAGGGAATACCGCGTATAGATACTGTATACCAGCCCTGTTTATTATTATAATTATTTGTGTCAGCTGTTTTTCGCTGGCATAGATAATCGTGGTAATTCCTTGTGGGCTGCATTTTCGACTCGAAATCAATGAATATAATGGCACTTAATGCCAAGGGCACAGTAGGGGGAAATAAGTACAATTCTGTTTGTCAATGAATAGGATATTTTTGTAGTTGTATGTTTGTATTTTAATCAAATGAGAGCATCATCAGCCTATGTTCAGCATATCAAACAGCTTAAATATTCTTTCTTTTAAAAAAAAAATTGTTAAGTGTTATGTTATTTCAAAGTTTATGCTAAATATACAAAATAACATTTATTTCAAAATCCATTCCTTAAAAAAGAAATTCATTAAGGTCTCTAGAAAATATGTGACGCTTACATACACATGTATGTGTTAGTTATCTAGGGAGATGCATAGTCATTAATTCTCCTACTACATTTCCTTGCCAGCCTTTTCACTAGATGCAAAAATGAAGGTTAGATTTTTTAGAGTATAGCCATGTCACATTTTCATGGTTTTTTTTGTGAGTACAACCTTGAAATCACTCTCATGTGATGTTTGCTAGTGAAACCAAGGGAATGATTCCATTGAATCAGGAAACTGTTTGTTGTTTCAGCTTTTGATATGATGAACAAAATGGGTCACCAGTCTAATAATGCTCCAACTGCATGGATGAAGCCATCCATGTATTAGAATAGATTTGAACAATAACGTGCCTTTGCGGTTTTGATAAATCCTATAAAATAAAACCATTTCCTTTGATGATACTCGTTTAACCCTCTCCATGGCATGGGTGGCACATTCAGCCTGAGAATCGATTAGTCTGGTTTTCCGGAAGCAATGCTGTTATGTCAACTTATAATAACTAGATTTCCATCCCTGCAACAGACACAAATTGTAAAGTTATAACCCATAAACTTGCCATCAAACCATTCCTATTTTGGAGGAACGATTCCTATTAGAACGGACAGGACTACGCGGTAACCTACAGGATGCAAAAATCTACATTTTGTCGTATTTTTATTTTTTCTTTTTTTTTTTCTTCATCTATTTTCTCTTTCATTCCATTTTAAGGGGGAAAAGAAAAAAAAGAGAGAAGCCTATATTTAATTTTTATTTTTTGATACTCTATTTAAAAAAAAAAAGAGAAAGAAAGAAATTAATATTAAAAAGAAAGGCGTTGGTGATAATAGTCAGGTCTTGACTGATTGCCATTACAACAAAAAACAACAACAACTATTATATTAGCGTTCAGATCTCTAGATTCCTCTTTTTTCTGGAAGCTTTTCTGTAAAAAGTATACAAAATGGACTGTATTCCTAATTTTGCCTGGAGAAATTTGTAAATTTTGCTGTGAAAGATTGGCATCATAACATTATGACTTCATACTTTATTGATAATTTTTTTTGTTGAAACTTAACAATTTGCTTCTTTTTCATTTTTGATAATCATATAGAAACTTTGATATCACAGAATGGGGGCAGTGGCACAGAGTTAGTTAAAGTGAATTTTGATAATTTTATTTTTTAGAAATTATTGATAGGGTAAAAAATTCTCACCATTTGTTTTTGTTGTTTTGTGTTGTTTGTTTGTTGTTGATAATGTACAATTGCATTTTAATTTTGGGCTTTGAATCATGAATTGGCATATGTGCTATTTTTATGACTTATTATTCCCTACAATCCTAATAAAAATCATTTCAATTTGATAATCAAAGTATTTTCCAAGGTGATTTATTTTTATTTTTATTTTTCCTCTCAGGATGTTACTCCAGAGAATTTCCAAGCCTTGCTTCAAGGAGAGAAACCTCATTCTTGTAACAACTGCAGTGGAAAAACTCTGAAGAGGTAAGTTGACCTGCAGAAATTTGCATTGAGTTTCAAAAATGTTTTGCCACAGACAATAACATTGGACCACTTTGGAAGTATTTCCCAAATATCCACAGACCTTTCAACTATGGACAAGTCCCACTTCATGCATTGGCTATTTTGCTAGTTGTCATTCATGATTATGCATGATTACAGTCTGTTTTCTAGAATGTATAGTTTTAATACAGCCATGTTTTGGATACAAAGTACAGAATGAGATTTTGGCTCATTGTTTTAGGCATAAGAGCCGTTTCCTTTCAGACAGCTGTTCCTCGGATACTTGTCGTTTCCTCCAGACGTACTCTTCAAGTTTTCCAGAGAGTCACATTTTGTACAAAGTTGTTCTACATTTCCTTGAACACACTTCATTCATTCTCTGCCGAGTCATCAATTTTCAGCGGGTCCTCTTGACTTCAACAGCTCTCAGTGTTCTTTACAGTTTTCCAGATATATCTTGTCTTGTATTATAAAGCTTTCTCCTTTGACTTATTATATGAGTTGATAGATCTTTATTTATGTTTAATCCAAAACTCAAGTGAAGGGAGATACTGTATATGACATGAACCAGTTTGATAGATCAACACGCATGTAAGGACATGGTATCTTGAGAAGTTGTGCAAAGTGATGAGAACATAACAATGCATATCTATTTAACTGTATTTACGTTTCCAAGTAGCAGTTAGCTACTGTACCCACTCAGGTCCCACTGTGTCCACAAAATGGTTCTGGACATTACCCAGTGTTCAGATTAGCTGAATTTATTGTCTATCTATATGATAAGCAATTAATTTTGTTATAGTCTAAATGTCCTTGAATGAAAAATTGTTTAAAGTGACGTCATGTAGGGTAATGCATGTTTGAGCATTGTTTTTAACAAAAACATGTTACTGGGCAAATTTTACTGTGAGTGAGCACAAACGATTGGCCCAGCTATCATCTAAGCTCACACTATGCTGACATGTACAGTGAAACCTGCATATAAAGACCACCCAAGGGAGACTGGAAAAGTGATTTTTATAGGCAGGTGGTCTTTATATAGAGGTTCCACATGGTTCAATGAAAAACTATTTTCAAGGGAGACAAAATTTTTTGTCTTGATAGACAGATGGCCTTTTTATACAGGTTCTTTCTAAAGCAGGATTGACTGTATAATACCCCTTTTCACACATGTACTGCTATTCTCTTATTCTCTATGTGACATTTCTTGACGCAAATTTCATGTCTAACCAGGCTAATTAGGTTCTTGATAGGTAATTAAAATACTGTTTGGTCTTTTGATCTAAAGGTCTTACTGGACTCTCTAAAACTCAGTTATCTATTTTTTGTTTTGTTTACAGTGGCAGCACCGATCATGTCTTTGTTTACTTTGCCGACCATGGAGGACCAGATCTCATTGCCTTCCCAGATGGAGAGGTAAGCATATTCATGAGAAACTTTGGAATTCCCCCCCCCCCCCCCCAATCACAAAAGTTGACCAGTAACCTCATCAATGAAATGAAATCCATAGTTTCTATTAAATCTTGTTCTCTAGCCCTACAAATGTAACCTATAAATTACCATTCAGTCAGGTCCACTTGCTAAAAGACTTTGACCAAAAGTTAATGCCACATATATGTGTAGTCCCATATACCCAATTCTTCTGTGCAGTGAACCAGGTATGTGACTTACATTCAAGATTATTTGATTTCTTATCAATGTTAGGATTCGTTAATATTACCTAAACAACCACAAAATGTCCAGAATGTAATCGCTTAATGAATGGAAACTGAAAATAAGCTTTTCAATCATTATAAACCAAAAGTGACTATTTTTTCAAACTTGCGTGTCAATAAAGTGCTTTTATAAGACATCATGATATCGTTTCTGAATGGAAACTGAAAATAACTATTTTCATTTAAACAGAGTGTTTACTTGGAGGCAGGCTACAATACATCTGGAAATCTTCTAAATGCCAAATCATAATGAAATTGTTATAATGAAATTGAATTATTATCTTTTTTTTTCAAATCACAAGAAAGGCTTGTAATTGAAATAAGTTGTTTACCATGACAAATAGACATTCTTCTAATATTTTAAATAGTTTGGAAGCAAGCTGGTGTGGATGGCAAAGTGTATTTCATGAATAATTTTTACAAGTATCCTGTTTCATAAAACTTGTTAATCAATAACAAGTTACAAAAATAGCTGTTATAAGCTTCAGAAATGATTGCTTTCAGTTGGAGAGCAAATTCATCATTGAATTTATGTATTATTGAAGTTTCACGAAACGGAGCCAACAGCCTTTGGGTGATATGTTTACTTGTTCAATTGAGAGCAAAGGGATGAATTACATGAAATTAATTCATCTTTTATTTGTTTTGTCTTTTTTAGTTGGAAAGGAATGAGCTGATGAAGACCCTGAAGAAGATGCACAAACATGAGAAATTTGCAAAGGTAAGTACAGTGGTGATGGCAACTTAAATCACATCTCACGCAAAGCATGATGTAGCATTCATTTGTGAACTTCTATTTAAGGTATTTAGGGGAAGAGTACAAATAAGCTTTCATCTTTTGATGATGATGATGATTCATACTATTTACATGGCACCATATTGTTGATAAAAAAGAGACAAAATGTAACAATTATGACATTTTTGATCTCTTTGGAAAGTCATTGATATATGACTCATTATCATTAAGTCCTTAATTTATTGATTTTCTAGGTATACTGTACTTTGTTCGAGAAATATTGTAAAACAGCATCTGAGGAACTAATTCTTCTATTATAATTGTCGTTTCAATGTATATTTTTGTAATATACTTATTCATTGTATTATGTTTTGCATGAGAAATGAAATCATTTGAATCCATTGGTCTTCCTTTTAGCTTGTGTTCTACCTTGAAGCCTGTGAGAGTGGATCCATGTTCAAGGGACTGTCAGAGGACCTCAACATCTACGCCACCACCGCAGCGAACCCAGACGAGTCCTCCTGGGGTTTCTACTGTAACAATTCTATGGATAACTGCCTGGGAGATGAGTACAGTATCCACTGGATGGAAGATTCCGATGTGGTAAGACTTTGAAAGAGGAGAATGGTGATGTTGATGGTGGTGGGGATGATAGTGGTGATGATGAGGATGGTTTTGGTGATGAAGAAAATATTTGATGTTGGTGGTGGAGGTGGGGATGACAGTGGTGATGAGGATGGTTGTGGTGATGATGAGGATGGATGTTTGGATGACAAACATATTTGATGTTGGTGGAGGTGGGGATGACAGTGGTGATGAGGATGGTTGTGGTGATGATGAGGATGGATGTTTGGATGACGAACATATTTGATGTTGGTGGAGGTGGGGATGACAGTGATGATGAGGATGGTTGTGGTGATGATGAGGATGGTTGTTTGGATGACGAACATATTTGATGTTGGTGGAGGTGGGGATGACAGTGATGATGAGGATGGTTGTGGTGATGATGAGGATGGATGTTTGGATGACGAACATATTTGATGTTGGTGGAGGTGGGGATGACAGTGATGATGAGGATGGTTGTGGGATGACGAACATATTTGATGTTGGTGGTGGAGGTGGGGATGACAGTGATGATGAGGATGGTTGTGGTGATGATGAGGATGGATGTTTGGATGACGAACATATTTGATGTTGGTGGAGGTGGGGATGACAGTGATGATGAGGATGGTTTTGGTGATGAAGAAAATATTTGATGTTGGTGGTGGAGGTGGGGATGACAGTGGTGATGAGGATGGTTGTGGTGATGATGAGGATGGATGTTTGGATGACAAACATATTTGATGTTGGTGGAGGTGGGGATGACAGTGGTGATGAGGATGGTTGTGGTGATGATGAGAATGGTTGTGGGATGACGAACATATTTGATGTTGGTGGTGGAGGTGGGGATGACAGTGGTGATGAGGATGGTTGTGGTGATGATGAGGATGGTTGTGGTATTAATGATGAGGAACATATTTGATGTTGGTGGTGGAGGTGGGGATGACAGTGGTGATGAGGATGGTTGTGGTGATGATGAGGATGGTTGTGGTATTAATGATGAGGAACATAATTGATGTTGGTGGAGGTGGGGATGACAGTGGTGATGAGGATGGTTGTGGTGATGATGAGGATGGTTGTTTGGATGACGAACATATTTGATGTTGGTGGTGGAGGTGGGGATGAGGTAGGGTTTTACATTAAAGACCATCAATACTACTGGGCCAGAAGGGATTAGACCACACAGTGAGGTCACTGACAGGTGGCTATCTCATTAACTCAGCTCTCAACTAACATAAGAAAAAGAGGATCATGGGGGACCAACAGGCACCGATTGGGGAAGTTTTCTATATAGAGGGAGCAAGTAGGACAGTGGGGCTTTAACAACCTCCACGTTTTAAAAGCAAAATAACAATAATTATAGTGGTGTTGGTGGTAGTGAAGAAGATGATTGTTGTCACTATCGTCAAGATAATGATGTTGAGGTTTTGAAATGTTTCTTTTGTATAGGAGGACCTGAGCGCAGAGACGCTGAACAAACAGTTCCGCATCGTGAAGAAGGAAACGAAGAAGAGTCACGTTCAGGAGTATGGTAACCTCACCATGGCATCAGCGGCAGTCGATCAGTACCAGGGTGGTAGTGATGGACAGATGCACATCTACAAGGACGCGGTTCATGAGGAAACCCCCGTCAGTGAGGTGAGCAAAAGATTTATACGTAATAATACGCATGATAATCAGGTATCCTTTTTCAATTGGATGGTTTTTTGTGGTTGTCTGGGCTACAAGGTCAAACGTCACAGGGGTCATTATGTATGCAAAAATAGCTCGTGATCGCGTTATCTCAAGAACTGATTGAACAAAGACAATTTTGATCAACATTATAATACCTCACTGATGCCATTTAAATCCTGACCTCTGCAATATCACAATTAAAACGGACGGAATTGGAGATGTTACAACTGTATTTACCTAATCTGTATTAATCTGCCGAGCTCCATGCGTAATTTTGAGAACTCGTGTCATTGTTGTATCTTGTATAGCTTGACTTTGTACCATCCAGAGAGGTTGAGATGACCATGCTGTACCGTCGGCTGATGAAGACGACCCATCCTACAGACAGGGATGCTATCCTCAAGAAGATCAACATCTTGGTCCAGGTAAGCTGGCTCTTTCAAGAACATCCATTACGTTTACACATCAATTACCATATGCGGTTCTTGTATAGCGAATATTATTATTAAAGAGCTTTTAGAAATTATCAAAGAAAAAAAAAAAATTGGTGTACAATGCATTTCAAGATATAATCCTACCAGGTACCCATTTACCTCACCTAGGTCGACAACGACACCTCTAGCATAGTGTTTGGGTTTTATATATATGTGCGTGGTATATTTTTCCAGTTTGAAATTGTTTGATTCTGATCATGTTTTTTTATAGAGCTGGCATAAAACTTACCATGGTACTAATCAAGGATTCCATGGTAGTTATCATCAATGGTAAGTTTTGTGCAACAGAGCCCACTTGTCTGTAGTACAAAAACTACCTTCCAAAGTGGAGTGGTAGGAGCATTTAGTAATCTTGTGAAGATAAATAGGATATTCATTTGTATTTGTAGACCCAGCGTGACATCATCCAGACTATGTGTACGATCGTCATGTCTGTGACCTCTGACTTGGAGGCCGTAGAAGCTCATCTCCAGCGCCCTGAGCAGCTCACAATCCTAGACTCGGACTGCTATCATAGCTCTGCCAAGCTCTTCTCCGACAGGTGCTTCAGGCTCGGCCAGGTAACGTGATAAATGTTTGCAATGATACCCTTCCCATGTTTGTAAATACTATCTGCGCATAGGCAGATAAAGGTCATTTGTTCCCAAATTGTAAAACCCATCGTGCTCATGAAAGTTATGTTATCTATATGCACCGATGATACATTTATCTGATACACAACAAAAGGTATTCATGAAGCACCTCCTTCACTTATCCATCGTGTAAAAGATCTGTGGATATTTTGGGGTCATTACGTATGTGAGAAATAGATATGTCCTTATTGATGTTGACCTGGGATTGTATTAGAGGTAGTAGAGGTAGGAAAGAAGAATAGGTGGGGGTGGAGGTAAGATGGTAGTAGAGGTAGGAAAGAAGAATAGGTGGGGGTGGAGGTAAGATGGTAGTAGAGGTAGGAAAGAAGAATAGGTGGGGGTGGAGGTAAGATGGTAGTAGAGGTAGGAAAGAAGAATAGGTGGGGGTGGAGGTAAGATGGTAGTAGAGGTTGGAAAGAAGAATAGGTAGGGGTGGGGATGGACGTAGGACGATAGTAGAGGTAGGAAAGAAGAATAGGTGGGGTGGGGATGGACGTAGGACGATAGTAGGGGTAGGAAAGAAGAATAGGTGGGGTGGGGATGGACGTAGGACGATAGTAGGGGTAGGAAAGAAGAATAGGTAGGGTGAGGGTGGATGTAGGACTATAGTAGAGGTAGGAAAGAAGAATAGGTAGGGGTGGAAGTAAGATGGTAGTAGAGGTAGGAAAGAATAGAAGAATAGGTGGGGGTGGAGGTAAGATGGTAGTAGAGGTTGGAAAGAAGAATAGGTAGGGGTGGGGATGGACGTAGGACGATAGTAGAGGTAGGAAAGAAGAATAGGTGGGGTGGGGATGGACGTAGGACGATAGTAGGGGTAGGAAAGAAGAATAGGTGGGGTGGGGATGGACGTAGGACGATAGTAGGGGTAGGAAAGAAGAATAGGTGGGGTGGGGATGGACGTAGGACGATAGTAGGGGTAGGAAAGAAGAATAGGTGGGGTGGGGATGGACGTAGGACGATAGTAGGGGTAGGAAAGAAGAATAGGGTGGAAGAAAGATGGTAGGGTGAGGGTGGAAGTAAGATGGTAGTCTTCCATCCTCACCCTACCTATTCTTCTACCTACTTCCATCCCCACCCTACCATTCTTCCATCCTACGTCCACCCTCAACCTACCTATTCTTCTTTCCTACCTCCACCCCCACCTATTCTTCTTTCCTACCTCCACTACCATCTTACTTCCACCCTCACCCTACCATTCTTCTTTCCTACCTCTACTACCATCTTACTTCCACCCTCACCCTACCATTCTTCTTTCCTACCTCTACTACCATCTTACTTCCACCCTCACCCTACCATTCTTCTTTCCTACCTCTACTACCATCTTACTTCCACCCTCACCCTACCATTCTTCTTTCCTACCTCTACTACCATCTTACCTCCACCCCCACCTATTCTTCTTTCCAACCTCTACTTCCACCCTCACCCTACCTATTCTTCTTTCCTACCTCTACTATCCTCTTACTTCCACCCTCACTCTACCATTCTTCTTTCCTACCTCTACTACCATCCTACGTAGTACTGCTTATTGACAACCTGTTTTTAAATTCTATTTTCAGAATGACTATGCCATGGGCATTGTATACACCTTTGCAAACATGTGTAATGCCAACATCCAGCAAGAAGCGTAAGTAGTTCTCTAGCATTTTATCAATTCTATAGGCTCCTAGACCAATTCAATCAAAACAAACTCTTTCCTGTCTAGGACCACTCACAGTTTGGCTTGGTCTAGAACAGAAAAATTATACCTAGTTTCATAAGAAAACTGATACAAACTGTTTCCTCTATCAAATGAATATTGGCCTATTTCTAATTCTCCTTTTTTTCTTCTTCTCTCAAACAGGATCTTGAATGCCATCAAGAACATCTGCTAGAGTTTGCGCCGTCCTTTATTAGTACCTGATCCAAGTCTGTTGTACATCTAATTAATGGAAGTCTTTCACGAATGGTAGCTCTAATAGAATATTTTGTAAATTTGATCACAAAATCATGTTAAAATAATTAGCTTTAGAACGCATGACCTTAAAATATCCACAATTTAGAATAATTACTGATGATGTGCTTCATGAATACCTTTGGTTCACCTCTTGATAAATGTACTATCGTTGAATAACATAATAATGAGCACGATACCAGTATTCGTCTCAATGGATTAACAAATCAGCCAATACGCAGATACAGTGTCGTAATTACGAACTGACTTATTTGTCAGCAAACTAGTCTCTTTGAATGTATACATCTAATTAATGGAAGTCTTTTATATGGCAGGTCTATTTTGCACAATTATTAGTCATGCTTGTATTTACAGTACTACTACTCTGCCACCCCCTAAAAAATTATATCATGTTAAGAAATTCAGTGTTTTCTACTAATTGAATGTTATATGATTTTGTAATAAATACGTAATGCACTTTAATTACATTTTCTTATGAATGCATTTAATATTTTTGTCATCTGTACCCAAATTCATGTTTTAAAACATGACATTTTACACTCTTGTTTATAAAGGACTATACATATAATGTAAATACACTTATTTACAAAACAAAGAAATGTAAATCAAGCTACACAATACTCTGCATGAACCCAACACCTATCATAAATAAATAAAGCCATTACAATTAACATAAATGATATCATAATACACAAACATATACTTATTTTTTTTACATTTGAATGTACTATATACTTGCCATGCAGCAGGTCATAATTATGGACAAAAAAATGATAATACTCTCATTATCCAAGTGTTATATAATTACATATCCATATTTTACAAGGCAGTTTCTGGTTGTAAAATATTAAGAAATTAGTGTGACAAAATTAAAGTGCGTCATTTGAAGGCAGTAATGCTCCGAAAATTCAATAAATCAAACTAATTCTTGTATATAACTACAGTATAAATGAATACGAGAGTACAGGCTTGAAAAGATTAAGTACAGTTAATGATATTATGGTGGCCTACAGTTTACAACATGTGCAGTAAATACAAATGATAAACCATGTTTTCTGGACAAAAGACCATGAAATCCAGGACCTTTCATATATGTATATAACCCTACACAAATAATAAATTCCAATTCAATAAATTTGTCAATATCCGGTAGTGCACATCAACTCGTTATCTATGAAATTAATTGTTGATTAATGTTTATAAAACTACGGCTAAATTTTGGAGATGCGTAATAATATCAATTGGTCATAATCACACACAAAACATACAGAAACTACAAAAAGAAGTGCCACATTTAGCTCAATTGCATATAAACCCAAAGTGAGATGAATGAATACCAAAGGAAAATACAAAATGCCTATTCTCATTCATTTTTGTTGGGAATTTTCACACTAATTAGAATTTGACAAATATAGGCACATTTTTTTCTTCTTGTATGTTCCGTTAATTCACCAAATTATTATATAAATGGTATTTCTGCCAACTGGATAACCAGTTCCGGCTCTAAACAGACGATGCCTGCTAGGTAGCATATGCCGAGGCTTGAACCTATGCCTTTTTTTTTTAATCTCCAGTTCTGGGGAGAGGTGAAAAATAATTTGTGAGTTTTATCATTGTTATAATAGTGTGGAAGAACATCAGAGAAAAAATGTTCCCTGAAAAGCATTGCTCTTCAAGCGCCTTCATATTCTAGATATGACAACAGCTTAAAAATGAGGCCACATGTTTTTGTAGTATACCCACATACATCTTTCTGTGTACAGAACCTTGCAGTATACACAAATACTTTATATACGACGCTGTTCCTTTCACAATGCAGTTGCATGACCAGAACACTTTTAAGTGCTAAAACATCTCTAAGAGAGAAATCAATATCCAATGTTCATTAAACAGAAAGAACAAAATCTATACGAAAGACATGCTATACCTACATGAACAATGTAGTATACCAGACTTTGGAAGCCTCACATTATATATATATAAACCTATCTCTACATCTGTTCTAATACACAGAACACATGTAGATTTACACATGCACTTGATTTTTTTTTAGTCCTTTTTTGTTGTTAGAGAAATGGTTATTAACAGGTATATAACAGATCTTTATAAAAGAGATTATGTACACCATAAATCAATATAACTTTCGATAGCACTGCTCACATCCGTCTTTTCATTGCAATGCTTGTAAAATGGGTGGATCTTAGCTCAACTACAAAGGTTCTTGATCTGAAAGTGGTGGCTCGCCTGTACACGTATACCATATCACATTTCTGTGGAACTTTATATACAGAGTCCATGATGACAAGTAATGATTAAAAAATCATCTATACCGTATCATCACCTCTATATTACCATCATCCACATCATGGACATTGTTTCATGTGCATTTCAAATTATAACTAGCTGAAAGGATACACACAGTTGTCAAGTTTGGCCATGTTGAGATCCATTTACGTCATAGTACCTATATGTACACCCTCTTTATTGTCACTCTTTATTTTTGGTCAATTCCCCTTTTTAATAGTGAATAATTGAAAATGACCAACTTTTTGCTGAAATTAACTAGTGTAATATTAATGGATTTAAAAAGAAAGGGTGCATTTCTTGTAGTATGCCTATATAATGCCCTTTGATGTGGTGTTTTTTTTAAAGATAATATTAAAATGACCAGTGGGCTAATTTTCTTTACAGTATATTTAATCCATGATGTCAAAACCCATGTGCTTATCAGACAAGAATGCCATTCACCAATCTCATTAACATTTCAATTACGTTTACATTCTCATAATATCTTAGATAGAATAAGAGTGTACAAAATAAAGCTGAAGAAATGTGATCCAGTATTCCCACTTTACAGATGGTCTATGAAATACATGTCGGTCGAGATCCACCCTGACCTTTGCGGCTCAACGCATGCCTATCACCGGAGCAGATCCACTGACCTCTGAAGACCACTGTTGCGGTCAAGTCGACTTCTTTTATATATATTCACTGCAGAATCTCCCTCGCAGGCCACTCACTCGGCTCTGTACTACTGATGCTGACTTGGTCTCGTTTCAAAGCTGCACTTGATTTTGAAGAAAGACATACTTCCCACGCTGCGTATCCCTCACACGAAAAGACACATCCATGTGAGCTTCCAGCACGATATACCTCTGCTGTTCGAAATATATACACAAACCAATGCTTTTCATGGAAGCTTACTAGCGGATCGCGCCGTGCCTTTTCAGAGGGTTTCTGTTCAGTTTCATTTTGTTTTTCGCGAAACTCTAGATTTGGGTCATGGATCGACCGTTGCCTGTCTTAGGCTTGCCTAAACGTTCTCTGCTATCCGCCACTGATTTGGCTGAGTTGTGTTGTTGCGCCTGCACCTGGCGCCGCTTGTCTTTCTTCTTCGCGAGTTTCGTCATGTCCTCCGTGAACATGTCTCCAGTCCGCAGAGCCGTGATGAGGTCGTCAAATTCGCCGTCACCTTTACCCTTGCCTTTGCCTGAAGACTTTTTCTTCTTCCGGCTCTCTGACATCTGCAAGATCCATGAGAAAAAAACAAATGCAAGTCAACCAATAATGTCTAACTATGCAATTTGGGATCACTATTTTATTTAACATGAGGCACAGTGAATTCTTAAAACCAGCAAAACTCCCCATGGCAAACCAAGAAATATATCACACACTACATACAGACACATGTTCACTGAATCTACAGGGCACATCCCTGATGAACAGTAATCACATAGCTATCAATTTACTAGAATAAGAAACAAAACTGGACATTATCGTATCACTTAATATTCAGGCATGTTCGCGCTCAAGTTGGACAGCATTACCATGAAATAGGAAAAGCACCATTTGCTCATCATACGCATTGGTCTTTTCTTTCCCGCAACCAAAGTGTGCGCATGCAGACAAACGAGTTGTTTCCAAGACCATGATATAGCAAGGTGGACTATCAACTGACTACAATCCTTAGAAACTATCAATCTTGATTTGATTTTTAAAGTATAAGACATCATCATGGACTTGCCCTACAACTCTTACAATGCGTCTCTTTGAGATGACTTCAGCAGAACCAGTATAATAATATAATAATATTCAGCTTTTACATAGCGCTTAATACATCTCGGACGTCTCTAAGCGCTTTACAGATAATACTATTACCCCGGTCATTGGATTCAGTGCTTGCCCGCACACACTGTGTGCACAATCTTCACTCCCTGGGGAGCATTCCAGGCAGGCGTGACTTGACGCTCAAATACTGTTTAACAAACAGTGACACTCGCATCCTACCGGGTACCCATTTTAACGCCTGGGTGGAGAGTAGCAAGTGTAGGTTAATATCTTGCCAAAGGATAATCATCGCATATGGCCGAGAGAAATTTTGCCTAATGGTGACAAATTTTCAGAGTTCTTTCCTTCGCATGACCTGACCTGACCAGCCAAACAAAAAGCCTTGAACTTACCTCTTTTTCCCTCTTAGCTCTTCTTTCATCATCCTCTTTCTTTTTCCTGAGATTCTCATTGTCCGTCTTGGCTTCGTGGAATGACTGAAGGAAGAGGTCAAAGGTCCCAAAGAGATCCTCGGGCGTCGTCCTCGCTGGATCCTCTCCGAACGACATGGCTACTCTCTCAAACTGAAAAGAATGTCATGAAGGAAACAACGATAATGAGATGGAATTCATATAAACAGCAGTGTAAAAAAAGATTAAAACAACAGAAGCAATAGATACTGATGACTCGGGTTTTCCATTGGATTGGAACCCAATTACTTGGCACAAAGGGCGTTGCAGGGATTTGCAAGGTGAAAATCTCGGAACTACCATAATTTTTTCTATTTCAAATTTTGCATCTGGCAGTGTTTCAGTGTACCCATTTGTTGTTGAAGGCTTCCATTTTCACTCGGAGAGAGAAAATCACATATTCTTTTGTTTTAAATTTTGCACACACTTTCATGAACTCATATTGCTATATTGCACACAAAATTCTGCATTTACACTGGCAAATTGAAGGGCAGTTAAATTTGTACACGAATTCTAGATCTATTTTGACCAGTTTGCAACTGAAGACAAAAATTAGTTTCCACTCTCGCTAGTAATTTTGATTAACGTACCTTTGCCTTGGCTTCCACGAGCACATCTTTAACTTTGCCAAAGCTGATGGACGAGAGGGTCTTGAAGTCACTCATCACCGAGATGAACTTATCATGCTTCTCAGTCTTGGGCTTCTTTTTCTGATACTCCAATTCCTGTTTCAAGATCATGAGTGTGAATTTGAATTAAATGTTGTAAATGTATAATAAGTACAAACTGATGATAACATTAAAAATTTCTGATCTAAAATAACAATAATGACTTAATTTTTGTTACAATGGTAACTGTACATAGAATAATTGTACATATATATATATATTGCCTTTTCTCTAAGAATAATCTCAATTTCAAATTAAAATGTTTAACAAGAACAAAAGGGGTGAACACCCCATGAGAAAATATATTTAATTTAACAATTCAAAATATCCTGTAGGCAGTTCCTCTCAAAAGCGAATTAGGCTGAAATATAATCTTACAGGCCTTCAAATTTGGCAGTGGGGATGATCAGGGATTGCAATGAAAAGACACATTGGAATGGTACATTAAACAATTATAATGCAGTATTTGTAGTTGATTGGATTTTTAAAATTTGTTATCTCAAAGACATTCTGAATTAATGAATGTTTGGACTAACAAAATGAAAAGAAAACTGGTAAACTTGGCTAATTCTTGATTTTGGAAAGATCACATTTAAAAGATGTTATTTGTTTGAGGTTAAGTTCTAGCCTTTTTTTTTTTTCTTCTTTCCATCATACTGTAAAATATTCATGAAAATTCAAAGTTCAAATATTTCCAACTGTTTTTCAGTGATAATCTAAAAAAATGAATGACTACTTACCACTTCAACTCCTTTTAGACCCTGGCCAATTAGAGCTATTTCTTTCTCAAGATCTTGTAAGCTGGAAGAAAAGAAAAACATACATTAAAATTTAAGAGTTTTTCTCTAGCTTTTCTGCCATACACAGACAATCATACCTGGCTCATTCAATACAGGTATATTGCTCTCATCAACATATTTTATGGCCGAGCAGCACACAGTAATCGGTCAAATGCTGGCACCACAGTCGTGTAAGTCATGATGCATTAAGAGAAGGTTCCCCAGATACAGGGGCATGGCCCTGCCACACCACCCTTTTATTTAAAACGGATGGAATTATTCAATGAATTGAAACACTGAAGAATGTATATACACAACATGAATTTAATAGCGAAGTTAATAGCTAAAGCCGGGGTAATAATATGATTGCAGGGCCCTCAGGGAGAACAGTATGTATCCTGATGAGGCTACCTTGGGTAAACAAGACATATTATATATGTGTTATTATTATAATGCGATTTCAATAAAGGTAAAAATTCTGTGATTTATGCTAGGCCAGAAGAGAATTACGTTAAAAAAGGAGTTGTATACTTACTTGATTTTGGAAGCTAATTTTACATGAGGCATCTCATCTTCTAGTTTCACTACATCAGGGAACTACGAATGAAAAACAAAAAATTTGAATATATCACTAATTTGTTGTAATTCACAAAATTGTAAGATATACTCTGTCCATTCAACAGCTTATCTTGCTTTTATCCTTTAAAAGATACAGTTACATGAGAGTAAAAAGCATTACCATTGTATTATCCTTAAAATTATTTCCATCAGAAACACTATCATCACGTATTATCACCATCATATCCTATTTTTATCTCCGAAATTACGATCCGCATCATGTCTTCTGTCAACATCGTTATAAACATATTCTTCATCACCATCCCCATCATCATCATTTTCATCATTTTCACCATCGTCATGATAATCATCATTACCATCATCATCATCACCACTATCATCTTTACTACTATCATCATCATCTCAACCACCACCACAAGCACCATCATTGCCATCTTCCTAACCAAAACCTCCTCCACCACCATCACCACCACAACCATCATCATCACCATAACCATCATCATCACCACAACCATCATCATCACCACAACCATCATCATCACCACAACCATCATCATCACCACAACCATCATCATCACCATAACAGAGATGTCAACCTCTTGAAAAAAAGAAAAAAAAAGAAAGAAAAAAAAAATTGGGAGATTTCCTGAAACACTTGAAACTACCGCACTGGTCCCAGGGCCAGTAAAATTTCAGAAAAATGTTTTGACTGGTAAGAGCGGTCAAGTATAATGTTTGCTCTTTCATTAAAATTTAATGAGAAAATTGTAAAGTTTTTGTCGGGATGTAATGGTTTACTTGTACATGTTTCTATGTGATTCCGCGGTTTTTACAGTATTTCACTCTTATTGTAGTACTGGTTGGCATCTCTGCCGCCACCACCACCACCATCATCTCTCCTTCTCCCATCTCACCTTCTTCTCCAGCATCTCAATCAGATAGTGGAGCAGCGTCACGTTCCGGTTGGAGCTCGACTTGGTGTCCATAATCTTATTCAAGCTACTGATTTTGAACCCAGAGGCATTCCCCCTGGCCCCTCTGTTCATGTAATTACCGAACGCCAGGACGATCTCCAGAACCTTCCTTAGCTTCCTACTGCTTCCAACCTCCTTTGATGCTTTAAGAAGAGCTGCAAAAATTAATTTTGTAATTAAATTTTTTTTAAATGAGGAACCTTTCCATTTGGTATAACAAGTAAAATGATCAAAAATCAGTAAAATGTTGGGTGAAAACAGATACATATTTAGCAAGTTTCCAAACATTTAAAAATAGATGGATGGATGGATTGTAAAACACTTTAAAAATATAACAGAGTTCTTGACAAGATGATTTATGTGAAAGGAATATGACCAATATTTAGTATAAGGAAACAAAAATGCAATACAGAAACACACTAACACAAATAAAGTCATTAAACTGAATACAGCCTGCATTTGCACGTATGGGGGAAAACACTGAAACACAATCCAAAATCAATGGAAAATGAGAGTTATCACTGACCTTCGACCTTTGGTTTGACCTCGCCTATTTTCTCTTGAAACCTCTTCTTAAAGAACAGACATTTTAACCTCTGCTCGTAGTGATCTATCTTGCTCATCTCAAAGAAGAAACGATCGGCCTTGGCCATGTTATCTTTCTCCTTCTCATGTTCCTTCAATAGACTGATCTCTTCAGGGGTAGGCACATACTTCAGCAGCTGGAAAAACAAATATGGAAGAATGTATTGTTTCTGATGCATTTTTTCACCATACTCATGAATCTCAAAAAATGGAATTACGGCCAGTTTCATGACTTAACAAAAAAAATTAATGAATTTTTGACAAAAATTTCAAGAGGTTGGTTCATTTGTTAACATAAAGCGTTATTACATCGAATAAAGGTAGTTATAGTCTACAAAATTGGCATCGATCAGGGGAGCATCTTAACATTCAAAGGGTAGGGATCACTTGTTTTATTCGAAAGCAGAAAAAGCATACACTTGTAATGATTGAATCGCCATACCTGCTCAACCATGTCTTTAGGAAGGCTCTCCGCAGAGTCCATGGAAAGAAGAGCTCTGTGGATATCAGCGTTGGTCATCTTGAGGTTGTAGAGGAGGATGGTACAGTTCTGGGCCCGTCGGCCGTCAATCAGGGCCAGCTCCTTGGGTTTCTGGGACTTGGTGCTGCCGCCGGTGATCTCGTCTCCGCGGTTACCATCGGTTTCATCACCCTTCTTCTGGTAAGCGGAGAAGGTGTTGTCGAACTCGCGCAGGTCGAGGACTTTGATGACCTGTGTCGAGGGAAGGTAATTCAATAAGCAAGTTAGTTACGTGTACATGAATATTAAAATACAACCTTTCTTCTCAGAAAGCTCATCTCTGCCATAAGTACTAATCGCTTCACTTCTTGAAAATATATTTTTTCTATTCTCTATTATGATATCTTCGCTGAACCAAGCACAGTATCTGCATACATAGTTTTACATACCATTAATCATTGTTTTCATCCTTGTTCCAATGCTGATTAACGTCTTCATACCTAGTACATGTATGGACACCATCATCCTCTTCTCACCATCATCATCATCTTCATCTTGCAAATTGGTACCCAGGAATTTCATATCATCATCATCATCATCACCACAATTATCAATATTACCATCACCACTACCACTACCCCCATCATCATCATCATCATCATCATCTTCGCCATTGTCGTCGTTGTCATTACCAACACCACCACCACCACCATAATCATCATCACTTCACCACCACACACACCCTTAATCCCATTACCACCATCACTATTATCACCACCACCAAAAGCTGGCGACAATGCTTTCCAGGCATGTGCTCCTCCACTCTGGAATGAGCTTCCACGTTTTATTTGTTTATCACCTTCGCTGGATGTCTTCCGAAAATGTCTCAAAACTCTCCTCTTTGACCTTGATCAACAACAGATTCTTCGATGATTTTATGAAAAGCGCTGTGAAACGGTAAGTTTTTAAGAGCGCTTTACCACCACCACCATCACCATCATCATCATCATCATCATCATCATCACCACCACCACCACCACCACCACCACCACCACCACCACCACCACCACCATCATCATCATCATCATCACCACCATCACCACCCCCACCACCATCATCATCATCATCATCATCATCACCACCACAATCATCCCCACCACCATCTTCACCACCACAATCACCCTTTTTACCGCCACCACCATAACCACCACCATAACCACCACCATCATCACCACCATCATCACCACCATCATCACCACCACCACCACCATCACCACCACCATCATCTCACCTTAAGATCATCCAGGTCTTGCCAGATGGTCCCCTGGATCTTCAGGTCGGGTAGCTTGGACCAGTTGAATGATTTTAGAGGGTTTGAAGGCTTAGGAAGGTCTCTCTTCTTGATCGGAGCTGACATACCACCAAAAGGAGGTGCGCCTGTAGGGTAGAGGGAGGTAGAGTTATCAACTATTATTAACCGTATCAGACATCTGAGCAGGGAAATTTTTAAATGTTATTGTCAAGGTTTGATGGATAAGCCAACAAAATTACAATATTTTAGCCCGCTCAGAAAAGTCAATGGGATTTTGTGTGTAATTTGCCCGTCAATATGGTTATACAGTAAACCAATGAACAAATATTTTAGCACGCTCTGAAAAGTCAATGCGTGTTAAACTAGTGAGCAATAATATAGAGCTAGTTGTAATTTACATCGTACATCGTGTATAAGAAAGTGTGCACTTTGCGCGAACTCTATTGTGACGTAACAATCACACCCTGTATCGAAAATTTGTCAAACACTGGATGCACAGTCATATATCACCCTCACCTTCGGTTCGGGCGATATATGTCGTATTGCCCAGAAGACAGTCAATATTACTTAAATATCAATGATGAAAAATTAATGATAGAAAGACCATACATGTAAAATGTAAAGGAAGAAGTAAAAGGAATAAAAGATGAAGAGGCACATGTATAGTTCAAACATTTCATATCATTATCATTAAGTATTCTTTCCTACTCATAGGATGGAAATAATACAAGTAGACAGTTATATGTGATCATTTACCCACATTTTGTAGGGATTGCAAAGATTTGGGGTAAAGAAATGGGGTGCTAAATAATCAGTAATTGTTTGTCTTCATCACGGTGCATTATGACCTGTTCAATCAACAATGAAATCTGTACCTTCACCACTTAAAACATTTATGATTTCAATTACATTTCATCTAATATAATGCCATCTGATTTTAACCCTCTACATAAGAGCGAGTATGCTGAAATCTGTATATAAGGACCGCTCAGGAAGAAAAGGGGTCTTTACAGGCAGGTGTTGTTTACATACAGATTTTTTAGTAAACACTTCGACGTGAAACAATATTCAAGGAAAATGAAATATGTGGTCATTATGGATGGGAGGTAATTTTTGCTAAATAAAGTTGGACTATACGAAAATCCCCTCTTCTTGAACAAGTCACATACAGTGCGCATGTAACATTCGGACACTTACCAGGTGGGGGTGGGGGGCCGCCGCCGCCGAACATACCAGGGGGTGGTGGAGGAGGGGGTGCACCACCAGGGCCAGGTGGTGGTGGTGGGGGTGGAGGTGCCCCGCCCATCATGGGTGGCGGAGGAGGGGGTGCCCCAGGAGCTGCAGGAACCCCGCTCTTCTGGAGTTTGTCGTCGTCTGATATGCTTGGACCGTTGTACTTCCCTGATGCAACCTGGGGAGAAGGAGGGGGGGAGGGGGGAATAGATTAAAAAAACACAGTTACAACCTGAGGCTAAGGGCAAAATGTTGCTGCCCAGAAAGAGTGATACATTATGATAAAATAGACATTTCCAACTCTCGTTTAAATGCCTTCAATGTTCATGGAGTTATTTCACCACACCTTGTAATATATTACACTAATTTCTATTTAAATATATATATTTCTAAATGCTAATCTTTAAAAGTTAATTTGATTTGCTCTATTCATCTAAATTGTACATTTGTTGTATTTTTTTAAAAACCTTCCATTGTTCAGGGTGTTTACAGATCTACATGATGTATTATTTGCTTATTTCAATGGCAAATAGTTTTTCCCTGGTTTAAACAAAAAAAATTCTCATGATATTGTTATTTTTTAAACATAAAATTGTGAATTATTACAATCAAGTATATATTCTGTTCAATTTCATAATTTTGAAGGAAAAATGGAAGACGCATTTATGTAACGATGACGGACGAATCAATAAAATCAAATAATTCATGTATGTATCCATGTTTAATAGGCCAGTGAACTGGTCTGCGGATGTAGGACAGGACTAGCGTTCTTCACCATTTGTTGTAGTCGCACTAGCTCTTGCTGCAGGGATTCGCTCTGCTTCTTGGACTCGACCAGATCGGTGGACTGCTTGTCGGACTTCTCCTGCATGGCGATGAGGGCGGCCATTGCCTCTTCCTGTTTAATACACAAACACACAAGGGTCAGCAGGCAAGACATTCTCATTAATCAATCACATCATCAACAACAAAAATCCATAATGCAATTATTTATAACACTTTCAAAAAAGGTTGAAATTAAAAAGAAAATGAATAGAAGAGAAAAAAAAAACACACTCTGGAAGAGGTAAACACACAGCAATTAATCAATGTGGAAAATTCAACCAAAATATAACTTTTTTTAATTTAAAAAAAAAAAGAAAGAAAGAAAGAAAAAAAAAAAAAATTGAAAAAAGTTGTTAGTAACTTAGCAAGGGTATTAGAATTTCTTAGGATAAGAATACATTTTCTTGGGTGGGGGGGGGGGGGGGGTGGATATCATCGGCTACTTGTGAGAATGCTGTTACAGTCATTGCCAATACATAGCTCTTGTGGACCATAGCCTTGGATCCTGAGGATTAGGTAAAGGTTTTGAAGAAAGAATAAAGGGGATTTAAATATTCTTTTTTTCCTTCCGTTCCTTGATGGAAATGGTAACTATTTAGCCTCCATCTTTTAAATGAAATTATACCTTCATTGAAATCTGATACTCTAAACATTTCAAGGAAAAAACAAAACAAAATTACAATACTGCTGATGAATGCTCTTTTGAGAATCAGTTTGTGCCAAGTGCAGCAAAAAAATTGAACCCATTGACTACTGAATTCTAATACTCCCCATAGGTTTAATGAAGGAACCATTCGATTCCAGGAGGTAACAGGTTAACAATGACCAATGACAAATGTTTCCAAAAACCATCCAAATTGCAAACAAAATATGGTTGAATTTGTAAAGCCAAACAAGAACACATTTGCATTTATGCCGTGTGATAACACTTAGTGATGTGTTGTTGAATAATGTGCACACTTGAAACATTTTATATTATTTACTGTTAAGTGCTGAGAAAAATTTACACTTCAGTCTGGTACAAGCCTATTTAAAAAATCTCCCCTTTTTGCTCAAAAGTTTTTTAAAAAATTAAAATAAGATTGGTTTCCTCAATCACAGATTTGGAAAAACCTTCAATAAATATTTGACTTTAAATCCAATTCCAGAACGAATCGGCACATTAATTGGCACATAAAACACGTTTCCTTAAAAAAGAAAGTATTAGTTGTGAGAAGGGTGTATATGTACCTTTAAAACCTGATTTATATTTTGCTATTGTGCATATAACATTTACAAAAAATCTTTACATAATATTAAGCTATCGTATGTGGATCAGGAATAAAACAAAATTGGAAATATTTTGTGCACATTTTCAAGTGAATATTTTATACTGCTAAGTACAAAGCACACATCACTCAAATTGTATTAGTCATTGATTTGAATTAAAAAATAATCTTTACCACTTCCTTTAGATTGAAGCATCAATTTAAAAAAAAAGGAATAAGAATAAGAATATAAGGCTTTAAAAAAATCATGTGCAAGCTTAAATAGCAGGATTTAAAAGCCCACTAAGATCATGTTTTTTAAATATTGTACACCATCAATCAGAATATTTGATTATTGGTCCAAACTAGACTTGTGGACTGTATTTCTAAATGTTTATATCAATCTGTCACTGTCTTTGAGACTTGCTTTCAAGAATTACTGCTTTAAAAAAATACTCACAAAGCAAATGTTAACATTAATCACAGAGACTTGATAACATCTGTTGAGAGCCAGAAGGGCATTGATGTTGCATGTTACATTATGTGACCTCATGACCTAATGACCTCATGACCTAATGACATCATGACCTTCTGGCTCTCAGAGGTTAAAATTATTGTTGAAGTCATGACATTTCTTAGAGTAACCACTAAAATTCATTTCTACTACCCCTAAAGCTACGCAAACTAATTAATGCTTAGGTCATGACATTTTTTAGATTTCTACCCCAAAGCTATGCCATTTTTTCTACCTCTATCATCTAGCTACCATTTCCGAATCTACCTGAAATGTGAATGGCTGACAGTAAACATTCCATAGAGACCTTTGAAGAAGTAATATGTCATCAGGCAATGGACATGTAAATTTATGACAACAAATAATGTCCACTACGATGTAAGGGAGCAATAATATCAGCCATTGTAAATATATGTTTATCATATCTGTTGTGGGAGTTGTATTCACTAAAACAAATATAATTTGTTTTAATGTGCTATTTAATAGAACAATTGATACTTATACCGACTCTACCTCACCTTGTCATGGTTTAAGGATATTACCTTACATTTGACAAGATAATGCACATTTCATGAAAAATTAGGATTTGTGAAAAAAATTATGAAATTAAGGGGAAAGAAAGGATATCTAAAACTAGAAGTTTACACAGAGCCTTCCTTTTACTTACTCTCCTTAGAATTTGTACAAGGGGTGTAGGAGAAAGAGAGAGGGAAAGAGAGAACAAGAGAAAGAGAGAGAGAGAAAGACAAAAAAGAGAAAGAAAAAAAAGAGAAAGAGAAAGAGAGAGGGAGAGAGAGAGAGGGAGAGAGAGAGAGAGAGAGAGAGAGAGGGAGAGAGGGAGGGGGAGAGAGAGGGCTAATGTTAAATCTGTCAGAGAAATGGATAGGAGTCTGATTAGAACAATAACTGCAAAAGAGATAACCATCTAAAAATCTAGAATTTCATTAGTTCCCACCAGATTTCACACAAGATAAGGAAAGCACGAGTCCCAGTATCTAATTACTTTTAGCTGGATAGCGGCAGAATACAGAGTTTAACCATTCTAATGCACATATTTTAATCCTTATTCTATTCTTTTTTTTTTTTTAAAGCCAGGTTCTAATTCCTGCTACTGCATTGCGCTTTTGATAGGGAAAACAGCTCACATATAATACCGGTAAGCCGTGAAATACAAGAAACCACACTTTTTTTGTGTACAGAGTTGGCATAAGCTTGGCATGCAAGAGTTTGAAGCCCAAGATTTGGTGATATATTCCAAAGCCCATATAATTTCAACAACTGCTTGAATACAAAAGGAGGCTGCTATTAAAAATATATAACTGGTGTACCGGCCATGCCTGAATGCACCTACATGACTTGTTTTTGTTTAAGTGGAGCACAAGTAATAAGAATATTTTATATCACCACTTCCAAGCCACATTAAAAAGCAGGCAAATGCGCTAGGATTTTCAAGACATTTTTCTCTATTTCTCTCTATAATTCATAAGTAATTATAACCTCTTTATAATATATGTGTAGTTGTGATTTTCTGATTTCTGGTATGTTAATGTAATTTTCTTGATTTCACAATTCAATTAGGTGCCTTCTATTACTTTTTTTTAATGAATATTTTTCTTTTCATTTATTTCAATATTACTATAACTTTTACTATTTTACTTATTTTACTTCACCAAACCCGGTTCTAAGGATTATCACAAGAACTGTAAACTTTCTTCATGTCCTCCTAAAATTGCCTGTTTAAAAAAAAATAGTGATGCAAGGGTTTGATGCTGCATGAAAGTATAAGAGTAAATTTGGAACTCAATTTTGAAAAGTTTACTTTTATATATGTTCAGATAAATAAACTATAAAAGAGACACACAGAGTAATATATAAATACAATTAATCAACTTCACTTTAAAAAAAAAAGGAGTAGTTTGTCAAAGTGATGTGAAAAGTGATAGAAGCAAATCATTGTGACATTGATAGTGTAAAATAAAAACTGAATCGATAAAGACCAATCTTGAATCACATCACAATGATAAAGTGTAAAACAAACAGAAGTAACTCAATTAATTCAGTCACAAAAAGTGATGAAAGGTTTCCAACAAACTGTGGTGTAGTATTCAAACTGCACACCAAAGAGAACAGATCTCAATGAAACACTCAAAAGAATGTATCAAAAATTAATAATCTAAATCATAATAAACTTTACTGTTATGTAATCAAAATGTCTTTCAAAAGTTAACTGCAAGAGCTTGCAAGGTAAAATAGTAGAAGGAGAAAAGGAAGTTTTTTTTTTTTTCCAACGGCAATAGCGATAATAGGAAGTGGTGAAAAGCAATACGGGAAAAGGCTTTTACGGCAAATTGGCAAAAGCCACATCAGAAATGAAAACATGAAAACTATTTGAATGAAACGTCAATGGTGCATGCTGGGTAAAAGGAATACAAATGTACGTCTGTACCCACCGACGACATTGACTGAACGTCTGACCTCTATAAAAAATAAAGGGAGGATTGGATGAGCGAGAGACAGAACGAGGGAAAGAAAAGACACGTTACACACAAGAAAAAAAAGAAAAATAATATATACAATAATGTGATATCTTCAGTCTTCAAATGGTCATCTTCAAACTCAGTTCAATCTAAAGAAATATGTTTATTTTCTGGAACATTCTTAAAGCTTTTCTTTTTAATAATACACGTATCTTTTATATTTATTTTCTCTTTCCCCGCATCTTTCTTTCAATCTTTGTAACCTCTGATCCAAATACACAGGATACCATCAACATACAAAGTTGAATAAACAATTAAATAATTAACACTTGCTTGTAGGATATCATAAAAAAGATCTTGAAAGCACTAATGAAACGTCCAACAGTAGAAACAAATATCCTTCGTCCTTAATCCTGTTGTCGTGGATATTGAAGAAAAAAAAATCAAGTTGTCTATCTTTAAAGTGTCATTTTCAATTTGAAAATATTGGAAGACATTTGGATATATCATTTACTAATACATATTTGTTAAAGAAACATCAAGTATTTCCACAACATCACATCATTATCAGACTATAGCAAGCAATTATATATAACATTTTTAAAATTTGGACAGATGCATTCCATTTGCAATTGCTTCTTATTCTACTCATCATTGATCTACACGCAAGACTGCTCATTAAATTGAAAAATGACAGAATGCAAGCCATGGTTGAGAAGAGATATGGTTTGCAGGGATGCCTCTCACAAGTTCCATTACATATGGACTGCATCAAAAAATATCTCACTAATAAAATGAATATCACTGCCAACAAAGGGATAAATTGAAAGCGATGAGATAAACAGATAACACCAGACAAATGGCATGATGATACACTGAGAGCGATATAACTTCCATTAAGAAAAAAAAAAATCTTTTAACTAATAATTTAACTAATGATTTTCTTTGGGTTTGCATTATTGTTTTACATTATAGAGCATTCTTTTAAACTGAATTCAAAGGGCTTTTGCCAGGCTATGCAAACCACTAGTAGAGATCTGTCCAGATTATGATAATCCATGACATGGTGCACACCAACCCCCCCCCCCTCCCCCCCCCCCAAAAAAAAATATATAAATAAATTTAAAAAAATATGATAAGTCATATCTACATCCAATTCTGTTCATGAACTTGTACAGTACATTCTCGCTTAAATATCAGGCAGCTCAACTGCTTCATTCTTGTCACTTTGCTATAATAAAAAGTGCAGTGATCAATGTATGTACAAGAAGAATGTTCCAACAACAGCTTTGCAGCAAAATACAAAACAAAAAAACACAGAAATAGTCTTTACAGATTGAACTGGTTTGAAGATGACCAATGAGGACGCAGGGAAAGAAAAATGATAATAATAATAATATATTGCATAGACGTAATACACTGAAGAAAAGAAAACTGGATATACAATGAACATATATTTAGTTAAAGATGTTTACATGTGAAATGATACATGACAGGATACAAAGTTGAAATATTTAGGAACTTTGGATTACAGTGACAAATAAGAGAAATTAAATTGAAATAAACATGAGACATTGATGGCAAAATCATAAAACCGTACACAATAAGCAGCTCAATTGGGAAATGGAAAGCATGAGCAGTCATTTTGTAACATTTATTTCACATTGACAACATTTCTGCTTTTTCAGCTCTTATAATGAGACCCAGAGCTAACCCTTTGTGAGCCTTTTGAGGGAAAAAAGGCACAAGAGAAGTAGCTCGAGTCAAGATCAAGTACAGTACAAACCATGTTGTCAAATACATGTAGCTGTGTATCTTCAAATTCCTCTGTATTGCAACAACCAAGGTGGTGTTTATACACAGTCTTTATGAAATCTTTATGATCTTCCAAAGCATGGAGATTTTACAATGCAATTAATGGAAGACTTGTGACAGGAGGGTTTAGGTGATCCTAATAGAACACCTGAGGGTTTCCATGACAACAGAGAGGAGGAACATTCCAATGACAACATAAACATCATGAAGGGGAGGAAGGGAGAAGGGAAGGAAGGGATAAGGGTTAGAAGGATAATTAGTCTCTATAAAACAGATGGTTTTGATGGGAGAATGTTGAACCAGGTTCCCTTGGGTCATAAACATCCCCTATATCATCATGCTCACAAAGAAGGAGGAGGAAGGAGGTATACAGCTATAGGTGGGGAAAGGGGGAAAGAGGGAGGGAGGAAGGAAGGGAATGGATGCATTCCTATGTAACCATAGAAGGTTAAGGGATGGAGCTGCGCAATTGGGCATAAAATATAGAATGTGCCACAAACATTGACATTCATTAACTTTACTTCCAATTATTTTTGGTTCTCCACATTTTTTTCTTTTGGACATCTTTTTTCCAAAGAGAGTCTAGGGATATCCTTGAACTTTTGAAAGTTAATACAAGGAATAATGCAGACCAATTCTCTCTTTCATTTCTATCATTTTTATGGGACCTTCTATCTTGTTCGGATGTATTTGTTTCCAGTAGTGCCACATCACGAACCCTAATCCAGGGTACCTCAAGATGATTTCCTCGCCATCTCTGTGCCCACCCCAGCAGCTCCGGTCATGATGTCTTCCGTCAGCCTCCCGCTGGGACCAGAGGGGGCGTTTCACAAAGATTGTAAGTTGAACTTATCTCTAAGTTGGACTTAAAAATTATGGAAAGCCATTAGCATCCTTGAAAATATTTTGTAAAAGTTATTTTAAAATGCATAATATGTTGATTCAAATCATTCATATTTTCTATTATCATAGGAGATTTCAAGTTCTTGATATTGAATTTATGAAAAGTCTAAAATACTTGAATTTTAGCTTTTGAATAAATTTCATTATAAGGCTACAAATGGCTCTCCATAATAGTCAAGTCTAACTTAGAGTTAAGTTCGACTTACAATCTTTATGAAACACCCCCCTGACCCGATTCAAACAACAAGCTCTTCCTTCCTACCTCTTCAAATGTCAATGCACATTCTCCCATGGGCTAGTAGGGGGACGGCTATCAATAGACCCATGTGAAGGTGGTGAGAGCCGTCCAATGTCGCCTCCACCTTGATTCACTTTCTCCTAAGACACTGTTAGAATAGGAACCATGAGAGATTCTTTTTACCATCACAGTCTGTTTCCCAATCAACCTTAACAAATGCTTGTGATTTGTAAGACTGGTTGCTTGGTTTCCAAAACTGTGAACCGACAAAAACTTTAGGATCGTTCCCCCATCTTTAGTTTTAAATTTTACTCAAACTAAGAGAACCTGTAACAGCATCTTGTGCTTGGTGATGTTATGTCACCTGTCAAAATGGTACAGAGAAATGACAGAATAGACTTGATTTCTTACCCTTTGTAGTTCCTTGCCATCTAACTCCCTGTCTTTCCTGTCCAATTCTCCTTTGAGTTCTCCATATTCTATAGAAGGAGAGTAATACAGTAGCGGAATGTTATTAAAAGGCATGACACAACCGAAAGTAGGATTCTTAAAGCCAAGGTTTTCCTGTAATTTAAACCACATGTTGAAAATATTAACATGTTTATATTTATAGTATGCCCAACACACATGATGCTCCTCATACACCAATTTGACAATTGCAAGGCTCTAGAGTATACTAACTTCTTCCTACCAGGTTTTTATTATCTACTCATGCAACAGCTCCAACGTCTTTTGGCAAGACATCAATCTACATTGGCCACACTCGATCCAGGTGAGGTACATGGGTACCTGGCAAGAATTATAACTCCTTGTAATGCCACTACCAGAGCACCAAAATAGCAGCCATGCTATAGCCAGGTGATAATTGTGGAGTGCCATATCTGCAATATTCATTTTATACCTTTAAATATTCTTTCAGGGGGTATAAAAGGAGTAGACAATGAGGGAACAAAAATCAAAATGACCTTTCTATCTGTTGGTACAACTGATTCTACCCATAGACAAAATCCCTGTTTTCCCCAGGCATATCCTAAACCCTCACCTCTTTCTCTTTCCTCTGCTTCTCGTTGCCTAATGACATCCTGGTTGATGACCTTCTCGATGACATCTTTGAAGTTTATGTCGAAGGGAGAGACGTCCGGGTCACCTCCGTCATCGAACTGTAGTACGATTTGTTGCAGTAGGAGATCGACCAGGGACCAATGATGGACACTCTTGCCTTGGTCTGTAGTGAGATGGAGACAAGAGAATGAATGAATGAGAGTTGTAGTACATGGAAACTGCAGGGACCTGTTTCACAAAGCCTTATCTCAATGACAAAGATCACTGACAAAACTACTGATAACCAATCAGAAGCAAGGATTTCACTAGCTTTTAACAAAAACTGTAATTTGTCTCTGATGACAAGTTTTGTGAAATGGAGCCCAGGATGAATCTCTATTCAACCTTTATTAAACAATTTACAATGACAATATACAATATATAATGGTCGAGACCCCTAAAAACCAGAACTCAGCCTGTAATCGGGGCTCTATATTGTTATGTTGTTGTTGTCATTATTATTATAACTTGCACTTGGTCTTGAAACAAAGAGATCGCATTCTTTTCATTATGAATTAGGATCGGGGCATCAACTAAAGAAAATTTCTATCGGCACATACAGCCCTTATGGTTGGAAAGTTTGGAACCTCTGTATGTTGATTTTTCTAAAAGCGGAGGACCATTTTATTTTTGGTTTGTGGAAAATTGTTAGCAAAATTTCAGGACACTTGTTAAAACATCTCCACTCTTCAATTTCAAAATGGTCTAGTGATGTCACTTTCAGGACCCTCTCTCATCATAGTTGACCAAAGCCCTCATGAAACGTACTTGGAAGCAGTAGAAAGTGTTGTAAGACGGACATGAGATGTGGATAGGCCTCCGTATGACTGATCTTCTTTTTGATGACATCGAACATGTTGTTGCCGTTTCGCACGTCGACGTGGACCTGAAAGAAAGAAGGTTACAACCAAACGTCAAACACATATTCACACATGTCCCAATGCTACTGGTTACTGGTATTAGAAATGGGATACATAATACAGTCAAACCTGCTTTAACGACCACCTGTATAGAAAGACTACCTGTCTACAAAGATTCACATTTATTGTTTCCCTTGAGAATGATTTCTCATTGAAACATGTACAATAAAAGGAGCCTCTACATAAGGACCACTTGCCTATAAAGACCATTTTTCTTGTCTCCCTTGAGTGGTCTTTATAGACAGGTTTCACTGTACTTTAAAGTTTCAGAGTTGTTTTATGAATGTTGGTATATACTTCAAAGAGCCGAATGGGACAACTGAGCCATGTTGGTGATGGCCAACTACATCATGTGTTACTTCAAGACGATACTTTATGTTTTACATAAAGCTGTTCGTAAAGTTACGCATGACTTTACGAACAACTTGTATATGAAGTGCCAGATAAGATGCCAAAAGTTTTTCCTGATATTTCCAATAACCTCAATTAAATTATGGCAAAAAATATGCTTTGCATTAAAAATGTGTGTTATAATAAGAATGTTAATCTATATCTGCACATTTCAACTTTAGTTGATGCAGTTAATAATGATTGAGCATCCCATCTGGCTTTTCATCTACAAGTCGTTCGTAAAGTCATGCGTAACTTTACGAACAGCTTTATGAAACAGCCCCCAGATGATCTAGCACATGTGAAAACATTATTTGCTGACAAATAACATTTGGGCCTCACAACTAATGCTATCACTATTCATAATTGTCTACCTTATCAGATTTGATGACGATACTACTAGTGGATGAATTAAGAATTGATTTAGAAAAGTTCACTCACCATGTCGAACCTTTTGGCAAGCTCTCTCTCATCTTCATTTCTGACAAGCTCAAAGAAATCTAAATGCCTGAAAGGGAGAAGGAAAAAAAAGAGGTAAATTGAATATAATTCTACACCTGAGGCTATACTAAAATCACCCGCTTTTTATTTAGGCCATTATTTACACAATGGTTTCTTCCTAAAGTGTCTAAAATATGCATGCATTACTTAGTATTCTTGTGAAATTATTTGTCAAATTAAATCCTTGGATTTTCCACTTGAATCAAAGATAGCTACAAGCACTACCCAATGAAATAAATTAATTCATGATCAAGTACCATTTGAGTGTTGTTATGCATATGAGTTCACCTTGCATATGACATACAGTAAAAGGGTCCACAAAATAAAAGGCTTTGCTTCGCATAGGAGTTTGGAGTCATTTCCAATTACATAAATATTGATTGAGAGGAAGGATTGTACTCACCTATCTAATGTTGCATTTTCTAGCGTTCTTAACTTGTCAATCACAGGCTGAATACCAAGCATCAGGAACTCATATCTCAGGTGAATCCTAAATTCCAAATTATCCTGCAAAAAGAATAACAAACAAAGAACATAGTGTTACTAGAGGGATGGATGGATGCTGAAGATCATAGCATTTTTTCAGGAAATTGTCGCTAGTACAAGTTCACCGACATCTCTTTGAAACGCGTATTAAATCTAATACACATGTTTGAATGGGTAGCCAGTGAACTTGTACATATAACCGTTTCTAAACACTGCTCCCAGAAGGCTTGGAGAACGTCCATAAAAAGGAATGAAAGGTCCAGCCCCACTGCAAGAAACCATGGACGTTTAATGATGAAGATGTTGACAAAAAGCTTGGTAAAGATTGTCACTTTCCCTTAATTCAAGGCAAATAGAAATTGTTTTCGAGTCGAAAATGCAGCCCACATAGCACTTATTACCAGCAGATACATGCCAGAAGAAAAGCTGGAATGAATATACCAATAATAAACAGAGCCAACATACAGATGATTACACCCACCCAATAGTTATCCCTCAAACCATATTCACTTATGAACTTTGGTTTTTACTTTGTAATTTGCCCCCATCCATATGCTGACTCTGTTGCTCACTGCACTGGAACGTACCCACAGGTATTGCTTATTTACCCCTCAAATCGGTTGTTCACATTTTAGATGGTGAATACTACACACCACGAAGAAGATGTCCACACAAAAATATTCACCATGTTCATTCACATGTTAATAAGGAAGGCACTAGTTACCAATAGACCGGTTAACTAATGTCTTTCAATTCATGCGTGCTTTTTTCCTTCAGAAACCCTGGTTACCAACTATTTAATTCACCTGCTATGCATAACAGGAAATCCACTCTGCATACATTAGTTGTTGCTATGCCTGGCAAGCATCTGGCAAGCTTTTGAGTTGTCAAGAGCAGCTTTTATTCAATAATTATGTATAGAATTTGTAAACAAGTCTTTTGATGCAAATTTATTTGAAGAGCTTAGTGATGCAGTTCATTCACTTGTAAGAGCTCTTCCATTTCAATAGTCAAAGTGCACTTTGCATTCCTAAGTTGTTGCTATGCCAGGTAATCCACTGGCAAGCTTTAGGTTTATCAAAAGACACCATTGTTACAGAGGTATGCATGAATCTGAGAACATTAGTGAAGTGGTTTATATTCAGCCTATACCAGTACACTGTTTACAACTACCGGTATTTGATGTGTGAGAGAGAGAGAGAGAGAGAGAGAGAGAGAGAGAGAGAGAGAGAGAGAGAGAGAGAGAGAGATTGAGGAGTCCTGAAAAGGATTCTCGGTAATCTATTGTGTTGTATCTATTTCTAGGTGTTTGGGGACAGTATAGATACTATTAAGCAGGCACACTTTTGAATAATGTGTGACTTGGGAATGAGAAGATTGGGTTTAATCACTATGAATATGACTGACAAAAAAAGCGGACAAAATATACAGTTCCTCAGGTAGACAAAGAAACATCCCTTCACTGCCATTATGTACAAATGTGTAGAACAGGTGTCACATGCATATTCACCTTTTTACATAATGGCAGTGAAGGGTTGTTCCTTTGTCTACCTGAGGAACTGTATATTTTGTCCGCTTTCTTTGTCTGTCATGTTCATAGTGAATAGAGATTCATTCCCCAAGACATGCATAGAATTAATTCCACATACTGGTGGGCCCTTCATTCAACAAGTTATAAATATCCTTCTTCAAAAGAGACTTTTCAAGGTAAATCCTAACAAGTGTTTTGAAAAATGTGGAAGTGTTTGGAAGCTTCCAAACACTGTAAAGCACAATGGACAGGACTGTTTAGTTAGAATTCATTGGTTACATTATTTACATCATTTATCAAGTCAGAACTATTGTCAAGAAATCTGCACTCTCATTCTCTCTCTCTCTCTCTCTCTTCACAACTTCCACCGGCATTTCTCACTGCTTCCTCTTCAACTGTATCACCATCTCCCCTTTCACATCAATCTCTCTCTCGCTTGCTCTCTTTTCTCCCTCCCTCCCTCTTCATCCCTCCCTCTTTCTCTCTTTTTCTCCCTCCCTCTCTCTTGCTCTCTCCCCCTCTTTCTTTTCCTTCCACCACTTGATACAATTCTTTTGTCAGACACAAACATATCCCAATGTATTTGAGCCATTTCTCTTCATTTTCTCCTCTATTTCTCTCAATCCCTTTCTCTTCCTTGCTCTTCCTTTTCTAGTTACATGTTAAACTATTCATCACGCTACGGGGGGGGGGGGGGTCCTATGTTTCCACTATCATCAAACGGGCTCATCCTAAATTAGGCACAGTACTTGTACACTGCAAGGGCCAGACTAATCACAGCTCAGAGGATACCGCTTTTGCGCTTCCTCCCACGAGCATCGGCTCTGTCAAATCTATCACGTTTTCCTGCGGGAGGGACGGACGGGACACACTACTAACGAGAACTGGATTCCAATTTCTCCCCTCAAAGGTGGCAAAGCTTTTTGATGTCTGGAGTCTGGAGTATCTATCACTTTGCGGACAGCTGTCCCTGTATTAAGAGTGTCTGTAATCTCCCCACAATTCTGAAGTATCTTGCCAATGATGTGATGCACAGGGAGGGGGAAATTGATATAACAGCCATGATATGAATAGATCCCTCAGAGTTTGGTTTGTGTTGTTTGATATTAAGCAAAGAGACAATTAGTGTTACCAGCTTTTTAAATTAATCCCTGTGGCTACCAAATGAGCCCTTCGGAATAAGCTTTGCAGTATAAAAGTGCTGATATTTTCTCACAATTATGACTAATGATGATTTTTCTTAATAATTTTTTCATTTAAAAGATATCAAAGATACGATGCAAACATTGCAAAGGGGGATGGATCATTGATATAACAGCTTTGTTATCATTGGACCCATTAGTACAAGAGCAAAGTATATCTTACTCTTGCCGTTTTTACATCAAACGCATTTCACTAAATATTCACACTACACAACCATAACTGCAATCCAACTGCCTATTAGCTTCAAAATTTGACGGTGAAGAACCTTTTCTCAACAGGTTCATTTCTTGGCAATCACACAACTCATTTGTTAGCACTCATTACGTAATTGTGACACGAAATTGGGGAAATTAATACCACTGCCAATGTGGGAAGGAGAAAATTAACCGCGTCTCCATGTGAATAAAAACGAGGATGTGCTGATTCCAAAAGTAAGATTTCAGATATAAAAGCTATAACCTTAAATTTCAGATTTCAAATTGATCCTGGAGTAACATTTGGTCGCCACATTCACTTTTGAAATCTGGAGTCGAGAGGAAACGTTCAATTTGGAGCAGATTGTATAAATAGGGTCTGCAATTACGACCGAACCAACCCAACTTCCCCTACCCGTGTGTTATTTCCTTTGTTAACTGACAAGGAAAGAAATGTCAAGTGACATAGAAATTTTCATTCGGTCTATTTTCCATTTACAAAGAGAATTTCTCACATTTAATATAAGAAACTCTTATGCACTTTCACTGAATTAAGTATATTGACCTAATCAACAACAAAAATGTTCTATTACACTATTGCCTTTGCTAAGTACTGCAAAAGTATTTTTAGAGGACATTTGGGGAAGGAAAAAAAAAAGGGAAAAAAAACGTTATTTGACTATAAAAAAATAAAATCTTAATATGGTCTGTATTGCAATTACGATCAGAGTCATGTTATTATTTTATATCCAAGCTGTACAAGAATCATTGAACCCTAAATGGGCCAGTTTGTCTTCCATTTTAGGAGCCTTCCCCCAAATTAATCACAATTTATTGCCCAATTACCTTCCTGCCTTTGCTGGCAAAAACATATTTTCAGATTGAAAACATGGCAAAGACATTGAATTTGCTACTTCTTTACAAAAAAGAGAAACAGGTCATGTGGAGGAACATTTGTTTCCTATTTCTAAATCTGGCTCGTTCCGAGGATCGCTGATGATGATAGGTGAACATGGAGACATGGTTTAAAGAGTGGGTCTACCGGGACTGAATGTATTCTAATGGCAGAGATCCTGTGACCTTATCCGCTAGCCATCTCCTGGGAGACTACTGGCTTGAGCTTCTTCTAACGACTGTGTTTACATCATCCACAAAATTAGGAAGACATAAAAAGTAAGTTAATGATAACAACAACAAGTTCACAACAACAATTATCAAATATTCTCATATATTTTGGTTTTAGTTTGGCAGACTACAGAATGATAATCATATAGCATTGAGGAATGACTTCATATCAGGTATAGATTGCTAGACCTGGGTTGAGACACATATCTGTATTTAAAATGCCTTGCTAAAACCCAAAGTGAGGTCATCCACAAACAATATCCTTTTGTACTTGAATAAAAATGTCTCAATGGACCATCTTCAAGCTCGATATTTCTTTCTGGGTGATTTTTTGTCAATTGGGATGGTGTGGATATATATGAACTGAGAAATCTTCCTGATTCGACCTTTCTCATTAATTTGTTTTCTACTCTGATTCAAACTTTTAGAAAATAAAATAGCTTTGACTGATGAAATATATAAATAAGGATCGCCAGTTCACAGCTGAAGTTCAGCATCTTTTGCGAGTTGCTAAAAAACATTTTGAAGAAAGGAATATGGCAAGGTGTGTGACAGTTTGGTGAAGCACACATTTGGGTAGTAGGGCCTCTCAGATAATCTTTCCATAAAGAATGGTATGAACAAACCCTAAAAATAAAAGTTTCATAAATAGCCGAGATGGGAAGGGGGAGAGGCAGACAGACAACAACCTTCAGAGCGTTGCTCCTGCCAAACTTTGCTATCCGGGAGGAAGGGATGACAGGACATGAGTGACTCAGGTGACTTGAGGGAGAACTGGGAAGGGTTAAACGAGGAGAGGGAGAGGGGGAATGGAGGAAGGGGGTTGTAAGAAGCAGAAAGGGTTGGGGAGAGAAGGAGGAAGACATGATAGAAGAGGTTTGACACATGGGTGATAAGTAGAAACCTGGCAAGGGTAATATTAGAAGGGAGAGTGGATGATGGTGTGGCGAAGGGGTAAGGAAAGCATCCCTGGGAGATGGGGAGAGATAGGAGAAAGGATGACAGGATTCTGTGCCTCTGGTGACTAGGGGAGAGCATTGGAGGGTAAGAAGAGGAAAAGGTAGATGGCTGGATATGGGAGGTGGTAAGGGTTAGCAAGACTTGGGGAGAGCTGGGAAGGGTAAGAGGAGGTTGGGCTTCTAATGAGGTGGGGACAGGGTAAAGGGGGTGAGGATCTCAAGATGACAGGGTATGATTTGACTCTGGTGACAAGAGGAGAGCAGGGGAGGGAGGAAGGAGAAAAGGGATAATACATGGTTGGGGTTAGGACAAGGTAGGGGGACAGGGTGAAGGGGATGGTGATCTCAAGATGACAGGCCATGTTTCAGCTCAGGTGACAAGGGAAGAGCAGGAGAGCAGGAGAGGGAGAGGAGGAAAGGGAGAGTGAACGGTGATGGAGAGGTCTCAGATACATTTAAGGGGCAAGAAAGTGAGTGAGAGACAAAAGAGGTAGAGGAACTGTTAACAGATTATCTAAACTCAGGTGACTCAAGAGAATGGGAGGGTGGGGAAATGGGAGGGGGGAAGGGGGGGGGGAGAGAAACAGAGAGAGAGATAGTATGAGAGAATAGTAAGGGCGGAAGGAAGAGAGAGAGAGAGAGAGAAAGAGAAAGAGAAAGAGAGAGAGAGAGAGAGAGAGAGAGAGAGAGAGAAAGAAAGAGAGAGACAGAGAGAAGGGTGGATGGGGGAGGGCAGAGGTAAGATAAAGGGGTAAGGAAATGAGTGGGAGACAGTGAGATAGAGAGGAAAGGATAGGAGACAGGTGAAGGAAAGGGAGTGGGATTGAGAAGGAAACATCTTCTTCCCCCCTAAAGCATCACATTACCCCTATTGGTCAGGTGACAATATTTGAGTGAAAAGGGGAATTGATAAACTGGTCAGGGAGATAGGCCTACATAGAGGGGGGGGGGGGGGGGGAGAGAAAATAAAAATAACTTTTTGTACATTGAAACTTTTTCAGGAAGAGGAATAAGAGAAGCAAGATGCTGAATGCAACACAGGGAGGGGTATTTTTTTCCTAAGGGATTAGAAGCTTTGGGTAAATTTCAAGAGTCTTTACATATTTTTTTTACTTTTTAAAGGAAAATAATGTTAATCCTACCCCAAATCTCTATCTAAATGAACAAACATGTCGGCTGAACAGCCTGAACTTTACAAAATCAAATAGTGCATTGATCTTCTTCCTTTTTATTTTCTTTTTGTACTGAACTCTTTGTAACATAACATTAGCAGTGCCAAACAGCTTAATCCCTCATTAATCCAATAATTAGGCAATGCCAGAACTCATTAAACAAATTCTCTAATGCAGCCAAATATTGGCATCCTAATTTCCCTCCTTCCTTTTTTTCTTTGAAACTTTGCCAGAGGCTACTATACTCTCAAGTAAAACAGAAACACAAGTAAGTTTGGCATTGCTCAACTTTAACTTGAACTGTAAGGAAGCCATCAATAAAACCAAATATTTAAAATGGACATTCAGTGTCAATAAAGATGCCAGATACAATGTTTTTTAAATGGGGAAATTATTCTAATAGCTGGTATATTTTCCATTCTTGCTCTCATTTCTTTCAATAGCATTATTAGGGAGTTCCTTGCAGAATGCAATCTGAATGCATTCTTTTCTAATGCTCTTTGTTTTACTTTTCAATCTATCTATCTATCTATCTCTGAATTTTGCCAGAGGCTATTATGTTCTTAAGTGGGAACCATGTCAGGCTTAGAATGACAGGAACGAAAACAAGCAAGCTTGACATCTCTCAACCTTACTTTGGGCTGGAAGGAAGCCATCAATAAAGCCCAAAATGGAAGGTGGAAATGAACAATCATTAGCAGAAGCCGGAAAAACACAGCTACCATGCTTTCCTTTTTTTTTTTACCACTGACAGCACGATATTCCCAAAACAGGGTCAAATACTGATTCTTGCACACCGTCAAATAAAAACAATATCCACCAGCATTTTCTGGCCATCATAGTAATGACTTGATTCATCAAGTGCAATGTATGAAAAAGACAAAAAAATATATGCCAGATACACACCAAAAAAAAAACACATTCATGCCCATACACCTTCATAAATTGTCACTAAGAGCCACAAAGGCATTAACTCTATGTAAAAGTACACCAGTTGATGTATTCTGAATTTCTGACTCTAGTACATACTATTTTTAACCCATTGTCAAATGAAACAAATAGTCCCTGTACCAAGCCTATGGGAGAGAGAGAGTTTATGAAGATGGTTTCTCTATTTTAAAGAGACTGATTAAACCTGCCCGGATCGATGCAGATTATTTTTGTGTTTGTCAACTCTTGAAAAGCAACATGCTGACTTTGCAAATTAGTTTTTTCCTCACTAATTTGGGTCAATCATCAAAAATTAAAAATCACTATATCCCCGTCAGGATTCTGTCTATATTTATATCTTGAAACCAGAAGCAATTCTCCTGTTTTCTCCTCAATTTGATGTCATTTTTATCTTTTCTTGCAATTCACAAAATGTTCTCATCAATGACCCTTTTTCCTTTTTTTTAAAAAAATTCTCCTTCTTTATTTTCTATACTGGAAGAAGTCTGGATGTGCACTAAATTTTTATAATAAAATTTTTCTTTTTTCTTATCATCCTCAAAACAAATAATGTAGTTTGGAATATCAACTTATTACTGGCATCTCTTTTCCCACTCGTTGCTATTCCTCTTCATCATTCAACAAGATATTTTATTGAACAAACAGATATAATAATCCATTCATTTAATCATTTAATCTCCAATTAACACTAATCACAGAACCAGGCATACAACATGAATGCTAGTCATTGGCAAGGCGCTGAAGGAAATCCTTGCGCAAGGTTAACCCATGTGCACCACAACAACGACACTCTCTCTAGGCTCATTGTTTCCATGGCGCCAACTACAACAACCTGCCAAGTTTCACAGTTTTGGTTTCACTGCTCGCACCAAATGTCACGCAGCTGTGTTTGCAGACTCATATCTATAGTATAGTCATTCAAAGACAATTCTATTGCCAAGTACCAGCTTCCATTCAATATGATGGGAATATACTGCCTGTTCAGAACCAGAAGGGCATTTAAAACTGCAGAGTGGTAGGATTACAAGAAAGCACCATTATTAAGAGGTCACATCGAGAGATTCACCATGTTTGGATGAAATCTGTGAGTAAAAAGACATGTGTCCTACAGGTCACACTGCACGGTATCGCCTTGTAGCAGATTGGCCAGATTTCAGTTTGGCAGGGCATGGAATGAGGTATGAGGTAGAGCAATGGACCTATTCAGGTAGCTCCATGAGGAGAAGGATGAGTTACTCAACGATGATCAAGCTTACCTCTCCTGCTCCATACTTGATGACGGCATTGATGAAGGACATGCAGGCCGTCTTGAAGTGGACGTCATCTCTGTATTTCCCTGTACTTCTGTCGAGATCGTTGATTAACCTCTGTAAGTGGGAATAAACAAAACAGATTAAAAGTCAGATTACTTATTTGTGTACAGTTCTTTGATCTTGTAAGATGACAAAGAGAGTGTTGAAGATGTATACTAGGGTCCCAGAAAAGTTTGATAACTGATCTGCCATAGTCTCCTGGTCTCGAAGTACACTAAAAGTTGTTTTACATGGATTTATAACGAGTTTAGTTTTGTACCACAAAGCAAGAGTCTTGAGTGGAGAAGAGGACTAATATCTCTAAAAAATGTCTAATTTTTTAATCATTTATGGTAAAAAACATGGTATTGACGATCTTAGACAAGGGTCCAACAAAGAAAGATGAATGATCCACAGCATATTATAGTGAAAAAGTATCATTATACATTATACACTTGTACCGAAGCAAAGAGCATCTGGAAAACAAAAATATATCTCTACCGGTAATCATATCAATTTTTTTTATCATTTAGATGATCTAGAACAGAAGTGTTGCGGGTCTTAGACTAGTCTAGAGGGCTAGATATAGGAAGATGACTGATCCGCACTGTCTTCCTGTCTTGTGTCGGTGTGGTTGGGGGCATCCCTAATCAACAACAGGTGCCTTGTGATCATCGTCACGGCAACCACACTCCTACTCACCGGTCCCGTGAACAGGGGAGCGGTGCGGAGCCATGATGGCCCTCCCTCAGATTAGCCCTTCCCCTGGTGCGTGAAGCACCCTGTCCTGTGAAGCACTTAGTCCCAGCTATGGACTTGAAGAGCCTGACTTTATTGGATCTCCTGATGGATGATACATTAGGCTGTTGCCATGGCTACACTGATTGGTAATAACATCTATCTAGACTAAAGTTTGAGTTTGATGCTGAAAAGCTCTTTAATGATAATAATTGTTAAAACTACATGGCCAACCCAAAAATAACCACCCAAAGTGTCAAATGTTTTAACCAAACCCTTCACTTCAATAAAGTTTTATTTTTCTATTCAGTACTTATTATACAGCAGCAACAGAAATCAAGTTCTTAACCTAAATGTATTGCCAACAGGGAGCAGTGTTTTCCTCTGTACTAAAAAGACTACTGGATTAAGAGAAATCAGGAATCAGAGGGTTAACTTTTAAAAATCTCCCTCTTTCATTCCTTAGGAAATCATAGAAATGCACATGTTCTATAGTTTTAGATATTAGACATAGTGATCGATAGGTGGCCTACACTTGACATCAATAAAGTTCAGCTGGCTCAAATGTTATCATTAAAATGTTTCCTTCTAATTGCTTCTTTGGGAATATTAAAGCACAGGCTACGCACGTGGGTAGAAAGATTAAACAGACTTCAAAGAAAAAATGTCCTCATGGTTCACGCAATCTGTGGCAACATTCAGGAGAAATTAAGCTATTTTGGAACAATATTTAAACCAATCATTCCATCTGTTTTCTATTAAATCCTGTTGATTCAAGATGATTTGATTTTGACCGATTCACTAAACCAGGAAAGTGATAGCCACATGTATAAGCAGGATCCTCACTTGGCTAAATTAATTTCCTAAATCCTATAACATACACCATGTTCTAAAGCTTTATTTAGACATCGCGAAGCTTGTCAAGGTTTCGCATCTGTGCACTTAAACTCCAATTATTAAAGTCTCAATGATTTAGCTTCACTTTCCTCACGCTACAAGCAGGAGAACATTAGATCAACATGGGTATTCATGTTATAAGTAGTGACATGAAAGATGTAATAGAAAACTTCCAAAAACATTAGTCTTACTTAAACCAACATCTTTTTTTTTTTTTGGGGGGGGGGGGGGTCTCATCAATGTTAGATGATTTTTGACAAGCTGTACGCATTCATAATGAACCAAAACCAATTCTATTCATCCAATTCTTATGAATATCCAACAGATATGTATAAAAATCTTTCAAACATCAAGAGATGTTGCTTTTACCCAATTTTGTCACAAAAATGAATAATGTTGAACTTAATCCACTATGTAAGATTCCCCTTGTAAATCAAATGAAGGCAGCGTACACTTTGAATCACAGGTTAAAGCAAGGATGTTTTATTCCACCATGACCCACAGGAATTACCTCGGTCAGGAGAATATGACACATAATGGTTATTGAGACAAGAGTGATAACCACTTTTAATAATCATGACTCAAGCTCTTCATGCATCATTCAATACATAACAGAGGAGAAGTGAGAGAGGATGAAGGAGAAAGAGGCAAGAAGAGGGGGGGGGGGAGGAGAAAGAGAGAGAGAGAGAGAGAGAGAGAGATATAGGGGATGACTAGGAAGGGGCTAGAATGCAACAGTGAGAAACAGAGAAAGATACATTACCATTCAAGGGTTAAAAGAAAGACACAAGGTTGAGATAGAAAGAGACAGAAGAGGGCTAATATAAAGGATAAGACAGACAGAAATATGAAAATCTCCCAAGTAGAGTGAGAAAAGAGATAGGCAAACATAGAGAAAGAGAGAGGGAGGGGGGGGGGGGGTAGAAGAAGAGATTGATAAGGGAGAAACAGAAATAGGGGAGATTTGTATGACAGATGACTGTGTGATGAGAGGGGAGAGACAACATCTAAGAGAGAGAGAGAGAGAGAGAGAGAGACAGACAGACAGACAGACAGAGAGACAGATAGAGACAGAGAGAAAGAGAGAGAGAGAGAGAGAGAGAGAGAGAGAGAGAGAGAGAGAGAGAGAGAGAAGCAGAGAACAGTAAGAGCATGGCAGAAGTCATGACATGGTGAGTGGTCATTGACATGATCTGTTATCCTTTGACTACAATGTTTACGAAGGGAAGCATTAACTGGGCCGTGACCAATGATGATGATGTTCAATGTCCTGTATATCCAGGGCCACGGGGAATGAATGACCCATACTAGATGTGAAGGACTCCTGAAACAGCATTGCAGGTGACACCAAGAATCAGTTTTATATTCCCTCTTGGTCATGGTATAACTTACATGCAACTACAACAAGCTTTCTTATAGGGTACTTTTTTTTTGGAGGGGTCGATGCCCCGATAATCAAATATAGATCAGTTTATAAACTAATTCATTACCCAAATTATTTTTCCTACACATAGACCCTCATGGTATCCAATGTATACCTTTTGGTTACCGGTACTATCTTATTACAAGGGCAAATATTTTCAGGAGTGTCGCCTTGATTTTCTAGATTAACCTAAATCGAATCCTTTGGCCAATATTACATCAAGGATAGAACATGAGCGTGGGCTATAAGGATCCTTGTTATACTTATCTCTTTTATTTTCAAAAAATGTATTTTTAAATATGGATGTTCAAACAAAGTGATTAAATCAAAGCTAGACAGAGCGGTTTCAGTTTCATTAAGCCTCTTTAGACACAAAATAATACTAGATGCAACCCAGACTCTTAAAGAATCTCAAATAATAATAATAATAGCTAGTTCTTATATAGCGTTTTTCAGGACCGAAGGCCCTAACAAAATGCTTAACAGATATATATATATATATATATATATATATATATAGATAAGGTGAACGTTTAGAAAAAATTGTTATCCACCCACCCACCCCTCTCTTTTAACATATTGCATAAAGTGACATCTTGGTCATTTTACTCTTCATTTCCTCCTAATTAATGACCCGTCAACCACATTTGGTTACTCATGCACTCCGGTTTCCTTCAACTATCATAACTTTGTTAAACCTCAACCACCGCAGGACAATGTTTTCTTTAAAAATACGACATTTGGTATTCCTCACCGGGCAGGCATTGGCAGACATGTAACGATAATACGGAATTACAATCTTCAGATATTTTTTTTATGGAGTGTTTTGTAACATGAACATCATGTGCCATCATGTTATACTGCATATACAGCCTCTGTAACCAAATAGGCTGGGAATGGATGGTGTACAGGTGTCACGTTTCTACGGTGTGTTCATATAATTTTCTGAAGTCAGAATAGGGAACAAGAAACAATGGCTAACTTGATGTTCATAAGATCAGTTCCCTTTTGGGGGGGGGGGGGGCGGGGGGGGGGGTAGAATCAGGTTTTAACTTCATGCATTTCTTTCTCTGTAATAGTTTGCAGTGAAGGTCGACTTATAAGCTAAAACTTTGGCTTTTAAAGTATTACCAGTTTAATGATGCTAGATGTATAACCACTTAGTTTGGATTAGTTTCTACAAAACTTCAATAATCAACTCTGGTTTAGAAATCTATCACTTTACATTTCTGTAGAAATACTGTATACTATCCAACTTGATAACAGAAAAAACAACCCTGGCAATTTTGAGATACACTTTGACTGCACTGGTAAACTTGGCACACGAGTGCCCTAAATGTCATCATATCAGGACGAAAATGAGTTTCGGATGCACATGGTCTATAATGTCAAGTGACTTTCAAATTTCGACCCAAAATAGACTTTCTAAACGGTAGTTTTGACACCCCGCGGGAGTTCAGAGTCGGTAATTATCCACCAAAGTCATTAATGATTCATCCCTAAAAGAGCGTTCCCATTGGTATGATATTTTGTTTTCATGACTATGGCTGGCACAATTAACTTGCCATCTGTTTTACTTCTATGAGACACAGACTGATGTGCAATGGCATTATACAAAGGCAAGGGAAACTCCACACTGCCAGAACCGACACTCTGTTTTGGATGCTGTGCTGAACTCCATAACCCATTGTATAAATTTACTACGTTAAGCAAAAAATTAATGTGAGAGACAAATAATAATGGCACAACATCTCTCTCCAAAAAACGAACTTTTAGCGTATCATCCCAAACAGACAAGCCCGCTCCCTGGCACTTTTTTTGAAGGTCAAACTGAATATCTACAGGGGCTATCTGCCCTCAACCCAATAAAATTACCAACAGTCTGACTGAACTTCTAAACCAACCAAACACTGTAGCCTCCTTCTCCTTCTAAATCCTACAGAAGCTCTATAGCTAACATCCAGGATACGAGTCTCACCGTCACAAGACACTAATGATATGGGTTACGGGTCAATTT